TATTGATTAATTAATTCATATAATCATCCCACAAAGATCTATCTATGCCCTGTTGCTATGAATCTGGCCATGTTTTGGGCATCAGGCATAATTATCCCCCAGATGATAACCAGGTGGATAATAATATGGTTCCTGCCCTCAGGGACACCAAGAAGCAAGCCAAGCACATTTCAGTTGAACACTTGTTGGAGGAGAAGACCTTGCATCTTTTTCCCTGTGAGAAGTTGAGGGACAAATCCTAGTTCAGAATTGTTATAATTGGTTACAGCCCTCCCAAACCTAGTCCAAGGCATCAGTAATTGGCCCTAGCTAAGAAACTAGATGCACTTAAAGAACTGAACTCACTGATATTTCTGGAACAGCCATTTCAGCAGCACCTTGGTGTCTTTGGAAGAGGTCTGGGGCTGCTGCCTGGTGCTTCTGTTGCCTTTTAGTACAAGAAGAAAGCCCAAACCTGGGACTGGTGCCAAGACAGATACCACCTCAGCCCCAGCCCCAGGTTTTGATTTTGAAAATGACATTCATGTGCATTTTTCTTCCACGGTAGAAAGTGGTGATAGTTCATGACAGAAAATGGGAAAATATAGAAAAAAACTTAAACACCACCTCCCTCCGAGGTCTAACCACAGTTTAGTAGAACGTTAAAGAGATTGCTTGAGTCATACACAGCTGGCTTTGTCCTGGCTTCACGGAACCTCCACAAGCCTTAGTTTTCTTTTCTGAAATCATATTGCCCACCTCGTAAGACTTGAGAGGACTGAGTAAGAATATACGTGTGTCTGTGTGTGTGTTTGTGTGTGTGTGTATTTTTTCTAACAGTCTGAAGTATTCTGGAGTCTTCTTCTCTGGTCTTTTCTTTTGAGTATGCCTGTTTGTTATATTGTTTGTGGATCCTTATACAGCAGCCCCCATCACGTCCCCAGGCATTCGGGCTATCTCTGTTAGAGGCAGGGCGGTGTCCAGAGACATCCCCCATGAAGAGGTAGTGGTGGTGGAGCAGGGGTGAGAGTGGATGGTGAGAGGCCTGAATTGCAAAGATGAGCCCCAGGGCTCCCCCTCAACACATTTGCCTCTCTGTAAGGTTTAGGTAAAATTTAGATCTCAGAGAGCCTGAAGGTCTCCCTGTGGCTTCTGCATCTTGGTGTGTAGCTATAGCAACTGTTCTTTCAGATTTGGGGGGACAGTCTACATGTCTTGCAGTCTTATTGAGGTCTACATGCTATTGGACATAAGATACCAAACACAAATTCTATGCGGCAGCGGCAGGGACAGTGTGGCTAACAGGAAGTGTTACCATATCTCTGTTTCTGCCCTTTGAAGGGAATCAGAGTTTTTTTTTTTTTATTATGATAATACCCTTCCAGATGTTGTTTCTCCTACAAAAAAGAGCAGCACTCTCCACAGCCATGGAATAAACACAAAGCCACAGAGGGGTAGCTCAGGTTAGCCCAGCACACAGGCTTTGGAATAAAATAGAATGAAGATTGAATCTCTGCTCTACCAATTATCAGTTGGGTGAATTTGTGATGTCTCCAAGGTCTCTTTTCTCATTTTTATAATGATAAGGGTGATAACCCCTATCTCATAGCATTAGTTACAGTTAAATGAGAGAATGCATGAAATGTGCCTACCATAGGTGGCACATAGTAATATTCCAATATTATTAATATTTCCAATATTGGTGTCCTCAGAGCAGAGAGAAAATTACTCTAGCAGCAAATAGACAAAGAGTTGCCACAACACAGCACTAAGAAATTGTCAGCAGAACACACGGGAGGCAGCAGCTCTCCTTAGCAGCTGCTGCTAAGGGTTCAGAACTGAAAGTGAGCAAATGAACAGAGACATTAATGGTCTGCAAAGGGGGTATGACAAGCCTGATGCAAGAAGCACGTTGTCATCCAGACCCGGGTGGCCAGGAGGAGCCCATCAGCTGAACCCAGGCAATGTGAGAAGACAGGGAATGGAGATTGGGCTAGAGCAGAGATTATTCTCTAGACAATGTTTTCTTAAATTATTTGTGGTGAAGGACAAGTTTTCAAAAAATTCATTACAGATCAATGCTTTTATCAAAAAAACAACAAACAAGAAGCTGCTGTGATGGTGCCAAATTACAATTAAAGTTTCTAAATGCTGACTTTTGATTTCTGTGCTAACCTTGTGGGAAGCAGTGACAAGTAGTACTGAACTCTGAGTAGCCTTGTGTTGATGGCTGAAGAGGTCCTGTCTGATTTTGTGTGTGTGCTCTATTATTGTAGTTTTGTTTGCTAATTGCTTAATGAGCAGGGGTTGGAAGTTTGAATCAGAGTCTTCTTCCATAGGATGGGCAGCCTGTTTACTTGCAAATGTGCTAATATGAACTCTATGAAAAATGCCTGTGGTTCTCATCCAATAGTATGAGCTCAGACATTGCCATTCTGTCCCAGGAGAAGCCATAGTGGGGGTGAGGATGGCAGGAGAGCAGATGGTGAGGGGCTTGACTTTGGAAGTTGAGCCCCAGAGCTCCTCCTAAGCACACCCTTCTCCCCTTAATGATAATTATAATAACAAATAATGTCATATTTAATTAATAATAATATTATAATAAAGCTTTCCTCCAAAGGGCAGAAATCTAGATGGAATAACACTTCCTATGTAGTTCTATTAATCCTTTTGTTGTCTTCTTAAAGTCTTCACATAAAGAAGCTTTCCAGAAGCTTATTATAAATAACTTTTGGAATGATGTGGACCTAGACTGGAGACACAGTTAGTTGTCTTCCTGCGACTCTTGTCAGATGTGGTTTCACCACACGGTACTTTTGCTTGGCCCACTGCACATCTTGACACCCAGATGCCTCAGCTCTGGTCTCCAGTCCCACTCTCTTCCAGCGCCAGCCTCAGATCCTAACCATCAACCGGACATTTTCACATCAGCCAGCCACCATTCAAATGCAGCATACCTGAAATTTCATTCCCCACCCCAAAGAGATAAATCCCTATTTCTACCAAAACTTCTCTTACTTTACTGTGATAAATATGGGAAATTAATATTTGTTCTCTGCTTCTGCTTATATAGGTGAACTAATGCCAGAGGCTCTTCCTATGTCTCCTTTGCCTTCCTTCCCGGTGCTACAGGAGCCAGACCGGGTTAGAATTATCTCACATGTAGTCACAGTTTCATTCTACTAAGTAGCTCCCAATCCTCCCTGTCCATCACTCTTCCCTCCAAATCATTGTGTGGACCAGATTAGTTTTTTTAAACAACACGGTGATGCTATGCATATTCTGCTCACAAAAGCCTTCACTGGCTCCACAACCCCAGAAAATAAGATCCAACCTCCTCAACCAGGCTTCTAAGACCTTCTATAACATGGTTGCCCCAACCGACTCAGCTACATCTATAATTACCTCCCAACATAAACTCTTCACTCTGGTCCAGACCATTCTCCTACTTTCCTTCTGGCTCCTGAAACTTTTCTTCCAGGAGGGCCCAAAGTTCTGCTTTCCAGGTCCTTATTCTTCCCCATCCATCAAGACTGGGCAAAAATCCCTCCTTCAACAAAGTCATCCTGCCTCTTCCAGCTCACACCAGCTCTCTTTCTTCTCTGCACACCACTTTCAGATCTTGTCAATGCCTCATGTCTTATCATAACATATCATTAACCATCTACTTCACATAAGATACTAATATCCAGAAACTTCCCTTTTCTTCTTTGGTACCTTCCTACCTAACTTCCTACCACTACTACCACCCCACCACCACTGCCACCACAACGACCTCTACCACCACCAGAAGGAACCTAGGGCTATGAATATAACAGTGAACCATAAAATACCTAACTAATCCAAGAATCAATTAAAATAGGGAGGAGAAAGAAGTCATGGAAAAGACGTAGAAAAGAGGCAAGAATTCTATTTTTCTCTTGGATGCCTAAATATGCATCTTACTACCTCCCAGATTCATAGATTATTTGAACTGAAAAAGCCTTAAAAATATTGGTTCCAGGCAGCCCGGGTGCCTCAGCAGTTTGGCGCCTGCCTTCAGCCCAGGGCGTGATCCTGGAGTCCTGGGATCGAGTCCCAGGTCGAGCTCCCTGCGTGGAGCCTGCTTCTCCCTATGCCTGTGTCTCTGCCTATCTCTGTGTCTCTCATGGATAAATAAATTAAAATCTTAAAAAAAATATTGGTTCCAATGATATGATGCTGACTGTGAAGACTTATTAAAAAACAGAAATAACATACTTGACCCAGAAAGAGAGGATCAAAAAGGATAAATATTTACTAGCTGTGTGAACTTCAGAGTGTCACTTAAACTCTGTTGTTCAGTTTCCCTATTTTTGAAGTGTGAATAAAATAACACTTACTTGAGGAGCTTTGGGAGTATTAAATGAGATGATGGATGGAAGGTACCTGGATAGTGCTAAAACAGGTATGGGCTCAGTGGTTATTAGACTCTCCACCTATCCTCCATCACTAGACTGCTTTGAAAAACATGTAAAGCAATATTTCCCCAAAGCTGGTCACCATCTATTAATGGGTTGTGAAATCAATGTAATGGAACGTTAGATGCATATCTACATGTATCTCTTTCTATTTTAGGTCATGATATAAAATGTATTTCTAACTGTGGGTCAGAACCAGACAGTTTGTGAAAGGCACTGGACTAAAGCTCTCTACAAATAAAATGAAATGATACACCAAAGCCACATGTAGAGTGCTCAGTGCTACTTTAAGAACAATTTCATCTTCTATCTTCTCTGTACTTTGGTTTTCCAATGACACTACAATCTTGTTAATGTTTTTTTTTTTAATTTTTCTTGTGTTTTACATGTAACATAGACCACTGTGGCTATATTAATTAATATAGAATTCACTTCCATGGAGGCCTAAGTTCTCTGTGCCTATGGTCAGGTCTGGTATGCATTTTTCTTCATGAGACAGAATGTTCTGAACATCTCAAGGAAAGAAGAGCACTTCTCATTTGAAATTCCCCTCAGCTGGTAATGTTGTCTTGAATTCTGCAGTGATTCCATCACGCACATTGTGGCAGAAAACAACTCTGGTTCAGATGTCCTGGAGTGGCTGCAGGTACAAAATATAAAAGCCAGCTCACAGCTAGAACTCCTTGATATCTCCTGGCTGATAGAATCCATGGGAGCAGGAAAACCAGTGGAGATGACAGGGAAACACCAGCTTGTAAGTGTTATGATTGTGATTTTCTTTTTCTTTTTTTTTTCTTTTTTTGATTGTGATTTTCTTTGCCCTTTACTTGATGATTAGAAACATGGGCTATAGAATTAACAGACCTGAATTGGGATCCCAGGTTTTCTGCTTACTCCCTGTGTGACTTCAGGCAAGTCACTTAGCTTTTCTGAACTTCCATTTCCTCCTCTACAATATAAGATAGCAATAGGACCTACCTGGCAAGATGGTTATGAGAATTAGAGTAACATGTGTAAAGCGCTCACCACAGAGCCTGGTCTATGGCACCTAATAAATGGTAGCTAGCTTTATGAACAAGACTATAGACAAATATCTCAAAATATGGAAGCCTTGATGTTCTGGTAGCCCAAAAAGTGGAAGGTTCCTATTTTTTTTTCTTACCGTGATCATTCGTAAAGAAAAAATAAAGAAATTTAAACTCTTAATTCCAAGTCCTTCACCATTAATGCTAGAACCATCAGGAAGATTCAGACCATGATCACATAAGTTCATGGAAAAGGAAAATGGTACTTAATTGATCATTCTACTTCATGTTTATTTTTCTTGTTGCAAAAATATTATGTTAACTGTAGCAAATCCTAATATTAGAGACACATACAACATAAACTTTGACTCTCCTATAATTTTATCCTCTTTCCAGAGACAATTGCCATCAAACTGCTGCCATTTTTTCCTTGTAATATCTATTATTATTATTACTATCAATTGTTATTAAAAATGGATGCTTATGCATTTGTTTAGATGAGAAGAGACTATACAGCTAGCCCCAACCCAGAACTCCAGAAGACTCTGCCAGTTGCTGTAAAAAAGATCTCTCAATATGCATGTCAGAGGAGAACCACTTTAAACAACTATAACAACGTCTTCACGGTAAGGGGTTTTACAATACTACCCAGAACAAATGAAGGGCTTGCAGCTTCTTTCCATGGGTCTACAAATTCAATTATGAAATTTCCTGAATAATCTAGGAATGTTTTCCTCACACTCACTCACCCTCCTTGCCTGATCTTTGGTTCTTCTTTCTGTCAAGATCTACTTCTGTCATAAAAATGGACAAATACATTTGGAAATATATGTATATTCTTTAGAAATGGTAAATTACTATTTATTGAGAGTTCACACTTTGGGGCACAACAGTTGTCAAAGGCAAGTATTTGGGTAAACCAAATACTGTAATTAGTCCAAAACATAATAAGAGCTAATTATAAAGAAACAATAATGCATAAACAGCCTTTGCTGGGTAACCAAGTGATTGAGAAACAGTAGATTCTGGATTCTCACCTTTCTGATCTTAACCAGCTTAGGCAAGATAGTTCCTTTCTTTTTTAAAAAAGATTTTATTTATTTATTCATGAGAAACAGAGAGAGATTGAGAGAGAAAGAACGAGAGAGAGGCAGGAGGAGAAGCAGGCTCCATGCAGGGAGCCGACTGAAATGCAAATGCACCCTACCTTAAAGTGCCTGCTTTGGGTCTGTGTCATTATGATCACACTCGTTTCATTCAGCAAGACCTGTTTTACATACAAGCTAGAAATGAAAGTGCCCAGTGATCAAGGCAGAATCCTGGCCACAGCCTGGTAGGGTAAGTCTGCAAGGAAAGAGGGTAGGGTAAGTCTGCAAGGAAAGAGGGCCTGGTAGGGTAAGGCTTGCTGAGTAATGACTAGTTCGACGCAGTGAGCATGAGATCAGGCTTTGGTGAAATCGTTCCCGAATACCTAACGGCAGCGAACTCAAAGTTTCCTTACAAAGTGCTCTGTGACCTGTCTTTTCAATTCAACTTCTCTCATAACAAGCAAAGGTACGGGAGACCCCAATCCCACCTTCAGGAGGTATTTCAACACTCAAGAGCAAGAGGCGTTTGCAGGTGACTGCTAGCTAAGGGGTTGGGAACAGACCATGTTTTGCTTAACTGGTTTCATTCTTCAGGACGCCTTTGAGGTACTGGCTGAAAACTATGAATTTAGAGAAAATGAAGTCTTCTCTCTGACATTTATGAGAGCAGCTTCTGTACTTAAATCTCTGCCATTCACAATCATCAGTATGAAGGACACAGAAGGAATTCCCTGTCTGGGGGACCAAGTGAAGTGTATCATAGAGGTAAGGGTGAAATGTTGATTTGTCCTACTTCCTAATAGGTAGAGAGGAGGGGGAAGTATATGCAGTTGATTTTCCTGTAAACTATGTAGATGTGGGATAAATAGATAGATAGATAGATAGATAGATAGATAGATAGATAGATGATAGAATACATACCCATTATCACAGAATCCATCAATCCATTATCACAGCTGGGGCTATGTGGGGCAATCTAGTGGAAACAGAACTCTCCCATATTATTAATCACAGTAAAGGCTCAAGTGACCTAAAAGCTCAACAGCAATGGGGTGGTCTGACTTCAAACACAGACTATGTGAAGGACCTCAGTTCCTCTTAGGGAACGTTGCCCTCCAGAATGGTGGTGGGAGTGACCAGGCAGTGAAACTGATTCTGTATCTCTACCTGTGTGTTCCAAGGAAAAAGTCAGGAATAGGTATTTATTTATGTAATAATGTTTAAGGATTCCCCAGCAAAGTGAACTGTTCATCCAAGAGTAAGTTTCAAGTATAGTTAAGTGCAAAGTAAAGTAGTCAAGGAAAATAATCTCAACTCTATTTAGAGCTAGACGTCGTAAGAGCTTGAACTTGAATTGGCTTTTTCAGTGGTCCCAAAATTAACCTGCTCAGATTGAGTCAGATGAGAAGTCCCTTTGTCTCAGCCAACTTGTATCCATCAAAAAGAAAACTATCACAAATATTTAGACATACTATTGCCAGTGAATGTTTTGGTTTGATGTTCTGTGGAGTTAGACCCTGGTCATTCTGTGCCTTTGTCCCTGAGGACTATAAAGGGGTACTCAGAAAAAGCTGGGATTTCTAAGATTATAGGAAATGTTTTGTTTTGTCCAGATTGGCTAGGGAAACAGTCTGCAGGCAACAGGTGTACATTTCCTGAACAATCAAGCTACTTGGTCTGGGAATTTGATAGCTCTAGACTGTGATTGTTTAATGTCACTAGCATAAAATATTTTTTAACTCTCCATGCAGGAAATTATTGAAGATGGAGAAAGTTCTGAAGTTAAAGCTGTGTTAAATGATGAACGGTATCAGTCCTTCAAAGTAAGTAATTTACATGTTATTTATTGAAAATGGTTTTTCAGTTACTCCTAGTACTAATTCTAAGTGGTCATATCAGCTCAGGCTGCTGTAACAAAATGCCACAAACTGGGTGGATTAAACAACAAATATTTATTTTCTTATAGTTCTGGAGCCTGGAAGCCTGAGACCAGGGTGCTAGTATGGTCAGGTTCTGGTTGGGGCTCTCTTCCTGGCTTGCAAATGGCCACCTTCTCAACGTGCCCTCACATGGCACACACAGAGAGAGGAAGTTCCGTGGGGCCTCTTCTTGTTAAGGCACTAATCCCATCATGAGGGCCCTACCATCAAGACCTCATCTAAAACTAATTACCTCCCAAAGACCTCATCTCCAAATACCATTGCCATGGGGTTTAGGGCCTCAACATATGAATGGAGGCAGGCACAGTCAGTCCAAAATAGTGGTCAAGGAAGCAGATGCCAAAATAAAAAAGGGTGCATGAGTTCATTACTATGCTATGATGAGGTACAAATTACCTTATTTTCTAGGATCTGTCACACATGGGTGCAAATATCATGGGGACACTAGGACCATGGGAAAAAAGAAGGCTGTTCTTAAAGAGCAAACCTGTGTTGGAAGCTCTCCTCTGCATCCTGCTCTACTTTGAAGCAGGGCTTGTTACCTCCCAATGTTCCCCCACCTTGGAGTTGCAGCTGGCAGGGATTCCTGCCCATCCCTTTGGTTCCGGAGTGATACACAGGCCTAAAAAGGGGCTGTGGGCAGGAGCCTAGGTTTGGAGTACGGACAGCCTCGATTTGAGTTTGGGCTCTGCCATGTATCAGCTGAGTGATGGTAGAGAATTCACACAACCTACATGAGCATCCCTCTTAAAATATGCAGAGCATGAGCGCATGTAAGGGACTCTGGGTAGGAGGAGTGCCCAACAGGGAAAGCTGATGTCACACATGGACAGCACAGGCCGCCAACCATCAGAATCCACAGAAGCCTCTGCAGATGCCAGAGCCCACCTCTTCACTTTCTTTCCATTTTGTAATACCACATGTCAGGAGAGGCCCCTCCTGAAACAAAAAGCTCTGTCAAAAGTTTACCATCACTCCCCAGCCCACTTGCCACATTCAGGAGGAACTGGGTCAGAAATTTCCTTACGCTTTTTCCTAATCCCTTGACCTTAAAAAGTGTGACTTCATTGTCATAATGGTCATTTTAGAGTAAAAGCATGCCTTTCCCTCTGTTTCAGCTCTTTACCTCTGTGTTTGGAGTGGGACTGAAGACATCTGAGAAATGGTTCCGGATGGGTTTCAGAACTTTGAGCAAAATAAAGTCGGACAAAAGCCTGAAATTCACACCAATGCAGAAAGCAGGTAAGTTGTCTCTCCTACAGATCTCTTGCTGTTGCCAGGGGCTGGCCAGGTTGTGGTAGAGCTCTGAGCCTGCTGAACTTCAAATCCGGTCTGGGCAAGCTGGGTCACTTGTTCTCTTTTTTTATATACTATGGTTAAAAGCACAAGCATTTGGAATCAGACAGACCTGGTTCAAATCCTGACTCCAGTACACTGTGGTTGCATGATCTTGAGCAAGCTTGTTTAAGTCTTTGAGCCTAAGCTACCTCATCTATAAAGGACGAGGGAGGGGGAGGGGCAACATTGCTAGTTCATGAGAAATAAATCAGCTAATGCAAGCAAAGTCCTTAGCACTGTGCCTGGCATAGGGGAAAGACGCTCTGCATGGTGGCTGCTGTCACTTCTGGATCCAGATGTCACACTGGGTTTTGCTGCTGATCTGGTTCTTACTGACTTGGCTCTAGATGTTTGGTCCTGGCTATCTCTCTTGGGGTGAGAGGCTAAGTAGTGCTGGGCAGAAAATGGGCATGAGGATTGAGGAGTAAAAAATATTTGAACAAACCAGAGTCACTGCTGGCACAAATGCAGATCTGCTTTAGAAACAGCAATACACCAGGAAATAGAAGGGAAAGTATGCAAATCTAGACAGAGGGTTGATCTACCTGTTCAGGACCCGCCAGCCTAAGAAGAGAAGACTATGTTGAGGCAGCTGAAGCCTTGCAGGACCTCCCACAGATTGAAGGTGATGGCTTGAGTGCTTCCATTTATGGAGGGCTCTGGTAAACGTTTTTTAATGAAGAAATGCAAATAAAGGGTCAAAAAATTATAAGTGTTCTAAATATTTACTTTTAACTTGCAATAGAAATACAATATAATTGTGATGCGAAAGAGCAGACCACATTCAGCAGTGTTGACTATAGCCATCCCAAGGTACATTACATCCCTGGGACTTACTTATCTTCTAACTGGGAGTTGGTACTTCTTTTGATCACCTTCCTCTAATTCCCCCTCCACCCTCCCTCGCCTCTGATAACCACACACTTTTTTTACTCCTCTGATTTTTCTTCTATGAGTTTTTGTTTTTAGATTTCACACATAAGTGAGGTCATACGGTATTTGTCTTTCTCTTGACTTATTTCACCTAACATTATGCCCCCAAGGCCCATCCATGTTGCTGCAAATGGCAGGCTTTCCTCATTTTAGTGGGTGAATAATATTCATACACACACACACACACACACACACACACACACCACAACTTCTTAATCCATCTGCTTTTGGACATTTAGGTTGTTCCCATGTCTTGGCTATTGTGAACATGACGGTGCGTGTATCTCTTTGACATAGTGTTTTCATTTCCTTCAGATACATTCCCAGAAGCAGGATTTCGGGATCACATAGTACTTCTCTTTTTAATTTTTGGAGGAGGCTTCCTCCATGAGTCTTTGGGAATAACCAAGTCATTATAACAACTGTATCTGAACTTTCATCCACCACTTTCCAACTCTGAATCTTCCCATCCTAAATCTTTATGCATTATCTTTAAAATATTACAGGGCACAGTTTATTGATCAAGAAGGTGGGTTATTCTTTGAGTGTTTATTACCATTGGTTTTAATATAAAATTTAATTGTAAGTTTCATATGATTTAATTTTTAAAAATATTTTATTTAAATTCAATTTGCCAACATATAGTATAACACCCAGTGCTCATCTCATCATGTACCCTCCTCAGTGCCCATCACCCAGTTACCCCATTCCCCCCACCCACCTCCCCTTCTGCAACCCTTTGTTTCCCAGAGTCTCTCATAGTTTGTCTTCCTCTCTAATTTTTCCCCATTCAGTTTCCCTCTTTTTCCTTATAGTCCCTTTCACTACTTCTTATATTCTACATATGAGTGAAATCATATAATAATTGTCTTTCTCTGATTGACTTATTTCACTCAGCATAATACCCTCCAGGTCCATCCATGTCAAAGTAAATGGTAGGTATTCATCCAAGAAGCCTGATTCTTCAATAAGAACTCATATTCGAACAGCTTGCTTTCTGGAGGGATAGTCTCTTTCTTAGGCAGGAAATGGTAAGACACTTTCTTACAAGTCAGAAAGTAAAGAGTTATCATTACCATGAAAAATTTACAGCCAAGAGAATAGAGAATACACTTGCCTCTGGGAAAACAGTTTGGTGATACCTGTGTCATGCTTGCTCTATCTGGGCGCAGAATCCCTTCCCACAGAGGGCTAGTCATTTCACGTGTCACTCTCTCCGTTGACCTGTTCAATGGCCCCTAGGTTTCCTCTATTATGAAGACCTCGTCAGTTGTGTGACCAGGGCAGAAGCAGAAGCAGTTGGAGTGCTGGTTAAAGAGGCCGTCAGGGCATTTCTGCCGGATGCCTTCGTCACCATGACAGGAGGATTCCGGAGGTAGATAATGAGAGCTGCTTTTGCCTCTCCTGCTCTAACACCTTCGGTGGCTCCCCATATTCAGAAGTTCAGGCTTCTGGGCATGATGCAAAGGCCTTTGGTGATCTGATACCAGCCTGTCTCTGTGGCCTTGTCTGCTGTTCCTCACCTTTCCACCCCAGCAACCCCAAATGGCTTGCCTTTGCACACATGGAGCTGTTTCACACCTCTGTGACTTGCTCAGTCAGACGCTTCTGCTTGGATTGGCTTTCCTCAAATTGCCACCTGACTGACTTCTCCTCATCTTTTAAGACCTAATTCAGACACCACCTCCTCCTCCATGCTTAGCCAGGCAGCCCTCTTCAGAGGTACCTGCCAAGCAATTTGTTTGTATGCACAATTTCCCCACGAAGTTTGCAGATGTTAGTGCTCTGTGAGAATCTGGTGCCGGGCACAAAACAGGTACTCAAGAAATATTGGCTAAGTCAAAGAAGAGAATGAACAAACTCTTCACAGAGATGTGTGCAGTTGCTGGGTATTGAGGCCTCCTATTCAGAAAGAGATTTCTCCCTCCACTCCTCCAGCTCTCCCTGTAGCCCTCTTACCTGTTAGCCGTTCATTGGCCATCCTGGCAAGCCAAGTTTGAAGTGAGGGAACAAGTAGGAGAGGAAAATCAAATCTAAGAAAATACCTCAGTCAATGCCATAATTCTGAGAGCCCTCACTCATATCATGTGCATATAGTGCGTGGTTTGCTTGTCGCTATGCTTGTCTCTGTATGGACAAGTGGGGGTGAGTGTGCACATGTGCGTGTGGAAAAGAAATCACTTCCTTTGTTATTTTTTTTACCCATAGTTATATAATCACTTATGTACTATGTGTGATTTTTTTCTTTCATAAATTTATTTTGCAAGAGTAGATAGAGTTATACAACCAAGGACATCTAAAAAATATATAATCACGAACATTTTATGCTGCAAACCTTGAGCATAGGGCACAGAAATAAAGGTGATTTTGAAAAATTGAGAGCTAAAAATATAATTCATTTCCATTTTATACTTTTTTTTTTTTTTTGGTCAGGGGTAAGAAGATTGGGCATGATGTAGATTTTTTAATTACCAGCCCTGGGTCAACAGACGAAGATGAGGAACAACTTTTACCTAAAGTGATAAACTTATGGGAAAGGAAGGTAAGAAGGATCAAAAGTAGATGTTTGGACGCTCAAGCATTACATTAATACAGTTGAATTTTGCATACTATTTACCTCATAATTGTGTGACGACCATCTGATTGATTCTCAACGATTTGCAACAGCTTATATGATGCCACATGACACACAATGAGACTTATCTGCTTGGAGTCCTAGAGTCCATGATGTGAATATCTATCTTGTTTATACACACTTGTTCTGTTTCCAAAGACATACCGCTGAGGGCGGTATGTCTCAGTGTCAGATGTGCAGGAGCACTACATCCCCTAAACAAATGGAGAGCATGCGCCATAAAGACCTGGGAGGTGTGAGAGGGGCAGCCGCAGGCTTAGGGGTGGAGCAGGACCACTGGGACTGAGATAGAATTAGCCAGGAGTCGTTGCTGGTGCCTTGAACTCTGCTAGTCAACAACCACCTTGACTTTGTGCTGAGATGGGAAGAAGGGAACTAGCCAGGACAGGCTGGGCTCAGAAGCCTCCACCCACTGAGGAGATCAGACTTACCCTAGGCTACCATTGCCAGGCAGAGGAAGTGAAGGATGAGCAGCAGCCAGAGCCACCTATAGGGCCCTGACTCGTGCCCCACTCCAGTGAGAACTCCATTTCCCAAAGAGACTAGTGGGCTCGACCCCAGAGGCCTAAAGCCTGATGGGCTGAGGAAGCTGAGGCTGGTGTTTTTCTGGCACAACTTCATCCTTCCTGAGTGATCTATATGGCAGAGAGAGAGAAACCTCAGATGAAGTGAAATAAAAGCCAGGAGCACCAGAAGGGAGGACCCAACATTAGAACTAGATCCAAATTCATCTGTGAGGCCATCCCAAGTCCCCTCGTCCCTCTCAGGAGAGAGGACACAGGGTGGCCAGGGAACCTGAGAGTGAACCTTATAGGCCATACCAGAAGAAGGAAGGATGAGGAAGAGTCAGCCCCACCGGTATGGGCCCCTCTGCGCTCCTCAAGCAGGGAAGTTGGAAATTTCTCATGGAGAGACAGCACAATTCATGGACTTCCTGATCAAGGCCCGTGGGACTGCAAGGCCTGGCGTCCCTGTGAAGGAGGGCCTATTTAGTCTGGGTTTTTAGGCACTACACTTCTCATGCCCTGAGACTGTTCTGGACTAAGACCTAAGCCTTTCTCCTTTCGTCTTCTCTCAGTTTGAGGCAGTCATACCTCTGACCTCCAAGCAAAGAGATGGGCAGGCACATGTGAAGGTGTGGGCATTTGGGATATTCAGGGTGTGGGCATTTGGGACATTCGAAGCACAACCCTGTCGTTTACTGGCCTTATCACCTAGTATGCTTTGCTTAATCTTTCCTCATCTATGAAACAGAGATAGCAAGGCTCTCTCACTTCATTAATGCGCAGGGGGATTAACTGATAATTATTAGATAAAGCCCTTGACACAGGGCCTGATAATGCCTAACAAACACTGGCTGTAAGCATGATTCACTCATGCACAATTATCCCTGAGTTCTGCCAGAGAGCCAGGCCCGCTGCCAGCTGAGGGCCCCAGGAGCAGCAGGTGCAGCTGCTCCTCCTCACTTGGGGACAAACAGGACCTTGAGGAGCAGACACTGAGAGGCAGTCAGGTGTCCCAGCTCTGCCTGTACCCCTGTGGCCCTGGGCCTGCCCCTACCACCTTGGTTGTAAAATATTCTAATTCACTTCTCAGCCCTGACGTTCTTACCAAGACTTCCATTTTCCAAATTGCATGATGAAATCCCACGCAGGTATCTGCATGCACATACTCAGCATGCACAGGGTATGTGAGCATCATGAGCAGCCAGTAGGCATCGGTTTGAACCGCCCATCAGCTGAATCTAAATGTGAGCCTTAGGGTTCCTGGGTGTCTCAGTAGGTTAAGCATCTGCCTATGGCTGGGGTCGTGATCCCGGGGTCCTGGGATGGAGCCCTGTGGCGGCTCCCTGCTCCCTGGGGAGCCTGCTTCTCCCCCTGCTTGTGTGCTCTTGCTCTCTCTCCTCAAATAAATAAATAAATTCTCCATTTTTTTTTTTTTTTTTTTTTTTTTTTTTTAGTAAATGTGAGCCTTATAGAAGACCCCTTGGTCAGTGGGAAAAAAGGGAGGAAAAAGAGCTTGGAGCACTGTTGTGCGGTGGAGGTCCCCAGGCCTAAGGCTCCTCCAGCCTGCATTCTCCTAACCCAAAGAGGGGAGGGCTAACTGAGCATGGTGGGGTTCACCCCTGTGGGTAGGACCCTGGTCGGGGCCACTCACTGCTCTACTGGGCTACATCCCTAGTTCCTGGAAGGCTGAGAGAGTGAAAGTGTTTACACTCTTTAAAGAACATATTCACTCCTGCTGAGAAACAGACTTGACTTTGAAGAAACAGAAACAGAAGAATAATGGATCCTGGCTATCAAATAGGGGGAAGGCTGTGTCATTAGCCTGCCAGTGGGCTGCTCAGTCCCCTGGGGAGGGAGGGAGGAACATGGAAGGCATCCCTCCTTGTCAGGAGACCCTTAGTTTCCAGTAGAAGAAAAAAACATGCTGATAGGAAATGTAGTCACCCTGTGGCTGTGGCTGGGTAGCCAGAGCCAGAAACTTCAAAGGGATTTTCAAAGAAGGAAAGAAGTTACCAAAGAATAAATGGCGAGCAACAAAGAAAGGGTAGAACACAGAGATGCCCCAAGACAGCCCAAGCCGGAGAGCAGGAAGCCGTGTCAGGGGCTGTGTGTGTGTGTGTGTGTGTGTGTGTGTGTGTTTGTGTGTGTTTGATACTTGTGCCCTACTGCAGAACAAGTGCCTGAACATGCAGACAGGAGCATTTTCAAGGCACGTATTCTCAAACACCTTGCAAAATTCAGAGCAAACCCTTACCCAGGATGGCCCCTTGTCTACAAACAGCCAAAGTGACTGTCATGCAAACACAGCTCATAATTATTAGAAAGCCAGTGTTGTGGATTTTTGGGGGGAGGTGGGTGTTATTCCAAATAGGATTTCAAAGAAAGACTGGGTAATATTTTAATAGCTCACTTTTCAAATGTACATAATTCAAATTTACAAGAAAGGCTGTTATACTGTATTCATTTTCATAAAGTTTCATTAACAAGCAGAATTGTGTTTTCTTGAGCTGGTTATTAGATTGTTTTATGGCAACATTTGCCACTGTCCCCAAAGGGTCTTCCTGACGCCAGTGCTTCCCTCCTAGCCCCCTTTAAACAATGTGTTCTTCTTAATACCTTTCCTGAGGAATGTACTGGAGAGCTAGAGTCCTTTTCTGAGGTCAGGAAAAATGTCCCTTCAGAGTTTGGTGGAACTAAAACAATGTCTCTTGGAGGGCTGCAGAAGAAATGCAAAGCATTCCTTATAACAAAATAAACAAAACCAGGGGCACCTGGGTGGTTCAGTTGGTTAAGCATCTGCCTTCCGCTTAGGTCATGATCCTGGTGTTCTGGGATCAAGCCCCATGGCCGGCTCTGGGCTCAGTGGGGAGTCTGCTTGTCCCTCTGCCTCTGCTTGTGCCCACATGCTCTCTCTCTAGTAAATAAATAAAATCTTTAAAGAAAATAAATAAACGGAACCAATGATGCTTAAAGTGTGGTGCCTGGACCAGTAGCATCAGCATCACCTGGGAACTTGTTAGAGATGCAAATTCTCACTTTCCCTCCACTGAATCACTGGAGGAAGGGGGGGAGAAGGGAGGGCCCTACAAACTGTACTGTGACAAACTTTCCAAATGCTTCTGATGATAAAATTGGAGAACATCTGATCTAAGGAATGCATAATAACATAGCTACGATGGAATTATTTTGAGGTTATTTGCTTTTTTAGTTGACACTCAGATTTAGCATTGATTATCACTGCCTCTCCCTGCCCCACATCTGCCCTGTGCTGTGAGAAATTGCCACAGAGCAGACAAATTGGAGGATCTCTGGACACATCTTCTCTCTCTGACTCGGCAACATTAGGTAGGATAACCATCACTAACTTTATCCCACTCTCCAAGGCGAACAGAGTGACAATCTTAAAATGCTACCTGGAAGTAGTGAGTCGTCCTGCCCCAAAGCGGGGCTGAGCCTCCAGCCACAACCCTTTGGGCCAAGGAAACTGGGTCATCAGCATAATATAGAGGGACACTCAAAGCAACTGCCTAAAAAGCGGCAGGGCTTTTGTTCATGGTTGGTTTGTACTCCAAGGTGTAGGGCAAGTTCCTGAGCACAGACTTGTAATTCAGAAGTAAGGAGAGGGATTCTCCGGTGGCTTTGCCAGAGGTGGGCTTGGCCTCTCTAACCAGTAAATTTCTCTGCAGCAGAGAGAGGCTAATGCACCCACCTCCTGGCTTCCTCTCCCAGTGCCAGGTGGGCTCACAAAAGGGAAAAGCATTGCTCAAACCTGTGAGGCTTCTGTTGAGAGCATTCAGTAAGAGCCAGTATAAAATTGCAGACCCCGTCCACTGGGGACCCTTCCTGAGGTCTTTCTGTTTGTTTTCAGGGATTACTTTTATACTGTGACCTCGTGGAGTCGACATTTGAAAAGTTAAAGTTGCCTAGCAGGAAGGTGGATGCTTTAGATCATTTTCAAAAATGCTTTCTGATTTTAAAATTGCACCATCAGAGAGTGGATGGTGGCAAGTACAGCCAGCAGGAGGGGAAGACCTGGAAGGCCATCCGTGTGGACCTGGTCATGTGCCCCTATGAGCGCCGTGCCTTTGCCCTGCTGGGCTGGACTGGCTCGAGGGTAAGTGCTATATGGATTCAAAAGATGGGATTCAAAAGATGGGTCTATTGAGGCCCAGGAAAGAGACAATGGCAGCGGAGGGAGGCATTGCACCTGCACGTGGTCAAGTGAGACTGATTACTTTAGAACAGTGTGGGCTTAGGCCGGCAGCAGTTCACCTGGGCGCTGGTTAGACATGTAAATCCTCCCCCGCATCCCCCACTCCTGACCTCTTGAATCAGAAACTCTGGGGATGGATGGAGCCCAGAAATCTGTGTTTGAAAAAAGCCCTGCTCATGTTTCGGATGCAGCTAGAATTCAGCTTGTCTGACAGACCTGAGTCTTTGGGAACGCAGAATCTGTTGAGGAAGGGGAGAGTTCTAAAAAGAAGTCCAATTTTATACAAGGTCAGACCAGTTAGGAATCACTGGCAGAAATGGTTGCCTTTTGTTCATTTTGTTTGAAGACAGGCATGTTTCCAGCACATTCTAGTCTCTTGTCTCAGAGTTCTTGGAAATTACTGCTATTGGTTCTGCAGGTGCTGATAGGACACTAAGCTTTCTACTCTTCGACTTTAAGTGGTTTAGCCTCTATAAGCTCCAGTTGTGCCATCTCTCTTGTGGGTAACCTCCTAATGTTGCCATTTGGATTAAACAAGAGGCTACATGGGTTTAAATATGGCACCTGTTCAGTATATGGTAGCTACTTGTGTTATAATCTTTATGCCCTACTTATGCAGCCACTGAATGTGGTGTGTTTTGTCTCCAGGTTGATACCTGTTGGTGGGTGACCAGAATTAGTTCTAGTCTAAAATTCTTTTTTTTTAAAGATTTTTTTTTATTCATGAGAGACAGAGAGAGGGAGGGAGGGGGGGTGGGCAGAGACATAGGCAGAGGGAGAAGCAGGCTCCATGCAGGGAGCCTGATGTGGGACTCAATCCTGGGACTCTAGGATCACCCCCTTGGCCAAAGGCAGATGCCTCAACCACTGAGCCACCGAGGTACCCCTAGTCTAAAATTCTGCAGGTGAGAAACTCAGTTTCACCTTTTTACCCAAAGATTTCAGGGCCTGGGAATTGTTCTCAACGTAACATAGTGTGAGCAGCCTTTGCTCTACATGCTGGAGAGGGGAGCATGCAGACAGTGTCCCAGGGCTGAGAGGGAGCACAGTGCCCAGTAATACCTCCACATTTTCACAGACCATTAGCTACTTCACTCAGAATCTGCTTCACCCTGATTTGTTCACAACCCTGGCTCCCCCTCTGCCACATTATAAAGGACTTCTGTCTGGAAAAATCTGTCTTCTTACACGCCAGGTGGTGGTGGGGAAGGGGTCCCAGCCTCAACCAGCTTTCCTAGAAGAGGAGATGGCTCATCGCCACTAGAGGGCGCGATTACCCCATGCTTCCCTCCTTATCTCTCAGGGAAAGATCAATGTTTCGAGATCTACGCTTCTCCCAGGAAAATCAACCTGGGTGGCAACTATCCTCAATCTTAGGATTCAGCTTTCACTCCCTGCAGCCCCAGAGCCCACCCTTGTCCACGGAACAGGATATTCTGGGATAGGCGGCTCAAACCATCAGTTTTACAGAATCTCATATGAGACTGTAGAGCCAGAGGGGACCTTACTTATGCACGTCCTTCATCCTCCTGTTCAACCAATCAAGAGTCAGAGAAGCTGGGTGACTTGCCAAAACATGCACAGCCATATAGGGACAAAATCCAGGCTGGAATTTGGGTCTCCTGACTCCTAATCCTCTCTATAATAGTGATATTGCAAATAATAATAATAATAATACCTACTATTTAGGGCTGCCCGGGTGGCTCAGTGGTTTAGTGCCGCCTTCATCCCAGGGTGTGATCCTGGAGACCGAGGATCGAGTCCCACATCGGGCTCCCTGCATGGAGCCTGCTTCTCCCCCTGCCTGTGTCTCTGCCTCTCTCTCTCCTCTCTGTGTATTCTCATGAATAAATAAATAAATAAAATCTTAAAAAAAAAAAACCCTACTATTTATCCAGCATTTACCTAGGGCCAGGTATTATCCTGGACACAATCCTTGCAACATTTATTTATTCACTCAACAAACATTTGCTGTACATCTTCTAGATGCCGGGCACTGTTAGAGAAGGGAGTATGGTCATTAACAAGTCGGGCTCCTGTTTTCAAGTAGCCTACATTCTAGTGTGCATGAGCAAGCGCAGACTCTGTCATCACGGACCTTTGCCCTCAGGGAGAAAACTGCTTTGAGAATGTTTAGTGGAGATAAATAAATATTTCATTATAGGGATTTAGATATCTCTAAACACATAATACTGAAGACATTCTAGACTTGATAGTAATTTATTTTAATTATATCTTGTCCAGCAGTTCGAGAGAGACCTCCGGCGTTATGCCTCTCATGAGCGGAAGATGATCCTGGATAACCATGCATTATATGACAAGACCAAGGTAGAGTTGTCTACCCAACATGGGCTACTTCAATCCTCATCCCAATGGCAGGCTCCTTGAGCACTTTTCCTGACCTGATTTTAGTGCTCAGTTTCAGTTTCTTTTCCCTAAGTGTCCTGCTCCCACAGATCACAGTTTAAGAGCAACTAGAAAGATCCTGATGGGAGCATGATTCCCACCTGGCCCAGAATGTACCTTAAGGGCTTTGGGCTCGATGATGATGAGCTTGCTGGGCCCTCATAACCAGTACAGTGGTGAACATTAATTGAGTTTGGTCTATATTTGGTATTTTTAGTGAATAATTCCAAAGGAAACCAAGGATTTCCCCAAATCATAAATACCACTCAAGTACCCTTAAATGTAATGAGCAGTAACGTTTTAAGTGACCATGTAAGTCATTAATGAGAGTGTAGTGCAAGAGACAGAGCAAAAGAGATGTCCTGAAATGTAGATGGGCAATCAACTAGGCTCACTCTCCAGATATATATATATATATATATATATACACACACCAGTTATAACTCGGTATGCTAGCCTTACACTGGCCATGATCCAAATTCATGCCTCAGCAAAATGATAAATTACTGTATGAATTATGAAGAGTTAAATATTCATCTGTTAAATCTACAAGTTTACTCTTCCAAGTGGTCAAGGTCTACTGTTCTTACAGTGGTCAAGCACACTAAACTAAGCTCTGAGGGGAATAAGACACAAAATAACTAGAAGTAATGATCTTAATGCTCTAGGAACTTACAGTCTAACTGAGCTGTATTCAATTAGAGCTACCTCAGTTACAAGTCAGAAACCCAAACCAAGATGGCACGGCAAAAAAAAGGGGTCCTTGGCTTATATACTGCAGCATCTAGGGGTAACACCAACTTCAGGTGTGGCTGTATCCAGCTGCTAATGCAGATTTCCCTCAGTGTTGGTTTCATTCTCAGGCATGGTTTTCCTATGATTCTCATCCTTCAAGCTTGACATAGAAGAACCTCTTTCTTAATAGTTCTGACAAGAGTCCTAGGTGACATTCATTGGCCAGGCCTGGGCCATGTGCCCATCCCTGAACCCTTTACTGTGGCTCTGTTTGGTCTGGCTTGGATCATGTGGTAGCCCTCTTTGAAGATGGAATTAGGCCCACCTGATCCTCATGGACTGAGAGTAGGGAAAGGTGGTTTCCCAAAGAAAAAAATCAAGGTGCTGCTGTCAGATGAGAGGGCTGTAGATGTTGGCAGGAAAGCCTCAAGCATGTGAGTGGAGGCAGATTCACATAACACAATTTAGGAATACTTACAAACTAACACATACTAAATAGTTTAACAACTGAGTACATCTTACATGCCCAACGCTGTGGGCATGTAAGGCAAGAAGGGATGAAAAAAGTGATGGTTGGTCTAAAAGACATCATAGGGTGGGAGCCTGGGGGAGGTTGAGGTGGGGACAGAGGAAGGCCTGAAGGAGAACCCAACATATACAAGTATCCTATAATTGCTTCTCCTCATTACCTGGAGCAGCAGTGCATAATTCTGGCTGCACATGGGAGTTATCCAGAGCCTTTTTTTTTTTTTTTTTTTTTTATCCAGAGCCTTTAAATAGATTGGTGGTAGAACCTCTCCTGAGATTCTAATTTCACTGGATTGGGGTGTAGCTCAGGCTTCAATGTTTTTTTTAAAAGTTCCTTCAGGTGGTTCTAATGAACGACTGTGGTTACAGATCCACAGGAAAAATACCAAATGCCTGTAGCTAAATATGTAAGGCTGTTGTAATTTTACTTTAATCCATAAAACACCATATTTTGGGGTGGGAAAATGTAAAAATTACAGAAGTCAGTTAAGATAAAAAAAAGAAGTCAGTTAAGACAGCTTTTTATACTCAGAAGCAGGGAATTACGTTTTGGTAATAGTTCATTCCGCCAAGACAATTTACCGGTAAAACTTTCACTATGTCAGCATTGAGATGTTTAAAAATATCTGAATGCACATATTTCTTTTTATTCTTTCAGAAAATATTCCTCAAAGCAGAAAGTGAAGAAGAAATTTTTGCACATCTGGGATTGGATTACATTGAACCATGGGAAAGAAATGCCTAGAAAAAATTGTCAACTTTTTTCCAGCTTTTTTTTTTAAGGTTAAATACATTATGCTTCATATTATAGTAAAGATGCCTTAGGAAAATATGAGATTCTTTAAGCCTTATTGAAATGCAGATTGCTTTCAGAAATAGTTTTGGAAACATGATAAGACACCACCTGGTAATGGATTATGCTCTAATAGGCCATTTGTATGACTGTTGCTTAGAATTCACAATGCATTTTTCCATAGAATTGATGTTGAAATTGGTGGCTTGTTTCCAGGGAGGCTCATCAAAGCCCACTTTGCCCACAGCGTAGCTGAAATACTGTATATCTGCAATAAAAATAGAAGGAAACAAGATGGTGGAGTCTTCTTTTTCACTCAATACTATAAAATATTCTAAATAAAAGTGTGACAAAATGAAAAAAATGAAGAGTTTAAGATTTATCTTGAGGAGAGAAACAGGTTTAACGAGAAGATCAGAGATTCTAAGGGCATTGTGGGTGCCTTCTGGAGCTTTTGGAGGATGGAGTAACTCCTGATCCACTCTGCTCAGGTCATAGTCAGCTTCTTCTGTGTCCATGGAGCTGTTTCTCTGGGTGTCCCAGCACAAGGCCACACATGGATGTGTTCCCACTGCTTTCACTCAGTAATATAATTTCCTAAACTGGGCGCCTGGGTGGCTCAGTGGTTGAGCATCTGCCTTTGTCTCAGGTCATGATCCTGGGGTGCTGGGATAGAGTACCACATTGGGATCCCCTAGGGAGCCTGCTTCTCCTTTTATGTCTTTGCCTCTCTCTGTCTCTCATGAATAAAGAAATAAATAATCTTAAAAAAAAAAAAGACTTTGCCCCAGCCAAAGGAATATCTCCCCTGTTTTCTATCTCTGAGTCTCTCTCTGGATCTTAGTGGCCCTTTCTCTCAGGGAGGTGCTCTCTCTTGGTCTTTTCATCTTAGGATACCCAAGGTAAGGGAGGCAGCTTTGAAAGTATGTGTTGGCAGGTGGCAGTAATTGATTGGGTTTGTAGAACCTGTTCTTAGGTATTTGAAGAAGAGGGGACATGTTGCTGAGCAATCAGAGGCCTTGTGTGAGAAAGAAATGCCTCCACAACATATCAAAGCAGAGTTGGTGGATGGATCCTGAGGTGCTATGGTCCCAGGTTCTCCCACTAGGAGACCCTGCTTGTTCACCAACAATGGCCCTCCGTGCATGAAGGAACCAGGACTCCTGGAAGCCTCCTCACAGAAGCAATGGTGAAGGTATGACCTGAGCCAGCTGGTGATGTCCACAGGCTTTCCCCAGATGGCAAGTAAATTGCTACTCAGCCTACCCTTCTGGTCCTCTGTTCATCCACTCAGTCCTCTTGCTCTCTCTTTCTAGAGTGTAGATTGGAAGCCTTTCTCTCTACTCATCAAGAGTATAGCCCTCATTTCTAATAATCTCCTGGAACTACCTTTGCCTTCATGCCACTCTATTTACCCTCAACACACACACACACACACACACACACCTCTCTCTCTATTTTAGAATTGCCTTCCTTAAATACTCTCTGATCACAGACACACATGGGAACAATGAATGACCCAGCTCTGTGCTATCCCAGTGCTCAGGGAACACATGACTCCCCATGATTTCTACTTTGAGATGTTCAGAAATAAGAAATTACTTCTCCTCATACATCCCCTTTAAGTTTTATTTATATCCCAACTTGTACCACGCTGGCTCTGGCCAACCCTTCGCATGGAAACCAGGTGTGATGGGGTTTTTGTTTGTTTGTTTTGTTTTATTTTTTCTGAGAAAAGAGATATGGAAAAAGATAAAAAGACAAGACATGCAGAAATCAAGCCCCTTTCCCCAAATCATAAAGAAAAGCATAGGTCGAGAAGATGATCGAAGGTCTCCTTCTGGATCTCACTTGGTGCTTCACTGCTTATTAAACAACAAGATCTGAGTGTTGGAATGAATCTTTAGCTCTGTCACCTACAGAGACAAATCAACCCAAAAGTTTTCCAGATCTGCAAATGAAATTTGGATTGGTTAAGAAGCAGCTTGGCATCTCTTCTCGCTCTGAGCGCGAATCCCTGGATTTTAAGCTCTGTTCCAGCTCCAGATCTGCGACTTGACTGAACTGCATCATTCCAGGCTCAATCTGGGCATAAGCCACCACAATCCCCTCCTTCTCTCCATTTCGACAGTAGGACGGTAAGTGTCATGCATGGGCTCCTCGCTTCCTGCTACAGTCTTCACATATACATGGGCTCCTTCTGCTCCCATCAGATTCTTCTCATGTGTGGGTGACCTCCTAGGATTCTTGAGAAAACAAACAGGTTTTTCAAAAATACAGCAAAGGCTCCTGCTTCTGGCCAAACTGGAACAACAGCAACCAGATTTACCCTCCCACCTAAAACAACCAATAGAAAGAAAAAAAAAACATTTAAAACAATAGTTTTTGGACAGCCTGGGTGGCTCAGCGGTTTAGTGCTGCCTTCAGCCCAGAGCCTGATCCTGGAGACCTGGGATCGAGTTCCACGTCGGGCTCCCTGCATGGAGCCTGCTTCTCCCTCTACGTCTCTCTCTCTCTCTCTCTCTCTTTCTGTATCTCTCATGAATAAATAAATAAAATCTTTTTTAAAAAATAAATAAAAAATAAAACAATAGTTTTCAAGACACTGGACATCAGGCAAGGAAGGATGCAACCCTTGAGAGAAAACAAATGAGGAAAGGCCTACAGTTGCCAAGTTTAACGCCTTGGCAGATCTTTTCTGCTACTCAACTCTCTTTTGTTTAAATGTTAGCATGGTATTTCTTTTTCACTCCTTTTATCTTTAATCTATTAGTGTCTCTATATTTAACGTGAGTTTTTGCAGACAGTGTATAGCTGGATCTTGTTTTTATAGGCAAACTGATTTAAAATTTTGATTTTTATATCTCTGCCTTTTAATTGGGATATTTAGATCACTTTAGATCATTTAGTAAAGTCCTGATATGGTTGGGTTTCAATGTATCATTTTCCTATTTGTTTTCTATTTGTTCTGTCCATTGCTACTTTTTAAGGTTTTTTTTTTTTTCTACCTTCTTCCACATAGATTTTAGGAGCATCTTATTGGGTTCCATGGAAAAAAATCTATTGGAATTTATATTGGAATTACATTTATCATATAGATTGATTTGAGGGTTTTTGACATCTTTATGCTCTTGAGACTTCCTATCCTGGAGCTTGGTATGTAACTCTCTCATAATTTAGGTCTTATTTAATATCTTTTACTAAAATTTTATTATTCTCCATAAGGAGATTACAGTTTTTATTAGACTTATTCCTTAGCATTGGACATATTTTTATTACCACTACAAAATAGTATTTTTTAAAATTACTTTTTCTAAGTGATTGTTATTAATTTTTAGAAATGCACATTACTTTTGTATATTGATTTTATATCTAGGAAATTTGTTAAAATCTCTCAATTCTAATACTTTATCTGTAGATAATTAGCTTTTCTATGTAGATAATCATAACACCTGCAAATAATGAAGTTTTGTTTCTTCTTTCCCAGTCTTATATTTCCACTTCTTTTTCTTCTCATTCTAGTCTTTTTTTGAGGTATAATTGACAAACAAAATTATAAGATGTTTAAAGAGTATGATGTGATTATTTGACATATATATACATTGTGAAAGGATTCCCCCTTAGAGTTAATTTCTACTTGTCTTTCTAATCCTACTGCATTGACTAGAACCTAAAGCACAATATTGAATTACATTTAATATCAAATAGTATTGTATTCAATATTGAATATAGCGTTCTTGTTTTGTTTCTGATCTTAAAGAGAATTCACTAATATTTTACCTTTAGGTATGATGTTTGCTATAACTTTTTTTAAAAATATGTCTTATTTCACGTTTCTACTCTGTTTTTGATTTGCTAAGAGTTCAAATCACAAACGGCCCTTCAATTTTTTTGGACTCTTTTCTCCTAATTGAGATGGTCACACAATTTTTCTCTTTTAATTTTTCAGTGAACTAAATAATGTTAAATGGATTTTCTAATATTAAATCAACCTTGAATTTCTATCCAGCCAATAAAAATATAGTGAGAACTTCCTTTATGCCTGAGCTTCATTGAGTTGCCTCTTTTCCACAGGTGTTCACACTGTACTTCTCCTATACACAGAAGGCTTAAAAATCCTCAGCTTGCATGTATCAATGATATATAGTTATTTTCAAAAAAATTATTTATTTGAGAGAGACAGAGAGGGGTGAGAAGCAAAGGGGAGGAGGAGAGAGAGAGAGAAAGAAAAAGAGAGAATCTCAAGTAGACTCCTTGCTGAGCTCAGAACCTGATGCAGGGTTCAGTCTCACCACCTTGAGATCATGACCTGAGCCAAAATCAAGAATCAGAGGCTTAACTGACTGAGCCACCCAGGGGCCCCCTTGATATACAGTGATTTTAACCCAGAGTTCTTACCTCAGCAATCTTGGGATTGTCATAGATTTCTGAAATTTCACATGGCCTCTCACTTTCCTAAGTTGGTAAAAATAAATAAGAAAGGAAGAAGAGATGAAAGGTCACAGCATTTGCCCATGCTCATGATTAAAATCAGTGATTCTTAAACCTGCAAGCACATCAGAATCACCAGAAAGCATTCAAAACAAAACAAAGTAAGCAAACAGATAATAACTACCCAAAAAAATCCATAAATGAGAAATACCATTGTATGTTACTTCAAAAATAGCCCAGGATTGACAACAGGGAGAAGTGGGTGGGAGTAGAGATCAAGGAAGATTGGCCACATTTTGATAATTGGATTCATTATACTCTCTAGTATATATTTAAAACTTTCCATGCCATAGCTCTATTTTCCAGAGATACTAACTTAATTCATTTTGGTGATTGATATTTTTTGTAATAAAAATCTAGATGATTTTTAAAGTGCACTGAAGGTTAAGAAACTATGTCTTAAATAACACTACCAACAACCACAATACACCTTAATATGTTTAAAGTTTACAACTTGTCAACACATCTTTATAACCATGATCTCAGTCCATCCTCAGAACTTTGCCTACCTCCTAAAATAGTGAGGGTAGTTTTTATGACTCCTATTTTGGAATAGAACTAACCAAGGCACAGAAAATGTGAAGTCACTTGCTTAGGATCACATAAATCATAAAGTGGCAGAGCCACGGGTAAGAGACTATTGTGTCTATCTCCCGTTGGTGCTTATCAATATGAGAATAATCAGGATCATTCATAAATACAGGATGGAATTAGAGCCCAGTGTCCACACAACACAGTTGTATTACAACCATGGAAATGTCTTGAACATTGTCTGGGTGGCCTTTGAATTCTGAGCATGGTCTCCAGAGCAATCCAGCATTTGAAGGGGTGGGGTTGGCAGATTCCCTTGTGACTGATGTGCGTTCAGATGTAGAAAAAGTGCAAAGATAAACAGAGCCACATAACTGTGGGCGTAGCCCTACCATAGACACCTCAGTACCTGTTAGTCTCCTACCTTTCCTGAGATTGTCTCCACTCCCTTTATGAAGCTTAGGCCCTTTTTCCTTGACTTTAGAAAACACACCCACAGATGCGCATTTGCCATGATAATACATGTCCCTCTCCACTGCTACTTTTTGCCACCCCAAATACTATCCTTGTTGCCACAGATTTCCTAAATGAAGGATGTGTGATAGATTGGCTCTACTGGCGTCTGAGATGGAAATTGAGGGACAGGATGTCCACCATCGTCTCCCTAGGAAACAGATTCAAATCCTGACACTCTCAGTCCAAGGCCAATTCACTGAAATACTGATTCCTGCCAATACAGCCAAACCCAAAGAAGCTGCTAATCACCTCGGTGGATTCATTGCTGCTTCTTCTTCGGTGGATCAGCATAAATAGTAAAGCCACCAACAGGGCTGTGGCCACCAGGGACGGGATGCCTGCTGCTAATCCAAGAGAGGGCCCACAGTCCTGGCACACAGAGAAGGGAAGAGTCAGGTTTTCCAAGAATAAAGGAATAATTCAGTTGATTAAAAATAAGACAAAACAAAAACTTGCACAACCTCTAAGTGTCATATACAAAATCAAAAGGTTAATAAGAGGGGATCCCTGCGTGGCGCAGCGGTTTGGCGCCTGCCTTTGGCCCAGGGCGTGATCCTGGAGACCCGGGATCGAATCCCACGTCGGGCTCCCGGTGCATGGAGCCTGCTTCTCCCTCTGCCTGTGTCTCTGCCTCTCTCTCTGTGTGTGTGACTATCATAAATAAATAATTTTAAAAAAAAAAAGGTTAATAAGATACTGTGGGAAAAAATGTTTGCAATTTATATATGACAAATGACTCATGTCATAGGACTTAATCTACATAGTTTAAATCAATGGGAGAAGAGTGATAATCCAGTAGGAAAATGGGCAAATGATATGAACAGGCTCTTCCTAGGAACAGAAATACAGATGTCTCATCAACATAGCAAAAGCTGAGAAATAATTCAAAGCAAAGATTAGATACTATTTTAACCAGTTTGGCAAAAAGTAAAAAGTTATATCCCACATCATTTTGATGCGGATCTTTACATTTATTTACACTATATCCATTAAGCAATCAATTTTAAAACTTCCATTTTGTTTTGATCTGAGTGGAAATAGCCACACTTGTCTCCACCTAAATTTTCAGATTTGTATATTGTATGGAAATATCAAAGATAATCTGCAGAATCCCTATAACCACCCCAGGATCATGCTCTAAGCCAAAGGTAGATCCTCAACTGTTGAGCCCCCCAGGTGCCCCTCTCCCTCATTTTGGGAGCTAAATTGGTCAGAAGAGTAATTGTTAAGCCAGATTCTGGGCTTGGCAACAGTTCACGTATCGAACTCTAATCCTCAAAACATGAGTAGGAAATGGCTGAAGCATTATTATTCCCATTTTATAAGTAACCAAACCAAGGTTCCATAATGTAGTGATATACTTACTGCTTCTTTCCCACCTGTAGCAGCTGGGGAGGAAGTCTGTGTGGAAAAAGAACATACATCTTAAAAAGCCCAAATCTACACAGTGCACATTATACAAGAGAGCCCATCAAAGGTTAAGCTATAATGACTAAAGCTCACCCTTTTGCTCAAGTTTCTTTTGAAAACAGATGACAACTGCCAAATAGAACCTTACTCGATTGCTTTCCAGTAAGAAGGAATGAAATCTGGCTATAAAGAGAGAGAATTCAGAAATTCAAATGATGTCTTTGTTACTCTGCCTCTGGATTTACCATAAAACACTTTACAACGCAGAAAGGCTTTCATCTGTCCCTACACCCTTTCCAGCATCCTTTGGGCCACTTGTCCACGTTGCTAGAAAGAAAACAAATATAAGAATTGGTGGAAGCAAGTTTCTTCAAGGGAGCCTTCCTTGTTTTCAAATGCACAATGAAGCAAGTGGCTTCGGGGGGTATCTGAAGTTGTGAATATCCATGAATACATGTGTCCAGTCCATATCTCCACTCAAGGGAGAGGGAATCAGATTTCACCCATTTATGAGATATTTCAGGTGAGAGTCTTCCATAGATCACTAAATCTCAAGGGACAAAGTTCTACATTCACCACTAGCCAGTGTAAGCTACAGTAGGTGGGGTTAAGAGCATGGGTCCCTGGCTCACAAAATGGTAATTTCTCAACTCAAGCAAAGGAAGGGACCGCACCACTTCATCTGTAAAATCAGGATGTTAGTCCCTACCTCTAGGGTTGTTATGAGGATCCAGTGAGCATCAGAAGTATACGCTTCTGTTTTTCCCTTAAACTTGGCAAAGTTCTAGTCAGACCTGTTATTTACTTAATCTTCTCAACCTCAGGGAGCACATTGGAGTGCCCAGGGTCTGGGCTTTTACTTGTTGTCTCTATCTTACAAAAAATGGAATAGATCTTAGACAACTTATGGGTCTTTTCCTAGGTCCCAGGGGTAACTATAAATCTAACATAAACTTGGGTGTTTGAATTCCAAACCTAGGTCTCTTTCCCAAAGAACGCCCATCAGAGGAGGGATTTGTACTTAACTGATTACACTGTTGCCTAAATACAGACACACACACACACACACACACACACTGCCCCCCCCCCCCCCAGGGGCACTTCAGGGCTGCCATCTGCCTAAAGTGTTCTATTCCTCAGGGTAGTGGGAAGAGTGGATATTGTTTCAGGTAAGACATTCTTGTCTGTAGAGTTCACTTGGGCTGGCTTTGGCAAGAAAGAAAGAAAGAAAGAAAGAAAGAAAGAAAGAAAGAAAGAAAGAAAGAAAGAGAAGAAAGAAAGAAAAGAAGGAAGGAAGGGGAGCTAACTGTAAAGCTGCAGGGTGCCATGGGGAGCTCAAGTCCAGAGGGAATCTGGGTTCTCCAGGGATTGGAGCCATACCTCTTGGGACCTCTCTATCTCTCCTGAGCATCGTAACCTTTCACGCGTGCTCTTCTCTGCCCATTTGCCCTTCTTTCTCTCTCCAGATGGATATTTCTGCCCTGCTAACTGTACCAGCTAACAATTACAGAGAACTTACTAAGTACCAGGCTCTTCAAGTACTTTCCCTGTATTGGCTCGTTTGTTCTTCGCAACAGCTAGTGAAGAAAAACAATAATGACCCCCATTTTACAGAGAAGAGAGAAGCACAGAGAAGTGAGGCAATGTGTGTGAGGTCACACAGCCCTAAGTGGTAAGTGCCCTAAGTGGTAGATCCAGGGTCTATGTTCTTAACCATGTGCTAGCTTCATTGCGTTCCAAGACCAAATGTAGCACACCAACCCGGTTTTTGTACTTGATGGTTCAGTATGGCTCAACAGAAACCGACTTACACATGCTCCCCTGTTCCAAACCCCCTGCAGACAGGCTCTGATGGGCCAGGTATTCACCTCTCCCTTATTTCCCAGGGCACTGGCATCTCTGGTCATTCAGGGGCACCAAAAGGAAGGGTTATTTATTTATTTTTCTAAGTTTCATTTATTTATTTTAGAGAGAGAGAGAGAGAGCTTGGGGAGGGGCAGAGGGAGAGAGAGAATCCTGAAGCAGGGTCCCCGCTGAGTGTGAAGCCTGACCCAGGGTGCAATCTCAGGACCCTGAGTTTATGACCAAAGCTGAAATCAAGAGCAGGCTGCTCAGGTGCCCCCAAAACGGAAGGGTTATGCAGTCAAATGTAACTGCCAGATAGGGTACTTGCCCAGGATAGAAGACATGCAATGCTAAGACCAGGAAGTCCCAGACAAACTGGGATGGTTGGTTGCCTGGTTGCCTTATATAGGTTCAAAGGGAGGAAGGGACAGTGCCCAGAGAAATGGGCTATTAATAAAGGAGGCATTGCACAAAGTGATGACTAGCATCATGAAGAGTTTCCCTCTCACCCCCACTCACCTCCACAGCCCTGAGCAATGCCTTCCTGTGAGTTACCCTCATAGGATAGGCCAAAAACCAGGAATAGACAGAAACTGGGATCTCTAGACCTATTCAATTAAGCAGGAACCATATGAGAAGGTCTTGACAGGTACAGAGAGGGATAGGGGAATTTGTATGAGGACAACAGTCAGAGGCTGAAGCAGAGAACAGAGAGAGCAGGACAGGGTGATTCCAAAGGCAGGGCCCTTGCGGGATGGCAGAGTGGGTGCCAGGGGAGTCGAGGGACAGAGATCCAGGGTGGCCAGGAGTGGGCACCTTTCCGTGCTCTCCAGGATGATGCCCCCATGTTCCAGTAAAAATGAACACTGGTGTATACATCCTCTAAATCAGGTAAATTCAATTTATTCTCTTTGAACAACAATGTAACTTATCAGAAAAATTTGGCAGAGCCAAACCCACTAAGCAACTGGGCCAGGAAAATGTCTGGCTCAATCATAACACCACTTCTGGGCAGAAAACCCCCCTGGCTATGTTATCGCTATGCACAGAAGACAGAGAGCAGAAGACAGATCAGCTGTGGACTGGAACTACATGCCATCAGCAACTACAATCTCCATCTGACTTGTAACTAAACACCATAGTCTAGAGCCATAAACTGTCGACCCAACAACACCCCTTCTAGAACATAGAGTAAAGAAATCCTCTTAAATGCAGACAAGGATTTAGCTTTTTATTACAAAATTATTCCTAATTGTGGCTAATCAATTAAAGAAATAATTCACTTAAAAGAATATCATGTAACATCCCCCAGTTATAGTTGTAAAGGCTGATAGAAAATATTTATCATAAAATCTATATTAAATAATATGTAGAGTAAGAACATAATGGCACAGAGACAACAAATGTCAAAATGTAGGCAAAGTCAAACAGGACTAGAAGAAGAGACGCCAATGTTTTCTGCTGATCAGAATTTAGGTGTGTTGATCTTTTTTCTCTAGTTTACTTTCAAAATGTTTATTTATAGCTTTTATAATTGAAAAAAATTTGTCTCAGCACCTTCCCCCCAACTATTCAGAACTGCCTTTGAAAATTTGCAATTCGGGGCATCTGGGTGGCTCAGTGGTTGAGGGGCTACCTTCGGCTCAGGTCATGATCCCTGGGTCTTGGGATCGAGCCCCACATTGGGCTCCCTGCTCAACACGAGCCTGCTTCTCCCTCTCCCTCTGCCTGCCGCTCTACCTACTTGTGCTTTCTCTGTCAAATAAGCAAATAAAAAAATCTTAAAAAAAGAAAACCAGCAATTCATCCCTCAGCATGAGGCCCACGTGAAGGTAGGTGCTCCTCCTGCCCCTCCTCACCCCTAGGCAAGCATGCACCTGCCTGGAGACTGAGCCTGCAGAACTTACCGTGTTGGCTGGCAGTGTGAAGTTCAGTGAGAAACCCTGGAGGGGAGAAGCAAACATAAGCACTCTGGGAATGATCAGTCAGGCTCCTGACCCCTCTACCGACTGTCATGTACCCACGGGGGTCACAGGGAAATTCACTGATTCCACAGGCTCAGTCAGCCCCCAACCTCTGCTTCCAATCTTGGCCCCCAAAGAGGGAAGGAGCAGAGGAGGCTAGGGTCTTGAGTCCTTCCCCATATTAAGTCAGTCTTGCCTCTTCCCCCCCAACCCCCACCTCCACCCAGATCCCCAGCCAGGGCCAGGTAAAGGGGCCAGCCAGTGATTGCCTGGTGGGGTCCCAACCCACAGGCAGCAAAGACAGTATTAGAAATTCAGCAAAGGGCTGAAAGTTGTTTTTCCCCAGAACTCCTTTTAGGAAGGGAATTGTGGGAGTTAGAAGCTCTGGGTACTTTCTGCTTGGGGTAGGAAGTAAGACCCACGAGGGGCATGCTCCAGCAAGAACACCTGCTCCTAACCCCCTCCCCAGGAGAGAGAGCCTGAGAAGGACAAGGCTTCTGTGGGCGCTGAGTGTAAGGCACAGTTGCCAGGCTGGAGCAGAGCTGCTCGGGACAAGAGAAGAGAAAGTAACCCTCTGCACCCTCCCCTCAATCAGCACCCAGCCTCACCTCTCCCCCAAAAACGGAGGCAATATTGAAAGATCATGAGCTCCGTGGGACACCAAATTGTTAGCCTGCCCAATCCTCCTGTGGCTCCTCCCTGCTCCCTGTGCTCATCTTCTGTCACTGCAGTTTGGGCTTGCCCATGCCAGTCTTTCCAGGCTGCTCTTTACTGAGACCAAGATAGACACCTTCTAGGACAATGTTAGAGCAAGAGGACTATCTGGGCCACCTTAGGCCTGTGTCTGCTTGCTCCAGGGACCTAACCACTGCCCATCCTGCTAATATCAACCAAGCCCACAAATGCTGCAAGGACACTTGGTGGCCACTGTATTGAACACAGCTGCCCAGAGCCTTATCTCATCAGTGAATACTGAGTACTGATGTCAGCAGGCCCAAGACAAAGCTTCCTTTGGGGGGACAGCAGAAGAGGGGGGGGCAGCAACAGTGGGCCATTGCATGTGCTGTTTACCAATATCTGGATGACGAAGATTTTGGCCGATTTCAGAAAGACATTCCTATTTTGTAGAAATATGCTACAGTGCTCTCACGGAGAGAAAAACATCACATCAGTTTGGGTGGGGAGAATCTGCAGCAGTGTCCTTTAGAGAGGCAGCTGCGTGGGGTGGGGCAACACTGGGCTTGCAGTCACCTGATCTGGATTATCAGTCCAGACTCAGTCACTTAGTAACTGTGTGGCCTTGGAAAAGTGACTCTAAGTCTCTGGTCTCCATTTCCTCTCAGCAAATCTGTTTTCCCGGGCTTAAATAGGGATAATGTTAACTCACCCTTCCCATCTCACAGAAGAAGCCCAAAGGGAATAACATCTGTGATAGCCCCCTCCGAACTGTAAAATATTCCAGGTGTGTGGGGGAGTATGTGGTGGGGGAGTCACACCATGTCATGCTCCTTGTGGCTTGGTCAGCTCTGAGCAAGGCATAAGGAAACCACTTGGGAAGTTCTTATTGGATGGAGTTGCATGCATAGATTAGCAACATTCCAAGTACTGGAATTTGTTACAATACACTTATTGCTGGTCTAAGCACCATGCAATATCTACATAACAGTTCCCTTGGCACATTAAGATCTCAGCGGCGACCAAGTGTCCTTTATTACAAACTTGCCATTTGTGAGGGGAGGAGGGAGAGACAGGTAGTTACTCACTGTTATTAAGGGGACACTGTGTGTCAGACACCGCATGCATAACCTCCCTGTAAAAGGAACATCCCTACATCGCGGGTGTGGGGACTCAGCAAGGCAGGTTGCTGGTAAGTGGTCTGGGTCTGGTTAGATCACAGATCTTCCTAACTCCAAAGCCAGAATTCAACTCCTTTTCATAATCTATTTAATAAAGGAACCCCAGAAGCCTCTTTTAACTTAGCAAACTTCATTTCATTGAGTCGCACCCAAATATGTGTCTCAAGTCAGTAAGAAAATTGAAAAGTTCCGATGTAACTTGTGAGTGTCTACGTGGCTGATGGCGTAATGGAAGGTGGACTGAGCAAATGAGGATAAAGGTGCATCACACCCACTGCTTCGACTGGGAAGTGAATTTAGCTGAAACATCTACTTTGTACCCTTGTTGTATGTGGAGTTTTAAAAACAAAACTTTAATGTTAAAATAAAAGATGAGATCGGCAAATAGTAGATGAGAATTGTTTTTAATGATTAGTATTTTGCAAATAGGAAAATAATTTAAAAAAAAAAGCTCCTTGAAATCATAATACTGAGGGTACAGTCATATTCGTGTTAGGAGATGTGAGCTTTAAACGCCTGGGGGTTATTTTTTATAGCGATAACAGAAGGGTAGGGTAAGAAAGGATGCTAGCCTACTCACCATTTCTGACAGCCTCCCAAGAACCTTCACCAAACACCACCCTCGGCGAACTCCTTTCTTGCTGGAGTCGTTGGCTTGTGTCTCATCATTTGTAGGAGCATCCAGCTGGGAGAGCAAGCATGACAGGGCAAGGGGCGGCTCCATGAGAGCTCTGGCCAAGCCATTTATGGTCAGGGGAGTAGCCAAGTCATCTGCCCATCCTTCAGGGAGATGCTGTCCTGCTTCACAGCCACTATGGATGGCCTGGATCACCCATCCTCTTTGGGGTTTTTTTCTCTCCTTGCTTTCCAGGCTCCTTCCTCAGCTACATCTCCATTTCAGCGAAGAACCCATAGCTGGCTAGAGAACGTAGTGGTTTCTGTGGTGAGCAGCACTTTAGAAACAATGGGATCCACAGGCAGAGGCTGGCTGGCCGCACCCTCCCCCTCTGCAAGCTTCCCTGGTGACCACTGTCCCAGCAGCTGTGGGGGTCAGCACACCAACAGCATCAACACAGAGGATGCCTAGTGATGGCTGTTGGAGCCTGCTCTGTGTTTGAGGCAGGGCTGTAGCTGCCCTAGGGAACACATTCCCTGGTCAATGAGCTTCCTAGTGGGGATTTGGCCTCACCCCCCTTTCTGTTCTCACATTATGAGAGGAGATCCTCCTAGAGTTGGAGGAAGACACGGACATGGATGCTTTATGTTTTTTATGAGGTCTTTGTTAGGAATTTGCTTCTTTGAAACAGTGAGGGAGCTGGAGTCCCATGCCAACAAACAACAGAATTATGATCAGTAAATCTGATGACTTATATGAATGCACTCATCATGGTTCAACAAATCTCTCTGACACTTTCTATATGTCAGGTGTTTTTCTGGGCATGGTTCTGGGCCTTGGTGATGAAGACAAATGAGACCCCAACTCTTGGGGAGTGTATGTTCCAACGAGGGCCAATGGACCCCAATCAGAATAAGTGAGACCCGCTAGGAGAGGAGCAAAAGGAGTGATTGGAGTGACTGGGAAACAGTTGCTTTGAATGTCCCTGAGAGATGACACTTTGGATGTGTGTGAAAGAGAAGAGGTCCCAGGCAGAGGGAACAGCATATGCAAAGCTCCAGGGCTGAAGCAGACACAGACTGGAAGGAGGTCCATGTTCCTGAAGCAACATAAACTGGTGGTCACCAGAGGGGAAGAGGGGGATGGGTGAAACAGGTGAGGGGATTAAGAGGACACTTATTGTGATGACCACTGAGTCATGTACAGAATTGTTGAATGGCTATATCCTACTCCTCAGACTAATACAATGCCATATGTTAACTGCACTGGAAAATAATTATTAATTAATTTAAAAATGTCTTAACAACAACAAAAGGCAGAGTGAGTTAAAGCAGGAGCAGAGCAGGAGCTAATTGTTGTTGACAAAGATCACCTGGCTTCCCCGTGAAGCCTGGATCACAAGGGAAGGGTGTCAGCCCAGAGCCTGGCTGGCAAGGCAAAGGTGGTGGCTGTCCTGGGATGGGGAACAGTGGAAATGGAGAGTAGTGGATGGGCATGTGACTTACTGTGGAGGTTAAGGCAGTGAGTTTTGACAGTGGAGTAAAACGTGCACAGGGAAGCTGACTCCTGGGTTTGGGGCTTGCTCACAGAGGGCACGGTGGCACCGTGTGTTTGGGCAGGTGACACTGGAAAAATGGATTTGGGGCCTAGGGATCCAGGTACTAGGGTACTGTCTTGAGCGAGACCTATACGGCCTGTGCTTCAAGGGGCTTCCAGTTCCCAAAACTCCACAGCGATGCCGATGCCTACACTGATGTCCTAGTGTCTGGACGTCACAGACACAGCTAAGTTCGGACAGGCCTGTGTGTAACGCCTTAGCTGCAATCATGGAAGCTGAGTGGTCTTAGGCAAGTAAAGTAACGTCTTCTGGCCTCAGTCTCTATCAAATGGGGTTGATCAGGTTTACAGTGACTAGACTAGTGAAATCAGTACAAGTGGTACAACTTGTGCCTCTAACTTTGCTTGGTGGGCACAGACTCATACCTGGAGCAGAGAGCTGGACCAAGGGACTCTAGTTCATGGCCCCCGCTCCCTCTGGATAAGGCTGTCTATGATGGGTAAGGCCGGTGAGGTCCTTTTTGACTCTGTTTGCTATACATCCAGTGACCACCACCCCTCCCTCCAACTGACAGGGTATTCCTTTAGGAGAATGGCTAAGACCTCTAGTCAGTGGTGCACTGGCCAAGTGTCTGGGCCCATTGTGGTTCTCTGGTCACAGGCGTGAAAATGGACTGTGATTAATTTAAGGAGGAGGAGAGAGACTCGGTTGGCTTTGTATAGGAGATCTCACAGAAAGAAGAGAGGGCTAGGAAACTAAGTTCTGGGAAGGCAGGACGAGGTTGCTCCTGAGGCTTCAGTGGCAGAGACTCTTCCACCATCTTCTCAGGATATCCTCCCTGGGGAAAATCTCAGCCCTTTTGCCCCTTGATCAAGACTTCAATTCCAGGAAGAGGAGCTAATCAGTCTGGCTCGGGTCATGTGGCCCTGGTGACCACGATTGGAGCATAGGTGTTCTGCAAATGGAACATGGCACCATCACTCAAAGAAGAGGGAAAGGGTGAAATAAGTGGTCCCTCTTCCTCTGGGAATTATCTTCTTAGAAACTATAGGAGGAATGCCCTTTAGTGGGTGAAGAGATGGAGGGCACCAACTCTGAGATTCTCTCGTCATTTGTATCTTACCACCATTTAAATTGCCACACTTATGGTTTGCCAGGCAATAACTGGTCAGTTTAAAAACCTGGACCATTCTAAATGATAAATGGCCTTATTCTTGTTTTTGTTTTTTAAATCTGTACCTAAAATGCCAGTAGGGAAATAGTGATGAAGTAAAATGTTAAAACAAACAGAAAGATTCTGGTCATTTCCCTATCCATGAATGTCACATGTGAGAGCCATTAGTGGGGTCTACCAGATATTTCTAGTTCATCTCATTCTTAATCTGAAGTTAAGAGTAGCCATACAAGTTCCTTTGGCCAACGACATGGGAGTAGAAGTCATATAGCACTCTCAGGCAGTTGTAAGAGACAGTGTGTGATTTGTCATTCTTTCACTCTGCCATAGAAATCAGCAACGCTCCAGGTAGGAGCTGCTCCTTCATCCTAGTCCTGGCCATAGCTAATGTGGAAGAGCTCGCCGACACCAGAAATAAACATGTAGTATGAACAAGAAATAAGCCTTTCCTATGTAATTTTGTATATGTGAGGGTTGTTTTTTGATGCAGCATAAACCCCTTTACCCTGACTGACCCATCAAGCATTCATACCCTTGTCCCATTGGGGTCCAATGGTACTGGTAAAGACAAAAAGAAAAGTCCTAAAACCTTGACACTCCCCATGCAGCACAACACAGTTGCATAAACAGTTCTGCATTTAGAGCACTTTGCATTGAGCCTGAACTGAGTGCTTAAAACAAAAAACATGATTCCTTACTACCCTTCCCTGAGATAACCACAAAATTCTAAACATCCCCCAAAGTCTCCCTAACTGTCCTTGATTAGATGGGACCTCTCTGTCCTTGGGTTAGAAATGACCCTGTATCACAGGAAATAAGTGAGATACTCAATTTGCTATATTTGAAGAGGGCTTATTCTAAGGACTATTTATAACAGTCCTCCTTGGGGGATAACTTAGTGCCCCAGGATTACACCAGCTGAGTGTCATTACCACCCCTAGGCCTGAAGGGGGGAGCAGGAGTGGCTGGCAGTGCCCAGAGAAAGAGGGCCACCTTAGAGGAGCTGTGATCATCAGTTTTAGATCCAGCTGAGGTCCTCAGCACACAAACAGGTGGAAACGAATACAGAGAGGTACTGAGGGACAAACGAGTGGTGTCCACCACACTAGCACTGTCACCACGGCAACCAGTTCCACAACAAGTATGTGCTCGGATTTCCAGCCTGTTTGGATTCAAGAAAAGGGACAGCTTTGAAGTCATCTTTAGCTTTGCTCCTGACCTTCTGGGTCCCATAGGGAGCTCTGTTCTGGACCAGGTTCTCACCAGAGAATAGAAAGCCACTGAGAAGATCCCCCTTTCTGTGTCCTCAAGTCTTGTGGCATTAGCTCATCAGAAATTATCAAAATCATCACCAAGAGGACCACTCTCATCTGAACTAGTAACACAAACCCAGGACACATCCAGAAATCCACATTCTTTAATGAAACAATTCTTTCTAGACAGACATGTTAGCCCCTCTCCACTTTCTCTTGGAAACTAACATTTCATGAAATGTAAAATTACACAAAATAAAAAGTACAATATATTTGTTGATAGCACTCGAAACAGTTTTTCTTTTTTAAAAAGAAACCTTTTAGGCATTGGGGATTATTTTTCAGAAGTTCGGTCTACCAAGGAAACTTGAAAAACAAGGGAGCTGAAGCCAAGGGAACATTTGTTCGCAAACTGAACAACAGCACCACGAATTATTTGAGACTCATCCCAATGGACCATATCGACAGCAAATCCCGGCATGAATTCGCTAGTTAATAGGGATTTACAAACGACTGAAACAGGCGGAGCTAAACAGGTTTAAGTTACTTCCAGACCCTCACCCTGCCCTGGGATTCAGGCTCTAGCTTCTGACAGACCCAATCACATGAGAATGGGACCAGGCCGATGACCCAGACTCCAAATATTTCATCAGGTAATCAAGGTAATTCTGTGAACCTAACGGGTCTTGGAGCTCTGTGACACCTCCAAAGCCCAGCAGCCAATGAACGGACAGAGCAGGCTAGAGCGAGGTCGCCCCTGGGAGGAGCTTCGGCAGGGGGCCTGGGTCTTCCCTCCGAGTGGACCATCTCTTCCGAAGCCAGAGCATCGATCCCCCCCTCGAGTGAGCTTCCAGCGGAGCGGTCTGGCCAGACCCAGCTGAATCAGGGCTTGTCTTGTCTGGAGTGCGTCACTCACACCAGGCCTAAATACAGGTTTTCAAAGGCGTCCCATTGTTTCAAGTTGGCCAAGCTGTGTGTTTTTGAGAATAATCATACAAAAGAGATAAAAAATAAGTGCCATTGTTTCATGAGGGTGGCCAGTGTTGAGGCAGAGCCAACTCTGTTTCTGACTCTCTCCCGCATTTCCATGGAATTTGTTGATTTTATTCAGGCTTTTAAAAGGTCGAAACTACAGAATTTTCGTCTCATAGCCACCTCATGTATTCTGGTTTCAGTTTCAACATTGACAGATATGATTAAACAAAGTAAAACCTGAGAAAATACAAAAATCTAAGAGATGGGATTCACCTTAGCAGGCCGGGTGAACCACAGACAAGGTGCTCCAGTAGCTGAGTCTAAACGCCCCTGGGGCAGGGACTGGGATGTGTCACGATATGAGAATGCAAGCCAAATCTCCATCCAGGGCCAAGAGAGGACTTGGCAAAGGAGACATGTAAAATGCAGGGCTGGTCCAGGAGGGCCTGCTCAATAAAGCTACGGTCAGTGGGTTGGCATTTGTCACACTGCATTGATTAAGGCTCTGACAGCTGATCCTTTACATACGTACATATATACAGACATATATTATTATTAACAATAATACTTTGAATTTTTTTTTGTTTTAAGGAAAAAAATATTTCCATGCATTTCTTCTACCTTTCTTTGTATTATCCTTTGTTTTACTCCCAGCAATCATTTTAATTAGACATAGTCCTTTGAGGGCATATTCTGATCTTTAAAAAATATAACTTTTAAGCTTTTACAAATACTTTGTTTAAAATGATGTTGCTTTTATCCCAAAGGAGTTCTGGTGCTTGGGAGCTATCTTGGGTCTCACGGAAAACACTCTCGTGTGCTGTCCTGTACTCAATACCAACCAAACAGGACTTACAGTTATGTAAACATTATTTAAAAATTATTCCAACATAAATACTCTTTTAAAGCTAACATACAACAGCTTTTAGCTCATAATGCCCATAGATGCCTTAATGAAATGCCATTCAAAACTACCTCACTGTTTAAAGTACACCTGGAGATTCTAAAATTATGTAAACAACATCCTCTACACTTCTCTAGAACAAGTGCCAAGTGTGGTAAATTCTGATTGCAAGTTGGTGATTGAATACTAATTAGCCTGAACGAAGTTACCAATGCACTCTTTGACCTGATCGGTGACAGGAAGTTAGTCACAGGTTGACTTATCCCACAGATGATGATTCTTACATGACGTATAATTAACCAGTTTTCAACAATGTTCACCCCGTGAGGGACCCGAACTGGTCCTTCATAGGCTGTCTTTGCACATCTTGCAAATGCAGTTTGAATCAGTTGTCAAGAAGTCAAGGTCAACCACAGCAAGTGCCTCTAAACCTGGAGGACAAAATGGTTTCCTAAGCCCAAGGAATCCCACGCATAGGTGGAGTCTTCTAAAATCAGCCAGGAAAGGAGTATGAGGAGGAGCCAGGATGTTTTCTTCTCGGCAAACTGGGGACTCTCATGAGCAAATGTGTTGCTGGAATTCATAATGGATGTCTCCGCCTCCTAATGCAATGAGGTATGGGGGAAGCCCAACATGGCAAGGAGAGCCAATGACACAGAGAGAGGGCTTGATGTCTACTAGCCTGGTGATAATGATGATGCTGAGGCTCCAGCTCTCTCTCTGTGCACTGCTTCCTGCGAGTCCTTTTTCAGTTCTGACATCCATATTCTCAGGTTTCCTGATTGACATGTCCCTGGCACACAGAAAGCAAAAGTCTCCAGCCACAGCTGTGAGTAACAAATCAGCCACGGCCAAGCTTCTATCCTCACCACTCAATGTAGACAGAAGACAGCCCAAGTCTCTGGGACACCATCACGTTGCCTGGCACCTACAGAAGCACATCCCGAAATAGAGGAATGGCCAACCCAAGGACTGGCCTTTTGCCCCATAGGAGCAAGGGACAAGGAGAATGAGGATGACCAGGCATAGCATTAGTGGTTAAGTGACTTCAAAACTTTAATCTTCTGTAAAAGTCCGTGGCTGATAACATTGTAGCCAGAATCAAAGAAACATCTTTCCACCTCCGGGGTGGCCAAACTTCACATCAGATACGAGTTCCTTCAAGACCAGATTTTGAGTTTGTGTTTGAGAAAAATACTCTACACTGGCTTAGGCAGATTCACAAGGTGCTATTGTCATAAACAAACAAACAAACAAACATTCTCAGTTCCAGTCTTTCACGAACATCGATGTTACTTCTTCATGTGCAGGGCGTCCTGGAACTTGGTGCTGGTGTATCGGGCGTGAAAGCCTTTCTTGTTGATGGTGTCATCCGTGTGGAATTGAATCATTAGAGAATCTCCTGCAGAGTAGATCTCTTCCAGTGGCTGAGGAAAGGGCAAAAGAAAACCAGGGGGACATTAGGTCAGTTGGCTGTGGTTGGAGTTTTAAATACAGAGGATGAGACAAAAGTTACATGAGAACGCAAGCAGGAAGCAGGCCGGCGTGGCCATGAGGCGTCCCTGGCACCAGAGACCGAAGAGCATCAACGCAAGCTCCTTTTCACAGGAAAACATTGCCAGTTCTGCTCCAGAGAGCTCCCCGGCCCTACTTTTTCAGAGACAATTCTAGATGCACAGCTCATATAGAATCCATTGGTTCTGCAGGTGGACTAGCACTGCTCTGAGCACTTTCAGATCTTACCTCATGCGAGCTTTATAAGGTGGATGCTATCTCCATTTTATACTTAAGGAAACTGACACTCAAATTGACACAATTAGGCAGGTCCTTCTGGCTGTAAAGTCTGTGTCGCCCATTACCTAGCTCCAGGGTCACCCTCGGGATATATCTCCCAGTGGACCAAACACCGAAGCCCATGCTTTCGGCCTATGTCCTGTCCAGGGGCAAAACACGGTGCAGAGCCTCTATGTTTATCACAAAGTTTTTGCCAAGGGGTTAATGAAGGGGAGCCAGGTTCTGAGGCTGCTGTCTTCCAGGGCTCAGGGGGACCTAACCGGGCTTCCCACACACCCCACTGCCCTGGACTTTCCAAGGTTTTCCTCTGCACATGGGCCCCACCGTCCAAAAGATTTTATCAAAGGCGTGGTATTGGTTACGTCACACTTTGTCATCCTTTCTTCTTCGGGAGAGTGAGTAAAGATGATGGGAAGTCATTCAGAGGCCTATATAAATGCATTTTGAGGTTCTGATCATCACGAGGAGCACTAGTGACTGCAAAATGAGCTTATGTGAATTCATCCAACAGCAAAGAAGCTTGTGCCATCAGTCCCAGAGGCAGAAACAGGAGAGGACAGGGGCCCAGTGGGAGCAATGCCCAGCATGGTGCAGCCAGAGAGTGTGACCAGGAGCCTACACACTTGCACTGGGTGCCAGCTGTGTGCCAGGTTCTAGGTCAGGTGTTGTGGAAATAGTGAACAAAACAGGCCTCTCCTATCCGGGGTAGGTGACTGAGGAGAGAGGAGAGAATGAGAAAAAAGGACAAAAACCTGGAGCATAACTCTGTGTTTACAGTAAGATTTGTAATTTCTGTAAGTAATTGGAGTTGCCTGGGGAGAGAACTGTGAATATATGGGATAGACAAAAGCATGATTTAAAACAACTTTTCAAGCCTCAAACCAAATAAAAATGACCTTGGAGGTGGCGGGCAGGGAGTCCTTTGCAAAAATAGGAAAATCCTCAGGGAAAGCCTCTTACACAGCCCACATCAGTAGGGAGCCCTCCGGATCTGGTCCCAGGCCACCTCCCCACCTCCTCAGCAGAGCTCCAGCAGCTGAGGACGCCCCCGGCCGCTGCGAACCAGTGGCAGGGGCAGCTGGACCGCACACCTGCCCAGGTGTGTCACGCTCTGCAGCTCACGCTCCGCCCCGCGCCCCCCGCGCCCCCGCGCCCCCGCGCCCCCCTCACCCCGGAGCCGCAGAAGCGGCCGAGCCTGGGCGCTGTGCTGTCATAGCCGTCGTACGCCTCCATGTAGTCGTAGCCGCAGTCCGCCTCCTCCTCCACCTCGAAGATGCGGAATATCAGCTCCACGCCGTAGCCGTCCTCCGCCACGATCACCCAGGCACAGCGGGCCTGGCTCGGGTAGTTGTTGTCTCCAAACTGGGCGTGCGAGTACAGCTCTTTGGTCTGCACCTCGGCCTTCAGCCGGCCCCCGCACTCTGCAGCGGAGAGAGCGCCGCGTGTCCCCGGGCGCGCAGACCCGTGCGCCGCCCCCGCCCCCGCCCCCGCCTCCCTGCCCGGGCCTCCTGTCTGCACGCGCTCCTGCCGGCCACCTTCCGCCGCGAGCCCGGCGCGCCCGCAGGAGAGTCTGGCAGGTTGCATCATCCCATTTTACAGAGGAGTAAACAGAGGCCGGTAGGTCTGAGTTTCAGGGCTTGCCAGCCAAGGTTCTGTGTTCCTGGATTGGGTCACGCAAGGCCTCTGGGGAGTACCTGAGCAGGCTAGGAGGGAAGCTGGCGGGCTGGAGCTTTGCCGCTTAATTCCCTGGAAGCGCTGGAAGCACCAGAGACGGGCTCCCGCGAGCCCTTCGTACTCACTGTAATTTGGGACTGTTGCCAGCAGAGGGCACCAAAAGCCCATCAGCGCTGCGGGTACACCCGCAAACCCGGAAACCAGGTTACAGACCCACTCGCTCCTACATCTGACAAGGCTGACTTTGAGGCTCCTGGGGGTGTCGCAAGTGAGCCGAGCCTCATACTTGGGGCTCGGATACTGGAGCGCTGACTTCTGAGTTTGGGACTAAGACTGTAATTCCGGTTGGCCTGAGTCCCACACTATCTTGTCTAGGCAACTAGAGACCACATTATAGAAATAGATAAAGGAGAGTGATCAGAGATAAGAAAGTGCCAAAAATCCTGAGGGATTTCCACCACTGCCTGTCCTCAGTGTGCTCCACGCCCCCCAGGGGCTGAGCTCCCCAGGCTGTGGCTTCTGTGTTGTCCACTAACACTCTCAGGCCCAGCTGGCCCCAGTCCTGCTCCACTGCCAGCTTTTTACCCCCATGTGCTCTTGCTTAGAATTTCTTCCGGGTCTGAGCTGTCTTTGGGGAATTTCAAGTCCCTGAGACTTGACGTGGGTGGTAATGAAACGGGTACAGGGCAGGGCAGGATGCTTTCTATTCACCTTGTCAGATCCCCTCTCCATTCTTCCCCACCTGCTTTGGGGCCCCGGGGGGCTGACCTCTAGCTGCACATGGGCAAGACCCCTGGCCCTCTGCTTTCTGGGTTGGGTTCAGCCATGGGAAACACCAGCAGATCCAAGAGGGAGGAGACCGGTTGGGGTAGTTAGTTCCAAGCTCCCTCCCTGCCTGGTCACCGCAGGTTGTGTTGGTGGTCGCAGCTCTAATGGTGGGCAGGAGGCCTCTGCCTGCAAGGCTTTGCCGACCAGCTCCTTGCTCTGGCATCCAGGCCTGAGGGTAGCACTTGCTGCAGTTCCTAGTCCAGGCCTGCCCCATATGGTATGGTATTCCCCACACCCTGTATGTCCCTTTGTAAACTGTCACTTTTGAAATTCTCCTCAAATACTCTATCTGAGTGTACCTTCATTTCCTGCTGGGACCCTGACCAACTTTGTCTGTAGCAACAAGAGGGAGAGTCACTGGTCAATGGCTTGAACCTTCCCTAGGGGAAGCTAGAACTTCTCCAGGAGCTTGAGAGGGTCCTGCAGGCACTGAGGTGTCTTCTAGGTTTGGGAGCTAAACTACCTAAGGGTGCTGGATGCCATTTTGTTTTATGTGATTCCTATTTTTTGGCTCTGAACATAAACCGGGTGGGGTAGGGGGGCTGTTAAAGGGATCAGAAAAGCTCACAGGCTCCCATGATCATGATCTCAGACTCCGAGTGGGCCACGGAAAGCCACTGCTTTGCCAAAGGGCCACAACCTAACACCATGATCAGAGAGGCAGAGTTGCTTCCGTGAGTAATATTTTAATGGCTAAAGAGCAGGGCCAGTTTTCTTACTGATATTCTCCTATTAACAAAGTGGTGTGTTAGTTATAAGCCTATACATTTTCCTCCAAAGGACCAAATAAAGCTATTTACATTTTAAGTGGGGAAAAATAACAGGTCATAGAAACATTGTCCATTTTCCAAACTGGCCCATAGGGGGCGACAAGGGCTGCTCCACACGCCTCAGCTCCCAGACTTTCAGATTTCACGGACCAGCCAGATGACAAATAAGTTTCGGAAAGAGGGTGGGAGGGAGGGCGGGCAGGAGGAAAGAAACGTGGCACCCACAAAAGGGGCCGCCCACTTTAAATGCTGTCGATTAAAATGTTGACATTAAAAGAAAACAACCGTTCCCCCTATGGTTGCTCACGTTTCATTTGTAAAGAGATGTTTGATCGCACACCTGCCACCCCCCAGTGTCAGCAGGAAAGGCAGTTCTTTTCCTGCCTCCACCCCCGTCTATCTCTAGCCCACGTGGGCGTCAGCGGGCTGCTGGGCATCCCCGCTCCGTACCTGTGCTGTGCACCGCCTGGAAGCCTTTCCTCTGTACAGAGGCATCTGAATAAAACCTGAGAAACAGGCTGCTGCCTGAAGCCACCACGGGGTCTGGTTTCTTGCTGCCACAGAAACGGCCAAGGATGGGGGCCAGGCTGTCGGGCCCGTCATACAGCTCCAGGTGGTCGTAGGCACATTCTTGGTGCTGCTCGATCTCAAACTCATTAAATGTCTGGAGAGTGAAGAGCAGAAAGTGAGGCTGCGGCTTGGTGCTCAGCCGGGGTGAGGGCCGCCTCTCTGGGGGCTGGGAGAGGACGGGGTGTGTGGGACACTCTCCTTTGGTCCCCAAACAGCCCTCCAAGGTAGTGACATGAGCGACTGCTGCCAAGAGCACTTTACAGGTTAGTGAGATGGCCGGCTTCCGAGAGCACAGATGCTTGTTGTCATCCTTGCTCCTTCTGTCACATCACAAAGCTCCTTCTCACTTAATGATGACAGCAGCAGTGGCCAAGTACTCACCCTGGGCCAGGAGCTGTTTTGTGCACTTTACCAATATAACCTCATATACTCCTCCCACCTCTGTGCTATGTCTACCACTATAATCTTTACAGATGAGGAAAATGAGGCACAGAGCAGTCAGGTGACTTGACCAAGTTTCGCCCACTGGTAAAGCTGGGCCATGATCAGGATGTCTGGCTGCAGAGCCCCTGCCCTCAACCTCTGCGCTATCCCATGCCATCCCTGAGTACAAATGATAGGATGAGGCTGTGTGAAGCGCATGCTGATCCTCGTCTACATCCTCATAGTGGCTGACATTTGAAGAGTGTTTTTTCCATGCAGAGTCCTGTGCCAAATGTTCATGGACATTCTCTCACTTAATTCTGATGATGCTGTGAGAGAAGAGCTAGTATGATGCCCAATGTGCAGAAGGGGAAACTGAGTCTTAGGGAAGTGTCTTGCCCAAGCTGAATCCTCCAAGCTAGAGGAGGCTGGAGCTGGACTTGATCCCCAGCCAACCTGATTCCAGCCCCCACTCCTAACCATCAACAGGAGATACTGCCCACCTCCTCCCTGCCCCCTGAAGACTGTACCCCAAAGCTGGCCAGGGGGGCCCCTCAATTCCAGGCCATGCACCCCCAAGTTTCACGATCCCAAATGTAGGGCTTCTTAGGGACAGGGCAGCTGAGTGATGGATGGCCTGCCCACAGTTGCCAGGGAGATGGGACAAGGTGAGAAGGGACAGTGTTAAATGAAAGCTTGGACCAAATGACAGAGCAGGAAGAGAGGACATGACTGGAGAGCGAGGGGAGTCTAAATTCAAAAGAGCGTTCCTGGAGAGACAGGGCAAGGATGGGGGTGGAGAGGGGTCATTGGCAGTGCGGGCTTCCACAGGAATGACAAGCAGTAGGAACGGGCAAAGCTCTTCATACCTTATAGAAGGGGAGCTGGGTTTGGGGGCAGTATAGAGGTAGTGGGCAAGAGCAGGAGAGGAGACACCAGCAGCATTAGGGTGGGTGATGCACCGGGAGGAACACCCATAGGACATCCTGTTGCTGCATTCCCCATACAGTATTTCCAAGAATACAGCTTCTTGGGAAGTATTCAACTCACATTTTTCTGGTAGCAAAAAGATAGAGCACGATCAAGACGTCCACTATGCGCGTCCCAAGGATGTTTTTAAAAACTAGCACGCACACATATGAACAGCCTCAAATTTATATGAGATCTGGTCTAACTCTGGCCACTGTGACCAGTTGCTTTAGTTCCTTGGCACTGTAAAGAAGGGGAAAATCTCAGGCAACTACTAAAATCTTGAGGCCCTGGGACAGAAGAGGGGCTTCCAGTTGTGCAGGCTGCGGGTTCCCACACCCAGGGCCCCGGAGATGTATGCTGGCATTGCAGACCTTCTCCAGCAGAGGGCAGGGCTGGGGAGTGGGGTGCAGGGAGTGCCTTTCCCTAACACCCTCTAGCTCACCCTCACCCAGATTCAGGGCTGTTCTGACACCCAGGAAAGCCACCACAGCGTTTCCCACATGGGCAGCCATGCATGTGAGGTGCCCCCTGTGAGCACCCTGTGGTCATGGGCTCTGCCTTCGCCACCCCTCGCTGCCCAGGGCCTGGCACACACACACCAGCACCTGCACTCTGTCCTGGGCACCCATTCACCCACCTGTCCTCATCACTCTCACCCGCCAGTAAAAGCCCTGGCAAGTCCCCAGGCCATCGTCTGCTTATCATTATGTTCTCCTTTGTTCTCTTACATTCTCCCTGCATTTTTGGCCTCTACTTCAGAGGAACATCCATATGCTTCCTGGAGAGCTTACAAATCTCCAGAGTTAGAACGACCCATTTAAAAAAACGTCTGTCTGGAGTATACCTTCTCCAGCTGGCAAAGAGGGTTTGTTTTACACTCCAGGATCTGGGAGCCTCTGGGGGCTGAGATACCAGACTTGTACCAGAGACTCAGTTCTCCTCTGAAATAACTGAGCACAGTGTGTACACCTACAATCATATGCCTGGGAGACTTGAACTTTTTAATTAAGAGAGAATTAGCATAAGCAATCTATTGTTAATTTTTAAAAGATGAATAATAAGAGTCCATTTGAGAAGTTTGGGCAAGGAAAAAGATACATATTTTTTCTGATACATGTATATATACTATTGCATATGCAAAGGAAATTTCTGGTAGGATTTATCAAAAAAGTTCAGAAAGGTCATTTCTGAAGTGGGCATGGAAGATCTAGAAGGTTTGACTTCCACATTCCAGCCCTCTGTACTGGTTGTTTTTTCTTTTTTCTTTTAACCTTGAATATGTATTGTTTTGTCAAAAATTACAACTGGAAACAATTGAATGTCAAACAGCTCTATGGATCTGTGCAGTGAATGCCACCTCTTACCCGGACCACTGTGACCAAATGCCTTTTAGAGAGCTTTTCCCACCACCACCCTGTGACGAGGGCTTTGTGTGTGTCCTCTGAATTCTGCACAGCGGCCCCATGACGGAGGCTTCATTAGCATCCCCATTTTCCAGACAATGAAACTGAGTTCTGGAAATGTTGAATAACTTTCTCAAGGTTCAGAGCTGGGAAGTGGCAAAGCAGAGACTCAAACCCATGTCTGTCTGAAACCAAAGTCCATGTTGTCCATGAACTAGGAAAAGGACTCACGAGTTTCACCCTGTGGCCCGCGGTTGAAGAAATGTTCCAGGTGCACTCCCTCCGACTGGGGTATTTGTCAGGCCAGTTGGGACTCGCCAGGGTCCCCTCTGCACTGCTGATCTTGTGTGCACAGCCAGCTGGCGGAGGAGGGGGGATACATGCAGAGAGAAGTCATTGGCTTGTGGGCGGCACCGGAGGCCCTCTGGGTGAGTCTCTCTCTCTCTCATATTTATTTGTCATATGGTCATTATCAAATTTGGGGCAGTGGGGAGCCTGAGTCAAGTGTCTCCTGGCTAGAGATATGCTGATTTATTTAGTTTTGCTGCCTTCCTGGTGGTGGCTCAGGGGCTCCTCATTCTCCCCATTGCTATTCACATCATGCTTATCATTGGAAAGATGGTAGTTAGTGGTTGAGACCACAGGCACTGGAGTCAAATGGACTTCGGTCCTGCTGCCTGCCATCCGTGGGACTATGGGCACTTATCTAAGCCTTGGTGTTTTTATTTGTAAAAGGGGTGCCAACTTCCTAGGGGGACATGCGGATTAAATGAGATAATACATGTAAAAGGTTTAGCAAGTGCCAATAAAGGTCTTCATCACTATGCCTTTCATCTCTATTTCTTTAAGAATTTCAATGCAGTTTCATTTGGAGGCTACAGATGTCGCCCTGGTTATGGTGCTATTCACAAAAGAGGGGTCCCATGACTTGCTCAGTGTGTAGCATTTTGGTCGACAGGTAGAATGTGTGCTGGGCACTATGCTAAGCATTTTGAATGCATTCTCTCATCTGATCCTTCTCACTTTCCAAATGAAAAAATAACTAGAGAGGGTGAGTGACTCACTAGTAAGGGGCGGGGCCAGGACTTGAACTCAGGCCTGCCTTTGGTGTAAATGATTAGGAAACAGAGGGAGCTGAAGGTATACACCGCATCACTCCCACTCCCATTGCCAATGCTGCCTGACGCTGCAGTTCAAGGGGAAGGGAGGCAGTTGAGAGCGGGTCAGGGGAAGCGGGAGAGGGTAGTGGCTGCTGCTGGGGTTCCTGCTCATTGCTGCCTCCACTCTGCAGCCACACAGAGGACAAATGCCAATAGGTTGCAGGGCCTCAGCATCTGGGACATTTTTTACCACAGCTCAGCCCCACACCCTGGGGGAGCCCATAGGAAGGCAGCCACTATTCAGCTGGGGTTAGACCTTAGTGGGGTTAAATCCCTCCCGGCCTCCCCCACACCATAGGAAGCAAGGCTTGATCAGGCCCAGGCCCACCCTGCAGGAGTCTGACAAAGACTTCCAAGTTCTTCCAACCTGCTTCCCAACCAACCCACAACGGCCTGTGTCTGTATCAAAGAGCTGGGCTTGGAGGGTGGTCTGCACCCTGCTTCTGAGGCTGTCTTACTCACCCTGTAACATTCCAGGTAGGCCTGATCAGACTCTGCGCACCCCAGTCAAATCTGCTAATTTTGCGATGTTTATCCCAGAGAGGGGGCATGGGGTCTTCACACCTTCCCTCCCCCTGACTTCCCCTGCAGGGCCCTATGCTGAGGTCAAGGCCTAGAACCTGTGTGCTTATCAGATGCTCAAGCTCCCTTCACAGGGCAAGGTGAGAACAGAGAGAGGTTCCTTCAGAATGACTGGACATTCAAAGGCACCTGGCCCTGATCTTCCAGTAGTAAATAGAGCAGGGAGCAATCTTTTTCAAATTCTATTTTACTATTAGACCTGCATATGATAATATCATGACACAGATGGTTGATATTTATTGATATGTCAAGTGTTTAATAGATAGATTGTCTGAAATACTTTCTAGGCATGCTTTAATTTACTTCTCATACACCTTTAAGAAGGGGGTATGTTTTGTCCCTTTTAAACAGAAGAAACAGAAGCTCAGAGGGGTTAGGTAACTTGCCCAAGGTCACACACATGGTAAGTAGCAGAGTCAGGATTTAAACCTCAGTAGTCTGATTCTGGAGCCTGGGGGTGTAACTGTGTTGCAGTAGTAATTCCAGGAGGATACTTGAGGGCCCCTACAAGCTGCCCAAATGAGGGAGCTGCCCTGTGGAAAACCTTTGGGCAGGAGGGCAGAAGGAGGGAAGGCATACCAGAAGGGCCCCTGGCTGTCACTGTTACACATGTGCACACTCTGGAGGCCAGGTTAGCCTGGCCTCCCAGCTGCAGTCTAGCCTCACCTTCTTTACAGTCATGCCCATTGTCATGGAGCCGGTACCCGGTTCTGCACCGGCACAGATAGCTGCCAGATGTGTTGACGCACTCGTGCTGGCACCTGCCATTGTCCTCGGCGCACTCGTCCTTGTCTGGGGAGATCAACAAGCTGTCATGGGAAATGCCACCTACAGAATTCCCTCACACCTCAGAACACCACACAGAAGTAGCCTCCACCAGGAAGCCTCCCCGAGTGCCCTGATTTGGGGGGTCCCCTTCCTAGGGAGGGTGGGGCGGCATCTGTTGGATGGCACCTGGTCCTGAGGTATACAGAATTCCCCATGCTCCTAAAACACTTTAGTAAACATATATGTCCTTTACCCTTGCTTCCTGCCAAAACAAAATAGGCTTATGTTGTCCATAAAAGATAGGCTAATATTAATAATAATAGTAACCATAATAAAAGTAACTGCTGGGGTGCTGGGATGACTCAGTCAGTTGCGTGTGTGCCTTCAGCCGGGGTCATGATCTCAGGGTCCTGGGATAGAGCCCTCCATCGGGTTCCCTCTCAGTGAGGGTCTGCTTTTCCCTCTCTCTTCCCCTCCCCCTGCTCATGCTCTCTCTCTCTCAAATAAATAAATAAATAAATAAAATCTTAAAAAAGAAAAGTAACCTACATGTATTGAATATTTATGTGATAGGCACTTCCCAAAGCACTTTCTATATAGCATTTAAGTTTCTTTTCATACCACCTTAAGAGCCAGGTGCCTATGCCTCCATTTTACAGGTAAGGAAACTGAGGCTGAGGACACTAACATGCCCAGGGTTACTCTGTGAACAAGCAGCTTGTGTGACCCAGAGACCTGGGCTCCTCCTCCCTGACCCCAGGCCACCTCCTGCCTGTGGAGGAGGTAAGTGTGCTGGCCACAGGCCAGACCACCGGGCACCAGCCCTGCTCCACCACCCCTAGCCGTTGTGCCTTCGGGCCGACCATGACTTTTGTGCCTCAGGTGCCTCACCTGTAAAGTGGAGCCAGCACTGGTGTACTCACCTTATAGGGTTGTTGGGAGGAGGAAATGAATTAGTACAGGGAAAGCACTTAGAGCAGCATCCTGCCCAGAGGAAGTGTTGGCTTGTATTTGTTATTATGTCTGAACTCAAGTCCTCACTATTGTCACAGTGATTGTGTTAGCTCAAGCCAGTGCAGCACGCACTCCCCCCAAGCCAACTTCTTCCTGTAATAATAGAGGACCGCCTCCCTCCGGGGGCCTGAGAGGTCAGCGGTGTCTCCCCACCCTCGCCACACCCTGTCCTAACACACTTTGTGTTTTAGTTTCCTGAGGACAACAAAGAATCGTTAAAGGATAAAGAGATGAAGCCCATCTGACACTTAAGCAAGGGAACCGTGAGCTAGTGAGAGGCCGGGAAGGATTCTCCCAAAGCCTTTAGAGGGAGCACAGCCCTGCCCTCGCCTTGACTGCAGATTGCCAGCCTCCACGCCTGAGAGAATACATTTCTGTTGTTTCAAAGTGAGGCCACTCACTTTGTGGCCATGTGTTATGGCAGCCCTGCAAAAATATAGCCGCCAATAAAAAAACAAAAAAAAACCCAGATCTAGGCATCACCTCCAAGGCAAAGGGAGGGGCAGGGGGCAGAGAGCAGTGGGCAGGTGCCCAGAGAGTCTGCACAGCCATGTCACCCACAGCCCTTGACCTCGCCTGCAAACTCACACACCTGAGAAGAAGTGGGCTCTGAAGCCGCGTTTGGAGACCGTGTTATCTGACTTGAACTCCACACGCATGTTGTTGCTCTGGGAGGTGATGACCTCGGGCATCTCAGAGCCGCAGAACTTGCCGTGCAGCCTGGCATCGGGTGACAGGCCACTGCGCACCTCCACGAAGTCGTACTTACAGACCTGCAAGGGACGGCCATGGGGAGCCACCCGGTACTCCCAGGGCTCCACCCCAGACTCACTGCAGGGCCCCCTGCCTAGCAGCTGCACCCTGCCACAGGACGGGCCAGACCGGCTCAGCCAGGTCCAGCGGGAGGGCCCTCTTAACTCTTACTGGGATCCCTCTGGTCCACGGTGTCAACATGAGGCACTCGTGGCTAGCATTCTGGCTGGAGGGTTCTCCCTAGGCCTTGGCTGACTTGGTCACCCCACGACCACGGCCCCATGGAGGGGGCAGGCAATTCATACTATCCTGGCCCCAGCTGTATCTCACCCCCTCTGTTCCCCTCAGCTGAACACTAACCCTCAGACTCCTACCCCAGGGGACATACTTGTCTCAACCACCTCCCACTCCCAAGACCTGCCTTTTCTGCTCTGGGATTTATCAGTGACAAGAGGATCAAAGCATTGTGTCTGCAGAGGGTAGGCAGCTAAAACCTCTACACCAAACACTCCCCAGGTTCTGCCCTGCAAAGATTCCGTGACTGTGGGAAGCTGCCTCCTGCCTACTGAGCCCCTTGCTGGTTTGCAGCCCTGAGCCACATCCCAACACAATTAGAGTGCAGAAGCATACATCATTGCCTTCCAGTTCAAACACTTCAAACTGAAGGGAGATCCGGTACTGAGCAGGGGCCACCACCTGCCAGACGCAGTTTTTGTTTGTAGGATACTCCTTCGGCCACCCAGGGCTGGTGATGGTTCCATTCAGCTTGGTAATAAAACCGCCACAGGCCACTGCGCAGGAGAAACAGAAGCAAAATTCATTTGGTTTTAGTTCCAAGCGACTGCGATTTCCCCTCAAGCAGCAATAAGCCTGCTGTTGTTTAAAAAAAAAAAAAAAAAAAAGTTTGATAATCTGAACTGATGAACCCAGCATCCTTCTAGTCTGCTTCTTCTTCTTCTTCTTCTTTTTTTTTTTTTTTCTAGTCTGCTTCAACTGAGGATTTGGAGGGAGGATAAGTCTTTACCACTTTTTAAGATGATAACATGCACTTATGCTTACCTGTCACTCGGTGGCATAGTTGGGGACTCCATATGACTTGGATCAAAGGAGACTTAGGAATGTTTACACCAAGCTATGCACCTTACCTGGCTTACATGGACAAGCAGATTCATGCAGGTGGGCAAGGAAAATCGAACACCAGCCCAGTAGTAATGGAACGAATGAATGAAATGAGCTATTAGTTGAGTCACATGGAAGTGCTCATACTTTTTTTTTGCTTTTAGTTTTTATCTGAATAATCATTTGAATTTTTCACGGCCACAGAAGAAAATTAACCATGGTTCCAGTTGAGGTGTCTGGGATGAAGTTCTTACAATCTGGGCAGCCCTCTCACATCTGTGACTTGTTGGAGTTGTTTTCCCTTCTAAGAGCCAGGGGCATCATCCACCACAGATCACATCACATCACAGCCAGCCAACTGCCCCATTTCTTCCCCACTTCTCCTAAGATCGTCCCTTATCCCCTCTTATTCTAGCTTGGCAGGTCCAACACCAACCTTCACACGTCTTCTTATCTGCCAGCCAGCTCGTAGCCCGGATCACATGCACACTTATAGCTGCCCAGAGTGTTCACACAGCGCTGCTCACACCCTCCATGATCCGGCCAGGAACACTCATCCACCTCTGTTGGAGAGGAAGGGGACTCTGGCTAAATCACCACATAGCTGCCTTGTCTCTTCCTTATCCCATTCCACATCCCAGGTTCCCCAGCAAATGTCCTCTAAGAACAAGAATGGTTCCTTGGTGACCCCCTCCCAGGGAGGCTCTTGTCCATGTCTCAGACACTGGCAGCAACTATAACCAAGGGGGATGTCTTGAGAACATAAGTGTAACTTGTTAGCCAGGAGCAAGGCTCCTCTGGAGGAGATCAGGCCTGGATGATTTTATTCTTTGAAGGGTTCAGTCAGGGTAAACAGTGTGATTTAAAAAAAAAAAAAAACTCAGTTTCCACACCAATGACTTAATCAGTTTTAATGCCATGGAATTGAGGTTCTCCCCAAATAGGGAACTTCTCAGGGACATTAAGCAAAAGGTAAGAGCAAGGGGACACATTTCTAGATGAAGATGTAAAAGCATTTTCTAGAGATAGAACCACAACTATGATTTCATAGTTTATAAATAATCTGAAGAGGTGTGCCCAGGGAGATCTTCAAGGTTACAGAAAACACTGAGCTCTTAGGTTAGCCAATACTCCCAGGAGGAACTGCAGGAAGAGGTCACGGTGAGACAGAGTTAGCAGAGGACGTGGATGGGATTCAGCACTGACAAGTGTCTAGTGATATGTTTGGGGCAGTTAAATAACAGTAAGTATGATGCCAGCAGAGCTGTCCCGAGGAAGAACACGGGAGTCACTGGAGAATCTGCCAGAAATGTCAGCCCACGCATCACTGGAGAAAAGAAAAACCCAGGCAATGGGCATCTCCAAGATGATTAGAAATAAAAGGAAAGACTCATCATTTTCTGTTGCCAAGCTCTGGGGCATCTATCCCTGAGAGGGGGCGCTGTGACCTAACCAAGCCAGAGAGCCAAGTGAGGGAACAACAAACACTGAGGCATCTTCAAAACCAAGACAAAACCCAAAACAGCTCAATCTAGGAGGAAGAAAGGGTGGGGGTGGTATTGGTTCATAACACTATGGGAAGTAGTAATGGAGCAAACACAGAGTTGACCACAAAATCTTTGAAGCCCGCATGACACATAAAATGAGAGAAATCAGGACATCTTACAGTTGGTAATGACATGGGAAGAACCCAGTCCTGCCTTCACACTGCAATCCTTTTAATAACATTTCTTATGGAGGCTTTGCAGACCCTGCTCAAAATCACCCAGAGATGGGACTCTCGCTGCGTTTCAAAAGTATTTCTTCTCCTTTGAAATTTGAATTGTCAAAATTCTGGCCCCTTGCAACTTTCAACCCACTGGTCCTGTGAAACAAGCAAACCCTTCGACTAGGGCCAGCTCCCTCTGCGCGGCCCCTTTTCCACTCAGACAGACCCATTTCCTCTCAGCCTTCCTTGTCTCCAGTGCACAACATACTCATCTATCTGCTTGCTCTTCACTGGGTAAAGAATGGTGTGTGAATAGCCCATCACTTCACATAGTGGGCAATAAACTTAGGTAATTATAAGAGTGATGTGCTGTTGGGGCTCAGCCAAAACTTAAATAGGTTGGCCTGTAGGGGGAGTGAGTGTAGGAGACATGCTCTAGGCAGGGGGTTGAAGCTGTCCATGGCCTCAAATAAACGTCTTTTTAAAGAAAGATTTTATTTATTAAGTGTGCTAAAATACTAACAACCTTGCAATTACTTATTGTTTTACGATAAACAAAGTACTTTCTTCAGCATTTGCTAGAAAGTATAAAAGGGGACTAGCATATCCTTATTAATAATAAGGAGAAATGGAAAGAACCTAGGCTTCTAGAGTGAACCAGACGACCTCAGTTGGATCCATACTGGATCTCTCCCCAACAATTTGGGTCTTTTAGCCTTTCTGAGCCTCCCTCCTGCTTTAAGATGAGAATTGCTTTTAGGGTTGTGGAGGTTGGAAATGATGTGTGTGAAGTCCCTAGCATATAGATATCCAGTACACAATAGTTCTCACTACAGACAACTGCAGGGTTGCTTTCAAAATCCCAGTGGGTTTTTGAAAAAAAAAAAAAAAAAAACCAGGGGGTAGACAGTCACAATGATGAGGTCAGTGAAAAGGATAAGGTTACCTGGGTGTACCTGAATCAGGTGAGAGCTGAGTAGTACAGGTCTGAGGAGGGGAGAGGGACAAGGCTGAAATAGAAAGAAGGACAACAGTCAAAGTTGGACCAGTGAAGGAAGAAGAGAAAGGCAGGTAAGTGGCCCAGCAGAGTCAAGAAACTGGCAGGTAGATAGATGCACGGGGAGGGCAGAAAAGAATGGTGGAAAAAAGCCCATCGAAATAGGCCAAGATAAACATGGGACCAATTGGAGATGGCAAAGGGGAGACTCTGATGCCAGAGATGACATGGCTATGGGAAGGACACACATTTGTCCTAGACAAGAAAAGGAAGACCATAGATGAACAAGTCTCCAGGTGCCATCTTAGCCATGTGGTGGGAGAGAGGATGGTAGATTGGATTTGGGCCTAAAGTAAAGGGAATATAGTTCCTCCAGTGACTAGAAGGTAGGGTGTTTGTTTGGCTCAGGAAGGTGGGTAAAAGATATAGTTATTTTTCTTAAAAGATTTTATTTATTCATGAGAGACACAGAGAGACAGAGGCAGAGACATAGGCAGAGGGAGAATCAGGTTCTATTCAGGAAGCCCAATGTGGGACTCAATCCCAGGACCCTGGGGATCACGTCCTGAGCCGAAGGCAGACACTCAACTGCTGAGCCACCCAGGCATCCCACAGATACAGAGTTATATCTGCATTTGCTCCAGCAAGAGCAGTGGGATATTTGGCCATTTTCAACCTTACTCCAACTTGGATGGATGGTGTGGAACTGTAGCAGAGGCTCTACTCTCAGTGTAGCCTAGGCATCCTTGGAATCACCTCCGCACTGTGATGAAGTAGCATCTGCTCCAAGCCCACAGATTCATGCTTGCTCTGGGTTATGGTGGTCAAGGCCAAGCCTCCTAGAAAAATCTGGGAGAGTGTGAGGGGTAGGAGGAAAAGCTGAACAAGGCAGGGCTCAGGTTTGCACAGCGGTAGCTCTGTCTTCTTTGCCTTCTTCAAGTGGTATTAGTAAAAGAAGGAGTCATTCTGTGCTTAGATAACGAGATGGCTTGGGTAAGATGCCAGCAATTGTTTCAGAGAGAGTTAAGGAATGAGAAGTCAGGGCATATCCCTGAGCTTTTGAAGAGGTACCTGAAGGAAGCTAGTCCCCCTCATCAGCACCCCACGGTGGTCCACTGGCACTGGGACAGAGGAGCATAGGGATTAAGGTGGGAATGATATTATGTGAGAAGTGTGGCCCTGCCAACCCTCAAATGCTGCCATCTCCTGAAGTAAGCAGAGATGAGCTCTGCCTGCTGCCAGGCCAGCGGGCTCTGAGAAGGACTGCCATCTGGCACCAGGAAAGGCATGCAGAGGCCAACTGGCACCCTGGTCAGTGACATGTGCCAGCTGGGCTCTGGGCAGAGCCTCCTACCAACTGGCACCAAGGCAAGACTTTCTTTCGCTTGGTCCAACTCTTCTGCATGGACTTAGTAGTTAATCTTCTGGTTTCTTTCACCGGAGAAGTCCTGACACACGCATTGGGCACTTGTGTGTTCCCAGGACATCCTACAGATGGCTTTTCTGGAAACAGGCTGGGCAGAGGAAGATGGCTGTGTCCAGTCTCGAGAGCTGCACTGACCAATGTGGTCGCCATCATCTTGTTTGGCTATCAGACACTTGAAATGTAGCTACTTTGAATTCAGGTGTGTGGTGAATGTAAAAAGACACTGGATTTCCAAGATTTAGTATGAAAAAACCTCCACAAAATATGTCATTAATATTGTGTATCTTAATGACAAATTAAAGTGATAGTACTGCATGTGATAGTAAATGATTGTAAAATTGATATATTGGATTAAATAAGATATATTCAAATCATTCCATCTGTTTCTTTTTGGGGAAGGGAATAAGGTGGTTGCAAGACTGTTTAAAATTACATACGTGGCTCACCTTTGTGACTTGCCTCCTATTTCTGTCGGACAGCACTGCTCTAGACTGTGGTCTCGCCTCATTCTTTCTCCTGGGAATCCCGAAAAGTAGGCAGAGAAAGCAGCAGGAAGTCCAACCCACAAATGAGGAACCTGAGCCTCATTTGCTCTTTCATCTATTCATTCCCTGCCCAGTAAATACTTACTGGAGCCCAGCGTGGGCCAGGCACGGGGATACAGTGGAGAACAAAGCAGGTATGATCCAGTCCCCAAAAGGAAAATTGACCTGCCTGAGAGCAGACACCTGTGAGGGATGAAGGCAGGACAAAAATCCAAACCTTGGATGCTAAATCCAAGACCCCTTTCCCCATATTTCCATGGTATCAGGAAGGGCAGAAAGGTGACACGTGTCAGAATCAAATCACAAACACTAATGAAAAATTCAAACCCCCTCTGTTGACTTGCCTGTGACTTCAGGCCTCTCTAGTGGGAAGAATGCACTGGGGACTCTGCAGAATCCAGGGTCTGTTCTAGCTCTGCCACCTCAGAACTTCCACCTCCTCGTTTATAAAATGGGGGTCATACTAACGCCTACCACGGGCTTGTTCTGAAGATAAAGTGAGATTGCTCACGTGGTTTCTGGCACACTCCATGGAGTCTTTTCTCTCCCCTCTAAGAGGTCCCCCGAGATTTCCATCAGTCTTGGTTTCTCTTTTAGGATTCAGGGTCAAGCTCACTGACATAAAGGAGACATCAAGCCGGGCCTGTGCATTAAGTTAGTATAGGTGGGCCTCGGTTAACATCTTCATGGGCATCTAAAGAGATGTCTGCAAGCTGAGAACTGAAATGTCCTTGAAGTGTGAGACTGCGCAATGTGGTCCCCCACCCAGGCTGAGGGCCTCCGAGGTCCACACATCCACGGCTGGGTCCCTGCCCATTTGCCTGCAGCTCTCTTCCACCTCAATGAGCTCTTGAGGACAATGGCTGTGCTTTCCCCAGTGTCTCCAGCCCCTAGCAATGCACCTGACACATGCCCCCTGATGACTGCTGAATGGGTGCTAACTGTGGAAGAAGGAGAAGATGGTATCTTCCAAGCAGCAAACACAGATGGTTATGATGGGTACTCAGAGCAAGCCAGCTCAGTGCCTTACAAGCCAGTGTAGCATCGCAGGAGGCACTACTTTCCCCTGCATTGACTGGCATCTCCAGTAGTGCTGCCATAAAAAACTCAGAGGAGGCCTGACTAGATTTGAATTTAAGATGAACACTTCTGGGGCTCCTGGGTGGCCCAGTCGGTTAAGCGTCTGACATTTGGTTTCGGCTCAGGTCATGATCTCAGGGTTGTGGGATCAAGCCCCATGTTGGGCTCTGCACTCAGTGTGGAGTCTGCTTGAGATTTTCTCTCTCTGCCCCCCTCCCCCTGCTTGCTCACTCTCTCTCTCTCAAAATAAATAAATAAAAGCTTTAAAACAAGATGAACATTTATCATTTCTTAGCAAGGTATGCAATATTTGGGACATGCTTATACTAAAAGATTATCCTTTCATCTTAAATTCAAATGTAACTGGGCATCCTTTTTTTTTTTTTTTTTTTTTTTTTTTGTAAATCTGGTAACCCTAATCTCCAGCTTTAGCTGGTCCTCTCAAAAACATGCATCACCGATTAGCAGCAGCACCAGGAATGAGGTGTGGGTGGGTCAGTACCAGCGGGTTACCAACTACCCAACACCTAATTTACAGAGCTGAGGGTGGAAGGCAGGGAGGAGAAGGACAGAATTAGAATAAATCCTAATAATCATTGGTGACATGTGGTAAGCAAAATAAGGCCTCCTGAAGCCGTCCACGTTCTAGTCCCTGGAACCTGTAAATCTGTTACCTTACTTGGCAAAAAGGACTTTTGCAAATGCGATTAAATTAAGGATCTTGAAATAGGAGATTATCCTGGGTTATCTGAGTAGGCCCAATGTAACCACATGGGTCCTTATAACTGAAAGAGGGAGGACAGTCAGGGTCAGAAAAAGAGATGTGGCAGTGGAAGCAGAGGTGTGTGATGCAGCACAAGAAAGACTCCCCTGGCCAGTCCTGGCTTGAAGATAGAGGGGTTCTCGAGCTAAGAAATGCAGAGGTCTCCTCTAAAAGCTGGAAAATGCAAGGAAATCTGGCCTCCAGAATTGTAAGATGACAAATTTGTGTTGTTTTAAGCCACCGTGTTTGTGGTAATTTGTTACTGCAGCCACAAGAAACTGATACATGACAATAGCAAGAAGAAATTTGCACTTCATTTTTGCCAGAAATAAAAATAACCACTTCAAAAGCTCCTTCTCTAGTAAAGACGGTTCATGGGACTAAACATTATACGATGTGCCTTTGGTTACACGGTTTCATCTTCTCCTGACAGCTCTGCAATAGCCTCATATGCCATTTCCAGAAATGGACAATTTGGGGTTCAGAGAGTAACTTGCTTAAGTTACTGTAACCTGCTTAAGGCCACCTAGTGAGCATCGCTGCTACTGAGTCACATGCAGTCTGGGCCAGGTGGGGCACAGACTGTGAATTTCCAGGCATTGCAACCACAAGCTGACCTGCAGCATTTGAAATACACTTGCTACTGCCTGCCTTTTTTTGCTTGGGAAAGAACTGATGAAATATTTTCTCTGATTATTCAAAGTATCATGATTCCTGTTCTGCTTCTGTTTGTGCTTCCAGATGCCTCAAGATAAGAGAAGAATAACCACATATATTTGTGTGGCACTTTTCGGCTTATAAAGTGTCTCCACAGCCATCATTTTGGTGGGGCTTCACAACTGGTTAGGTACAATGGGCAGATTTCTTCCCCTTGTTTTGCAGAGAGAAACCGAAGTCTCATGAAGGAAAAGGGCTGCCTGCTCGGGTCATAAGGCTTGAAATGAGTTCTTCTGACACACATGTACTTATGTAGAACCCGGGAGAAAGGGCTAAGAGGGGACAGATGGGGAGAGCAGGAATAAGAGAGGGACCAGGATGTCTGTACTGGCACAGCCTGGAGTCCTTGGAGAGGAAGGAAGCAGGGGAAAGCAGCTTCCTTCTTCCTGGATGTGAGTGGTGCCACTGACCAAGAGACCTCAGATGCAGACTGGATACCATTCAGTGGCTGCTGGCGGGCTACTGGGTGCCTGACCACAATGTGATGGGGAATATCCAGGCTTCCCTTTTACAGTGTAGTCTGAGGGGCTTCCAGGGCCCTGGGAACAGAGAAGGAACACCTGCCTCAAGTGCTGAGAAGCCCATTCTGCTAGGGCCAGGAATGCTGCCCTTTCCATGCCATTCTGGGTCTGCTTTCATCTCTGCAACATGGCAGGTCCCTGAGACAACATGGAAGTTGGCTCCCTGAGAACCCTCTCACTCTCCTCCCCACCTCCACCCACTTGAGAGGAGACTGGCAGACTGGGGACTGATGTGTCAGCAGCTGAAGACAGAGGCTGCCTTTCTGGCCCACATTAGGAAATGCAAGGCTGTGCTGTTGAAAGAGTTTGGCCTTAGGAGTCAGATGGCACTTGGATTCTTGATCTGCACTTAACTATCTGGGTGACCCTCAAGCAACCCTTCTCAACCCTAATCAAATGTGATCTGAATCCAACCTGAAGGGTTATTTTGGGAATTAAAGGACATCATGTCAGCCAAGTACCTTGCAAAGTTCCTGATACCCAGTAGGTGCTCAATTAATGAGAGTGATTACATGAATATTTATTATCAAGGATCAATTTCCCTGAGGTTTGCTAGGTTGACCTGATAAACTTATTAAATATAGTTTCCAAGTGCAGTGGCAGGACTTTCTGCCATGGAGCAGCCCAGGCCGCCCCCGTTCCTGAGTCAGTGGTGAACTCCGTTAGAGGCAGCTCTAAAATGGGTCACTGCCTTCTCCCAACAGGGAGCCTTGTTGGATGCTAAGCTTCCATATGGGTTTTGTGATTCTTAAGCCAGGGGGGCAATACCTCTTCCTGTGACTAAAAATGGAAACAAACTGCTAATTCATACCCTTGAAAAAATTGGCTGCAAAGCCCGCTTTATTGATAGAGCCATCGGACACAAACTTCATCCACATTCTGTTGGAGCTCGATTTCACATCTTCTGGCTTCTCGTAGCCACAAAAATGGCCAATCAGGGCACTCTCTTCTGTGGGGCCATCGCGGATTTCCAGGTAGTCGTATGCACAGCTGTCGTGCCTTTCAATCTAAATAAAGAAACAGAGGCAGCATGGAAGATGACGGTTGGTCTGGTATTAAAGGTATTTCTACATAAGAAGGGAACCTACTACATAACACTCTCAAAAATCTAACCAAGAGGCCAAAGGACCCAAGTGTGTCCTGGGCTCTCTAAGCTATCCTGTATTTGAGAAAGCCCAGACTAAGCTGTGCAGACTAAGAAATGACACATAGGGCAGACTAAGAAATGACACATAGGGCAGTTCTACACAACTTCCTGGGATCCCATTCTAGACTTTCACATCCCCTGGGTAGCCGTCAGAAAGGAGGTAGATGCCATTTCAAAGCCTGCAAAGATTTGGATGCCAAATGTCTGGGTACAATGCACCATGAGCTTGAGATGGTCTCTTAGGTTCCTCTTTTCAACCAAAAAAAAAAAAAAAATGGAAGCCCATCTTTATACAGTAGAGATTGACTAGCAGAAGTTGACATGTACTTCATCCTCAGGAAGAAAAACCGAGCAGTACTTACCTCAAAAGCTTGGAAGGTAAGCCCCACATGAAACCCTTCTGAAACCGTAATCCTCCAAACACATTCCTTGGAAGGTCTGTAGTCATCCGGGTAGTTAGGAGACTGAATCTGACCAGCATCTTTGTTAATGTCTCCCCCACATGTAGCTTTAGAAAGAGAGCCAGGAGAGGAGGAATGAGGTCCCTGGTCAGATCTTAGGAAGGAAATTAGTGGCCACACTTATACCACTAGGTGGCTCCATGTGGCAAGATTTTCATTTCTATCCAACCAAGACTGCCTCTAGAAAGGCACAATTTCATTTGTTTGCAACTCTGGATTTTCTTCATATAAAGAAAATAACCACGGTTCTCCAGCTTTGCTGTGCATCATGATCACCCGGGGGATGTTTCGAGCTGTAGAAGCAGGGGTCACATCCCTAGAAGTTCTGATGCTAGTGGGTCTGGGGGAGCTCCATGTAGCAATAATGTCTGAGTTCCCCAAGTGATTCTAACGTAGAGGGCTGGTACAGAGGGCCATACACATGCATGTGTGCATACACACACACACACACACATTATTTCTTTTATAAAAACAAAATCTTGGCCTCTCCAAAATTACAATTTATCCAATATGTGGAACGAATTTTAGCAGAAATGCCCTGGTGGCAGCTGCCCAGAGCCCAGACCTATTTGTTTCCTCAACTCAACCACCATGGTGGCCTCAGAGGCCCTTTCAAGAAATGTAGTTGTAAATACCCTAACATTGTCCAAAGTCTTTTTTTCATAAATGAAACAAACAGAGGCTCAGAGAGGTTAGGTCCTTTGCTTGGGCTCACACAGCTATTCAGAGGCTGCTTTCATGTCCTCAGGGTTCTATACCCCAGACAGTCTCCCCAGCTGCAGTGGAATGGAGTTCAGTGTGTGTGTGTGGGGGGGGGGATGACAGGTAGACGACACCTGTCCAGAAGTAAGCACAGATGGCCTCTCTGCTTCCAGAGTGGGGAGGAAGGGGACAGGATTGAGGAGGGGACTCCTCAGCCCAGCCCCTGTGGTGGCTGCTCCAACCTTCACAGCTCCAGCAGCTGCCACACCTGCCTGGGTGCAAGGGGGACAGTGGGCGGCATGCGAAGGCCAGAGGCACATCAAGTGCTACCCAGGGGGCTTATCTCGTCGTGAACAAACCTTCATACACTGCGAAGAAACCCTTGCCCAAGAGGCTGCTGCTGCTCCGGAACTCCACCCAGAGCCGGCTGTCTGTGGACGTGAGGGGCTCCGGGACTTTATCGCCACAAAACCTACCTGGGAAGTGGAAAGATTGGTCAGGTTGCCAACAGACAGCAAGAAGAAACTCATTAGAGACAGAGGGAGCAGTGTTTCTTCAATGTGGCTCAAGGTGAGCAGTAATCTTAGCTGTGGCCATTCGGCCTGTAGCTCAGACAGGAATAAAAGATGGAAGGAGGCAGTCACACAGCCCGTGTGTCTCCTCCAGGCTGACTTCAAGAGGATTCCAGACTCCAATCAATCAAAGTACCCAGAGTATAGCTCAGGCACCAGTGAGCTCTGCCAAGTGAGTCTGGTACAGGTGCTGAAGGTGTGGTGAGTAACGGTCTGAGGCAGTGACGGATGTTTCCTCCCTCGGTATTTCCTACTACATATATGCCCTTCTTTTAGGGGTGGCATGCCTTGGGGAAGACATTCTGCTTTCCTTGCCTCAGACAAGGGATGTCAGACAACATAGACAAAAAAAAAAAATCACACCTTCTTGGCTTATGAACTTCACAAGCTTTTGTCACAGTTACAAAGATTTGGAAGAACTCTCAATGAGTAAGAGCACATTTTTCCATTTCCACCCCTGGAGTCTTAGAAAGATTCCTAGGACAAATGAGGGAATGAGGGAGAGAGGATTGGAGAGGGCACCATGGACCATCTAGAAGGGCCCCATAGCCTGTCCCACCTTAAGCTAATGACCTTGATGGAAAAGGATTATTGGAGACCCCCAGTGGGTTTAAGGATCTAGTAGAAAGACACAAAAGCAAAAATAAACAATTGGGACTTTATCAAGATAAAAAGCTTCTGCGCAGCAAAGGAAACAGTCAACAAAATTAAAACAGAACCTATGGAATGGGAGAAGATATTTGCGAATGACATATCAGATAAAAGGTTATTATCCGAAATCTATTAAGAACTTATCAAACTCAACACCCAAAAACAAAAAATTCAGTCAAGAAATGAGCAGAAGACATGAACAGACATTTCTCCAAAGAAGACATACACATGGCCAACAGACACATGAAAAAAAAAAAAAAAAAAAAAAAAGCTCAACATCACTCATCATCAGGGAAATAGAAATCAAAGCCACAACGAGATACCACCTCACAGTGGTCAGAATGGCTAAAATGAACATTCAGGAAACAACAGATGTTGATAGGGATGTGGAGAAAGGGGAACTGTCTTACACTGCTGGTGGGAATGCAAACTAGTGCAGCCACTCTGGAAAACAGCGTGGAGGCTCCTTAGAAAGTTCAAAATAGAACTGCCCTACAACCCAGCAATTGTACTACCATTTATCCAAGGGATAGAAAAATAGTGCTCTGAAGGGGCACCCACACCCCGTTTATAGTGGCAATGTCCACAATAGCCAAATATGGAAACAGCCCAGATGTCCATCAACTGATGAATAGATACACAATGGAATACTACTCAGCCATCAAAAATAATGAAATTTTATCTTTGCAACAATGTGGATGGAACTGGAGTGTATTATGCTAAGTGAAATAAGTCAGTCAGAGAAAGACAATACCATGATTTCGAGTACTCATATGTGGAATTTAAGAAACAAAACAGATGAACATAGGGGAAGGGAAGGAAAAATAAAATAAGATTAAAAACAAAGAGGGAGGCAAATCATAAGAGACTCTTAACTATATATAGAGAACAAACTGAGGGTTTCTGGAGGGGAGGTTGGTGGGGGGATGGGCTAACTGGGTGATGGGCATTAAGGAGGGCACATGATGTAACGAGCACTGTTATATGCAACTGATGAATCACTAGATTCTACTCCTGAAACTAATAACACACTATAGATTAACTAAATTACATTTAAATAATTTCTTTAAAAATAATAAAAATACGAAAGGATCTGGGACAAGGACAGAACTGTGCCCCCAATCCTGAGGCAGAGCCTGCAGGGGTAATAAGACTCTAGATCCCCATGTCCCACCTGGGGTCAGAATAGGAATATAGAGATGGTTCATCCAGACATTAGTCCAGGAGACAGGCATGTAGAGTTCTTCAGGCAAAGGGGAATGGAGGTGACTTTTCCATAGTCCAGAGGATGTGGGGAGCCATAGGACATCACCCACTGAATGTCTTCTAGGGATTGTGGACTTTGGCACCAATCTGAATTAGACTAGAATTGAGACAAGAAGGAAGCACAGCAGCCTCTTATGATTCTTCGCTCAGAGGACTGGAAACCAGAATTGAGGTCATCCAGTAATGCCAGCTGGCATGGCAATATGGATGCCTCACTGGCCACCATGCCTTGGCACCAAGTATATCCCTTATCAGCTCTCCCATCTCGGGGAGAAGAAAACCCGAATTGACTGAAGTTAACTTCCCACTACCTGATGAGGTGGGACATGAGCTGAGTTGTGCTGAACAGTTCACAACACAGACTAGTGAAGGACTGGAAGACTATTTGGACTGGAAGTCATGGTTCTCTCAAGCACTGATTGTGTGACACACTCAAAAACCCATTTAATATTGGGGACATGGGAAGTGACTGTCAACGAGTTTGGGCTTTCTTTTGGGGTGATGAAGATGCTCTAAAATTAATTATGGTAAAAATAAAATAAAATAAAATAAAATAAAATTAATTATGGTGATGGTTAGTCACACAATTCCATGAGCATACTAAGAATCATTGACTTGTACACCTTAAATGGTGAGTTGTATTATATGTGAATTATATCTTAATATTTTTTTCTTGATATTTTTTCATGTCTATTCAATAGGTATTTAGTGGGCACTCCCTATTGCCAATACCCATGTTGAGCACTGGGTCAATCACTTGAAGTTATAATTCTGCTTTGCCTTCTGGGAAATAGGGGAATGAGGTTCAGGGAGGAATAAAGGCCATCATGGACATTTCCTGATGGCCAACTGTGGATACATTCTTTGGGGAGACCTGGGGTAGAAGCTGCTAACCTCCTGCTTCCTTCTGATTCTGGCCACCTGCAGCGTTTTGGATTTGGTGAGCTTAATATTAAGTGAGATGAGCTGAAACTTCTGCCAAGAATTTGGGAAGGAAAAATCCATCAGAAGCCCATAAATTTTCAGTAATGGTTACTCTGGCATGGCCAATTAGTGTCAATTAATTCTTGGAAAACAACACATAAGCATGGGGAAGTATTGCTTACCAGTGAGGAGACAGGGCTGCTGAACAGCAGTTCAACAACATGGGATCACAAAAGGAATTCTTTCTTAGCCAAACCAAGTTTCAAGTCCAAATTTCTCCTTTGAAAACCCCAGTTGTCACAGCCACTGGAGACTGTTTCCAAAAAGGAGAGAGACTTCTCATGCCTGCCCTGCTGTCTAAAAACCCAACAGGATGAGGTGAATGAACCACCCACCACTGGGCCACAGGACAACCCGGTCTGCTCACTACCCTAGAGGAGGGAGGAATTAGTGCCTTGGCAAAGCCAGACTTGGTAGGATAAATTACAAATTATTTCTAAAGAACTTCTATCCCCCCAAATCACCTTGAAATTCTTAACAAAAACCCTCTACGCTGTCCCCTGTTTTCTCAACGCTCTCTTCTCCACTATAATGGTTCTAACGAAAGCCCTTTGTTATTGAGCATGACACTGTCCCAAGCACCTTACGTGGATTATCTAACTGTATCCTGCTACCCCTTGAATTAGGTATTATTATGAATCTAGTTTATGAGAAAACTGAGGATTTGAAGAATTTGAGTTGAGTTACACTTACTTTGAGTTACACTCAATGTTGCAAGTGAAACAGGATTTGAACTTTGGCAGCCTGAGATCTTGACCTTCATCATCAACTTTGCCTTCTACTTAGTTACCACTGCCACCATCATCAGAAGCAATTTCTCTGTTCAAGGGGCGACTCTGAACACGGTTCACTTTTGGATGAATAGACGTGAAATCTGCTCTCTGGGAATGTACACATCGTTCCCAGTTTGGACACGGACACTTAGAAACAAAGATCAAAGCCTTCAGCCATACAGCAAGCTTGTGGCAATGCCAGGCTTGGCTGTGTGACTCCCGTTATCATTTCTGCTCACTTGGGAGGTGCCCCCGCCCCGGGAGCCCCAGTGGTGGGGCCACACGGCACTGACTGGCTGGCCTGGCCTCTCTGAACTTCCCTCCCCACTTCGTGGGAAGGGGGGGAGAGGGGCTTTTGTGTGCACTGCGGTGGTACAGAATGCTCAAAGACAGTTCTACATACAAAAGTGCATTGTTAGAGCAAGTCCTCCAGCAGAAATGAGGGAGGAGAATCCAATGAACAGGACAGTACTTAAGATTACTGGTAAATGCTCTCTGTAGCCCCTTCCTCCCCACTTCAGGTGCAATCTCATGAAGTGAGCCCTGAAACTGAAAAGCCAATTTGATACCTTTTACCAGCTGTGAAACATCCTCATTCTACTTACACTTCTCTTTAATCACGTTGTGAAAAAAGGTGTCCCAAGCAGTCCCCTTCCAAGAAAACTAACAGGCTGGGCTGAAACTGGACCAGAGAAAAGGTGGCAAATTCCTAAACTGAATCGTGTTCCTGGCTTTGGAGGAGGAGTTTAATGAGGATATCAAGAAGAGGAAATGCAGATGAGGACACTACAAGTGGGCTTCATGGAGAGTCATAAAGGGTTCATTCATAAAAAGTTATGCATCCATTATGCCTGGATTTTCACACACTGCCCTGGGAAAATATGCAATGCACAGTTTTTCAGAGCAAGATGCATACTTTCACAATCCGCCCTAATCCGCTCTCCCTCCTGCCAAAGGGGCATTGACCTGCCTCCTCCCAGCAGATTTCATGGCACTGACCCCTCCCAGGGACCAGCTCAGCCCACACAATACACTTGTTCCAAACACAAAAGTGCACTAACAACTGCATTTGGAAACATCAGAGCAGGCCAAATAGTTGGCAAAGGAGGATTCCCGCAAATGAAGAATGATGGTTACAGGCACTGGGCCATGCCTTGGCTGTGGTACACTCAACACACACACACACACACACACACACACACACTGCAAAAGTGTGTAAAATATGAGCCAAAAAAACCCACCCCAAACAAAACCCAACAAAACAAACTCTCACCGACAACAACAAATGGCAAAGGCCCCATCTCATCAATGAAAGCGTAGCCAGAGACATCAGGATAATGCAGTGAGAAAATTCTTGTTTCAAGTTCAAGAACAGGGAATTGCTGGAAATGCCTCTGGCTGTGCCCACTCTCGGGAGCGTGTCTCAGCCCTCTCTGGGGGAACTTCAGTAACAGAGAGCTTCCTTCCCCTGAGCCCTTTGAGTCTACCACATTCCTCTGGGGGAGTTTAGGGTTGCCAGATTTTGTAAACAAAAATACAGGAAGGCTAGTTAAATTTGAATTTCAGATAAACAGTGAATCATACATTTTATCTGACAGTCCTACAGGGATACCCTTCTCAAGATTCAGTAGCACGCCACATGACCCAGGCATTTGAGTTCTGGTCTGATCTCAGCCGCTAGCTGCCTGTATGGATTTACTGAGTTGGTCCACACTCAAGGAGCGTGGTTTCCTGGTGAAGGTGTAGGATAAGTGACTCTAAGATCCCTGCCAGGCTGAGGCGGTCTATGATTCCATGTTGTCATTGAAATTCCTCCCACAGAGCCCTTTCTATTAGTTCAATTATAAAATACTGCCTGAAAGCATTCTTGTAAAAGATGTAGAACAATCCAGAAGTATACAAACCAAACCACCAAGCTGCTTACATCTGTGCTTCCTTTCTCAGAGGTAACCAGCTTCAATTGTTTGATAAACACCCTTGCTGCGCCCTTTCTATGTATGTGGTGCTGAACAAGCACACATGTACATACATTTACAGGTAAGCGGGATCATTCCCTGACCCAACTCATGGGGATTCTGGTTCAGTAGTCTTCCAGGGATCTATATTCATAGAAATCTTCCCAGCAGATATTGACGCCCAGCCAGGCTAGGAACCTCTGCTACCCAGAATGCAGCTCTCCATCTTCCTGACACACTCAATCATTACTACCTAGAAAGCCATGCCTCCTTCTGGCTGCTAGCATGCACTGTGTCTGCTCACATTAGGCAGGAAGCAGAAATCCAGGGCAGGCAGCCTCCACTTTGCCATCTGGTAACAAAACCCATTTGTCCTACAGCATATACACTCCTGGCTACGCTTGGTTTGTCTACCTAGACTGCAAACCAGCGGACTGATAATGGTGGTAACCTGGTACCCCTGCTCAGAGCCTGCCATGGCTGCTTTCTTGAGCACACAGGGACATAAATTCCTATCTGTTTGTACCTCTAGGAACTTAAATTCATGGTCCTGGGTGGCTCAGTGATTGAGTGTCTGCCTTTGGTTCAGGTCGTGATCCTGGTGTTCTGGGATCGAGTCCCACATTGGGGTCCCTGCAGGGATACTGCTTCTCCCTCTGCCTATGTCTCTGCCCCTCTCTCTGTGTCTCTCATAAGTAAATACAATCTTAAAAAAAATTTAAAAAAAAACTCATGGTCTTCTGGACAGAAGGAGTTTATGTGTTATTCCCAGCTATGACCTGGCTGAGACCCTGTGGCCACACAGAGATTACTATCTGCCAGGCTCCCTTGGGTCCAGCCAGACCCTCTGTCCCTATCTCTTCTGAGCTACCTGGACTCTGACTTGAAGTCAAGCTCCATCTGGCCACAGAACTCCCCAGCTTAACTCTCCCGCTTTCCTCCTGTTTCCATTTTTAGCCTGTTGTCCCAACAGCAGCATTTCCAGGCCAGCAATTCACAGCACAACCAGTGTGGCTTTTCTGCCCACGTGAGGACACGGCAGGGACAAAGATCTCACTGAGGGCTTAGACTTGTCAACCCAGAAGCCTACCCTACTACTGCTCTAAAAATGAGGACAACCCACTATCAGCCAAAACCCTTCCATCTGGTTTCTTGTAAATCTGCATCTCTCTCTGGCTGCATCATGGTTGCTATTCCTGACCCAAATGAGTCCCTAGGTCCATTCCCAGGACACCGTGCCATTGGATCTCTATACATTCATCTTTTTGGGTCACCCATGGAAGATGGTTCTTCTGGTGACCAATCCTGAATGAACTAACTTATGCAATCTACCTACTACCTCTCACTAAAAAGTCCAAGCTGTCTTTTCACATGAGCTCATGCACTATGCATCTCCCAGAAAGGGTACACGCTTATTGTAGAAAATTTAGAAAATATAGCTAAACCAGGAAAACTAGAATAAGATTTTTTTAAGAAAGAGCGTGGAGGGTGTATTTGGGGGTGGGGGGGAGGTACAGAGGGAGGGAAGAAGCCTGGTGCAGATTCCATGCCCAGTGCAGAGACCAATGCTTGATCTCATGACCCCAAGATCATGACCTAAGCCAAAATAAAGGCACCTAACTGACTGAACCACCCAGGTACCCCTAGAATAAATTAAAAAAAAAAAACACTCCATCATCCTGAAATAACCACTATGTGTTATTTATTTATTTATTTATTTATTTATTTATTTATTTATTTATGCTGGTAATTCTACTTGATATTTGTACTATAGATCACAAGGTGGTTTCTTCCAGTTGAATCCAACCTATACATGTTTTAAGTAATTTTGTTTTGAATAATTCTGGTCAGGATATTCACTGTTCACTTTGCCACACTCCCTACCACTCCTTCATTTATTATGCCAACCCCATCTTCCTCCTGTATGCCTATTTTCTGAGGGCATCTGAGTTTGCAAAGCCTGCAAAATATACATACAAATGTATGTTTATTAAAATGGAATTCAATTGCTTATTCTATTTTGTAACACCTGTTTGTGTAACAATGTACAGGAACATGTCTCTGTATCAATAAGTTGTCACCTCCAACTTTATTTGTGGTGGCTGGATACTTTTCCACTGGAAAGATGTATCACAATTTTTTCATCTAATCTCTACTGTTGAACATTTAAATTGTTTTCCATTTTTCCTGCTCCAGTGAACATCCCCATAGCTAGAACTTTGCACACTTCCTTAATTGGTTCCTTAGGATACATTCCAAGAGGCCAAATTGCTGGGTTGAAGGGCAGTCTCAGTCTAAAAGCTTTTAACATGTGTTGCCAAATGGAGTGTTCAGAGTTTTATAATGACACAGACCCTTGAGAGCTTCCTGTGACTGCTGTCAGGACGGGCCCTTCCACACATTAACAGCGTCACACAGAAAAGCCCATCACCCCTCTCCCAGGGTTTTCTAAAGTCAACTCACCCAACAGGGGGGCTTTTCTCCAGTAACCATCCCGGACCTCCACATAGTCATACCAGCACAGGCGGCTCTTAAACAAATCCATGGATGTGAAGTTCAGGACGATCTGTAAAGAGTTACTGAAAAGTGAGTTTTGGCAGCAGAGCCTGAGGATGCTTGAAGATACATCTTGCATGCCCGTGTTCTCACATTACCTTTTAGCATACAGAGTGCTCAGACCACAGTAGGAGCGTCCTTGCAAAGACACGCTCACAGGAAACCTCATGACATTAAATAATAAACCTTAAGCAGGATGGGGAGTAAACAGAGGAGATGGGTCCTCTGGTTCTGTCTGGGGAATAACTTGAGCTTTTGAAGTCACTAGGTGGTTTATAGAAAACAGGATGCATTAAAAAGATGAACCAGGATGCACTGAGACTGGGGATTTAGAAGGAGGTAAGGGGTCAGTGAAGTTCAGAGATACGAGAAGATCTTATAACATCATCAATCATTCCAAGGGACCTGGGGTTAGCCGGAGTGCATCTGAGCACCACCGTGATCAATATCTCCTCGGCCATGACCTCGCTCTTCTGAGATGCAGTATATCCAAGAGCCTTCCTATCTTTGGTCTGTTCATTCGTTCAATCACGCATTCATTCTTTCATTTATTCATCTCATCATTGTTAGCTGACCACCTACTATGTGCTCGTCTGTGTTGGCCAATTGAGATAGAAAGATTAGCAAGATAGGGTTCTTGCCTTTAGAGAGCTCAGGGAACATAGAAGCATCAGGTGAGTTAGAACACTCTTAAATAAATTCTGAAAAGGGAGGGATGGACAGAAAGGGAATCCTGAAGCCCCAAGGAAGGAGAAATCAATGCTGCCCAGCAATACTGCTGAAGGCTTCTCAGGCATTTAACCTAAGGGAAATAGGGGCTCAGGGGGCAGAGGCACAGGGCAGGAGGGTGTTTTGGTGAGAGGGACTCAGGGAAGGAGAGTTTGGGGAACTGTTTTGTCATACCAGTGCAGGTCATGCTGTGTGTCTGGAATGGGGAGGCAGGGGCCTGTAGAGGAGTGAAGGCTGGAGAGCTGGGGGTTCAGCTGCACTAGGTTTCAGTTCTTCTGGACAGCCTGAGGCCATTCAGTGGATGCTCCTTTCCACAAACAGTGGAGCAGGCTGGATGGCCCTGTGGACTTGGCACACAGCTACTGTTCCCACCAACCTGCTACCCTTCCAGAGCAGAGTTCGGGCATTAGTTCACCCCCATCAAGCCCCACCATGTAAGGTGCCCACGTGGTGTATGCATGCCCACCATGTCCCTGCTCCATTATTTCTCTGTTCTCTTCACTCACCAGGTCCCACTGAAGGCAGCCCTGCCGGGCCACTGCAGCCCTAACCCTGTCTGTGTCTTATCCCATTCGGGGCCCCTGCCCTGCACCAGTTCTTCTATCATCCCTGTCCTCTAGCCACTTTCTTTCATATTCAGACAGCCCCAGGTCCCTCTGTCTCTAGGCAAAGGCCCAGGCTGGAAGGCTGCGGGTCAAAGTTTCCGGTACCTTCCCAGCCAAATTGAAAGGACTGTTACTTGTTTGTCTCATTCTCCATGGCCCCTCTGCTTTGAACCTCCTCTCTCTGGGTTTCAGCACATCTGTTCTGTCTCTGCTGCTCTCTGGCCTCGACTGACTCCTGTCCTCCCTGCTCCCTGGTGACTGTGAGGGCACCTCAATGCAACTTTTCCCTTCCAGCTTCCTGTGCACAGGTGACCCCAGTCCCTGGGTACAACCCTTTGCTGTCATCTCTACTTCGCCCCTATTGTTTATCCCCGATGCTGATAGACTTCCTTCCTGTAAGATGACTGCATCCCCTGCTGCAAGCCAGACTGGTCACCCCTTCAAGAGCCCTGTCTGCATCGTTCTTGCCAAGAGGATTCCTGAACTCCTCCCTGCCATGCCCTGGCCCCCTCTGCGCACTAAGGCTTCTAGATCAATTTTGCACTTACATCTCATGTTTACCAAACTCCTTCTATGCTCAGAAAACTTCAATGGTTCCCCCTGCCCCCATCTCATAAACTCTCTGCTTACCTTTCAGAGCCTCCAGCATCCATCTGATATGACCTTATTACTTAGCGAGCCCTGAGGTATCCATGCTAATGGAACCTTCCCCAAGCCCAGCTCCAGTGCCCTCTGCTCCTCCCTGAATCCTTCTCTGACTGCCCAAATGGACACGGCCTTTCCCTTCTGGGGGCTCCCCGCCTCCCTTTTATAGTGACTATAAATAATATAGCAGGTATTTTTAGAGTCAGGCAGATCTGGATTTCTCAGCTTTACCACTTACTAGCTCTCAGATCTTACTACCACTTACTTGCCACTTGGATCTTTAGTTCTCTTATCTTCAAAACAACATGCATACTTTTGAGTTATTAAAGGGACTGCATAAGAAACTGTATAGTGAGTGTGTAATGCTAGGTCTGACACATGATAGGCACTCAATAAATGCAGTTTAAAAAAAATCAAGCCTCACTAGTGTAAACTTAGTGAACCACAAACAGGACCCACTAAGTGCTCTTCATAGGCTGCCTGTCTAAATTAGCATTGAAGTGTCCACCCCTTCATTTGGGTTGATCCCACCCGATGTTCAGGTCTCAGGACAAGTAGGACCTTCTTCCACAAAGTCCTCTCTGATCTCCTACAAAATGAAGAGGCAGGACCAGAAAATAATAGGCCAGTTCACCTCCTATATTGTACAGTGTGTGTGTGTGTGTGTGTGTGTGTGTGTGTGTGTGTTTTCACTCTTCTTTCGAGCCATACCAGTGGTTCTCAACCCTGCTTGTGGATTAGTACCACCTCCTTAGACTCCTTAGAGGTAAGGGGAGGACCTTAACTAAACTCTAAGTCTCTTGAATACAGGGATTTTAAATTAGATTTCTTTTGTATCTCCCACAGTGCTTGCATTCGGGCAAAAGGGCTCAGTGATATTTACTGGCTGGTTGCAATAGAATTCTTAAGCTTTTCAAATTTTAGAAAGAAAATGTTATTACAACTTCTTTGGTAACACATTCATGATTTAAATGAATGGGATACATATTCAGCTTAATTATTTTAAATATGTTAGGGAACCATAAAGACCATAGAGGAATAGGTGATAAACAAGAGGTGATCCTTGAATCAATCAAGTTTGCTAATTATAGCAGCTCTGCAGAAGGCTGGGTGAAGCAGAAATTGAAATAATTCCTATACAGGAATTTCAATGATAAATATTCTCTCTGCCCCTCAGCAATAATAATTAAAGCTTGATGAATCTTATGCAGTTCAAACATATCACACAGCCTCTATTATTTAAGGCAATTCAACAACTTGGGGATTTCTAGATCACCTCCTCTTCTGCCTCCTTTTTCTTGCCTCTCACTCACTCATAGCAGGCACAGTGATAGCAGCACGTGCACCCAAGGAAGAAAAGCCTGGAGTGTCTCAGGCTTAAGATGTCAACCACACTGTCATAAATGCTTAGAGTCAGAAGAAGAGTTGCATGTGGGTGTTGTGTGTGAGCACATGTGAATGAATGTGAGCATGTGTGTGAATGAATGTTCAAATGTTCATTAGCCTGATGACCTCTTTGTGAAATAATCCAGGTTCTCACCTGGGTTCAGATCCCAACTTTGCAACAAACTGAGTAGCCTTATGCAAATGCATCTCCTTATCTGAAAAAATGTGCTAATAGCACCTATCACATGAAGTTCTGAGGACTAAGAGATAATCCACATAATATGCTGAGAATAGTACTCAGGTCATAGAAAACATTTAAATGGACATTTTTAACAGTTGTGAATTAGGAATACCTGAAGACTGGCTATAGGCACCCAAAAATCCATCACCTCCATGGCATCCCAGCTGTAGGTTTTTCCTTCGCCACTCATTCATTCACATGCCCATTCAACAAATACTTTTTGTGTGACTATGTGCCATGGCTGTGTTGGGTGCTGGAGACCTAGGGGTGAGTAGTCTCTGTCCTCAATGAGTTTAAGGTCTAAAAGGCAGACAACCAAATAAACCAGCAATCATGATATTCTGAGACAAGCTATGGCAGCTATAACTGTAGAGACTCTGACCCAAGGGATAGAGAGGGCATCTCAAAGACAGAAGCATCTGGAAGAACCCTTCGATTTGTAGGGAAGTGTGAAAACAAAACAAAACAAAACAAGTTTTAGGAGTGCAGAAGTCCCACGTCCCAGTTCTACATTTTACTGTGAATTTGGGCAATTTTTTAGATGTCTGAGCCTCAAATTCTTACCCATATAATGGACATGAAGAAATATATCTTGCAGTAGGGTTGAGAACATACCACACTTGGACCAGGACAAAAGAAGCTATTGCCCTGGCTCAGCTCCAGAGGGAATCTGGAGGGAATCATGGAATCTTGAGACCCAAAGGATTGTGCTCACTCAGAGTTTGCATAGCTCCTACCTCACTTCAGTTGCCCAGGACCCTGGAGTTCCTGTCCAAATGGCCCTGAGCCCACTTCCAGAGAATGCAGAGGTCTCTGCCCTGAATCCACCCTCCTGAGCATAGAGAGCACATATAATCAGTCCACTTCTACTGGAGAGACAGCCAAGCAATAGCTGTTTGCAAGGTAGGAATGCAGAGTGTTTTGGAGCATGGCTGGAGTATCACCATGGGTGCTCCTGAGATGAAACAGGGGGCTGAAAAGAGGAAGGGCCAGTTGTGGATTGAGGGGAGCTTTCCCTGCATCGCTTCCTTCCAGAGCAATACTCTGAGGTGTCAAGGAATTCTAAATTGGATCCTCACCTCCCAAGGCATTCTGATGGTGTATTTATCAGAGAAGAAGCATAGAGTCTGTTCTGTTTTAAAAACTGTGAGCCTAATTTATAATTCATGTGGACATCTTGCTTATTGGCCTCCATTTGTATGGGTGATGCTGGTTGAAGTCCAGAAATAAATAATGTTAAACAAGCTAGCACAGCACCTAGCACATAGTGGGTGCTCAAAGCTAATAGCTGTTTTTACTATTGTTAATAATAACACAATACCCCACAACTTACCCAACTCAAAGAAAACTGTCATTTTCTGAGATGGTTTCACACCTACCTTTTCCCCCGGAGTGACCGATATCCTCCAGACACAGTGGGAATAAGAAGGGTAGCCGTTTGGGAAACCAGGTGCAGAAAAGTTTCCTGCTGTGTCCTGCAGGGTCTCCCCACATGCTGCAGAAGCAAAACAACCACAATGGTTCCAGTATACACACTCCTCACCTAAGCACCTCCCTGCACCAGTCTGCTTAGCAGATGACACCCCTTGATCAGCCAAAGCCCTTGGAACGCATTGGCAAGAAGCATGTCAGGTAGACTGACAATTGTTTTCTGGCTAATAAAAGTGAAAATAGGGTCTAGGCACCAAAATGTAATACCCAAGGGTTTCTTCTGAGGCTCTTGAAATGGCCTCGGGTATGGTGAACAAGTTTCCCAACTTTGCTGGGCCTTAGTTTTCTTGCCTGTAAAATGGGCAGGAGCTGCCTGAAGCCTTAATGAAATGGATCTGCTCAGTGCTTGGCACACAGTGAGTGCTCCACACATAGCACCCATTATAATTATGACTAATAACATTAGTGGCAGAGAGCATATAAAAGTACAAGTAGATGAAGCAATGAGACAAAGAAAATACTTTGAAACTCACTTCATTAGAAACTCATTGGTTTGAAATCTTGCCTCTTCTTTCTCTGCAACCTACCGCTGAATGAGCTACCAAATAAAGTCAAGAAAACACAAAAATGACCAGAGGTGTGGGAAGCTGGAATACTCTACAGTAGGCTATTCTGCCCTTGAATGTTTGAGGGTTGCCTGGTCATAAGTCTAGGGTCCTTACGTATGTGACAAATATTTTCACTAATTTGTCCTTAAAGAAAAAAAAAAAAAAAGTAGCCGTATGAGTAAGCTTGGGAGGTGCAGGTTCCTTACTTCCTGAGGCCCAGGGACTCGGACCCGAAAGACAAAGACACTGGCTTGCTGAATGCCCTTCCTCCGGGGGGGGGGGGGTGTCACCCACAAAGTGTGGGAAACAAACATCCTTACCCATATCTCCCTACATGCAATTCAACCTCCACTCAGCAACTACTCTGCTTTCAGTTACTGCTTGAAATTACTGGAAGCTGCAGTCTCGGAACTGCAGGAAAGGAATAGCTGGAGAGTGGTCCGTCATCAGCCTCAGGAAATCCTGGATGCTAGGGCTTCAATATCATGTTACTGAACAACTGCCAGGCATCATGAGGATTATGCCCGGCAGTCAACACCCCCAAGGGTTCCATGGAAATTATTTTAGAATAATCATCAACATTCTGCAAGAATAGATACATTACTATATGGCTCCATGGTATTTACCAGCTGCCTCCAATCCTTTTGGGAAGAGGCATATACATTATAACTAAATAAATACTGGCATTTCCCAGAGAATGCTATAAGGTTTCTCTTTCAATTCAGCAAGGTTATATGATATGTGTGTCCTGCATTTCAGCCCTAACATGCCCCCACATGACTAATAGCTGGATGGACATACTGCTCAGAGTTTTGTGATGAACCAAACCCCATCTGGTCCTTTGCGTGCCCTGTGATCCCACTAAGAAGGCCCCTATTTTAAATATACTGTCTCATGATCAAACTGTGTGTCTGATCTGGGGTTTGGAAAACATTACTGGACCTGTGGGCAATGAATTTCCTTCTTCCTTCCCAAACCACTGAATTGCATTCTCTCTCATCAGTGGTAAACTCTGGCTGCTGTAACTAATGCTTTGCTCTGAAGCTCAACAGCTTACAGGGGCCAATGTGAGCTCACTCCCACGGCAGCAGGTTGCAGGGGAGGTGATGCTGAAGCCAAGGGGATGGAAGGCAAAGAGGGCACATTCAAGGGGAAGAGGCTTGTGGGTGGGCAGAGAAGCAGACATCTCCTCAGACCCCAGTGTACTGTCCGATCTTCAATGGCTGATTTCTAGCCAATGACCAGCACCTTGGATGGCTAGGAAAGCCCCAAGACCATAGAAACAACCTCATTTACACACTGAGGACTGCTGACTCCCACCCTTCTACAAACACTCTCCTTCATTCACCGTCTTTCTGCAAAACCCTTGGGTTTTGTTTTGCCAAACCCACATCTCCTACTCCCATAGGAAGGGGAGGTGCTTTTACAGTTACGGGGTACACATTGCATCAGGCCCTGTTCACTGTTGTTCCACTATGCCTTCTTCTTCTTCAGAATATCATGGCTTTGCCAGAAAATTCTGAAGATTCCCACAAATTAAGCTGTGAGCTCCAAGACCTATTCTTGGTGTCACTACTGGCAATTACCTCACCACTTGGGCCTCCTACACTGTCTAAAGCCTCCTTAGAGCCGCACGCCAGAAATTTCAGCAGCCTCTCCAGGTTCCCCAACCTGCCTTCCCAGCAAAAGGGAAAGTCTGCAAAGGGTGGCTGAGTCACACTCTGTGGGTGCTCCAGAGGCCCCAGGACTCCCCAGGGTCAGTTACCTGGGCATTTGTACAGCTTCCTGGCTTGAGCTATGTCTCCCTGACTGAGCCGCACACGCTGGCCAATGGTTGGCCTGATGCCATTGTCGTCTCGACGGGGGAGGATGGTGTCTAAGAAAACTCCTCTACAGGAAGAAAAGAGAGAGAGAAAGGAGAAAGAAAAGTCAAGGCCATCTGGCTGGCCGCGCTGGGATTTACAGTCTTCATTTCCTTGCACGTAATCCCATCCATATCCCTAGCCCCTGTCGCTCCGCAGACCCGTGTGACAGAAGAGACTTGCTTTACTTGTCCTGGCATCTGGGCATTCCACTTCATGAGCTGCCTCCTCACTTCCAAGGGGGAAAATGACTCTTGTGAGTTTGCCAATCTGCCCTTACCTGCTGGCCTGGCGGCTCCTTGCTGCTGTGCATGGAGCATTTCCACAAAGCCCCTGACAAGTCCAGGTCCCTGGGGCCCGCCACACCGGGCAACTGTGGGGAGCACCATTCAGAGAGACTAAGGTGTACGTGGAGGCCCCTAGAGTTGTGCAATGGGCACTACTAAGCAAGGGTATGCCTTGGAGAGGCTCCAGAGAGGCCTGGAAGGCAGCATAGCATGAGGCTCTCAAGGGCTGGTGAGTAAGTGCTGGTGGATGGGTTGTCAAATAATGGGAACTGGGGTTTGGGGGGGCCTTTCTGGCAATGATCAGATGGAAAGTGAGAAGACTGCAGAGAACAAAAGGTGGCTGAGAGAGCCCTGGTCTAGAGATTTCTATGAATAGCCTGGCTCTGCCACCTGGGTGAGCTCAGACAAGCCCCTTTCTCTTTCTGAACCTCAGTTTACTTATCTAACAGTAAGAGAGTGGCCTAGACAGGCATTGCAGTCTCTGATCATCACCTGGATCCCCAGGCCTCTAGCTCACTGGCCTCTGGCTTCCTCTCCAGCCACTTCTGACACCTCCACCCCAGTTGGTATCTTAAGCAACACGGAACTTCTGCTAGCCCTAACCATGCTCTTACAGGCCGTCCTCTGCTGAGGCTCCCTCAGCATCTTCTTCTCCACTAACAAACTCCTGTTCATTCGCCCAAATCCCATCAGATGGTTTCCCCTCTTAAAAGTTTTCTTGAGCCCTTTTTACCCCTCCCATCTTGAGCTATTCATTCCCTTCTCTGGGCTACCCCTGGGCCTTATTTGTCTAGTCTCTTCTTCTCACACTCCATTGTTTTTGAAGAATGAAGGTATTTGTCTTCTCTGCTAAATAGTAAGTTCCTCAAGCAGAGAGATTGAGACCTTCATCTCTATGCCTTCAGACACTGGAGCATAACAGGTCAAGAAATGCTTTTTGAATTAAATTATGTAACCAAGGTAGGGGAGTATCTTCAAAATATCTTGGAAAGTAACGTATACTCAAAGGAAATGTGAAAATGCATGTTACCTGTGTATTAGCTGTACCATCCTTTCTCCTCTTTCTCTCTCTAACTTTTCCTTTCCCTAAATTCTATACTACCGTGGAAAACATATTATCCTTATTTCTTGCTGGTTACATGTTTTATTATCTTTCTGGTTTTGCATATACTTTTTCCGAATCAGACTTCAAGCTCACTTTTGTTCCAACATAAACATGCAGCAGCCTAGATCACCTGCCGATTTCCTTTGAAGCATCTCTATTCTCAAACTTTAGCCACCTGGCCTGACTTCCTCTAATTCCTATTGCCTCATCTCTGGGTCCAGAGGTGGAAACTTTAGTGGAATCCTTGACTTCCCTGCTAACTTTGGCAAGTTTTAAACTACAAGTAATGACTCTCCATAAAATTCTAAATTCAATCACCTACTAAATCTAAAAAGAAACACTTCTGCCCTAACATAAAATGTGTCCATTCGTAATTACTTTGATTCCTCCAAGGAAAGAAATTTTGCTGCACAAAATGTAAAGCTCACCACAATCTCTTAGCAACCCAGGCCTGCTGACCCTGCTGAAGACCACAGCATACAGGTGTCTCTGCCAAGGGCATGCCATGTGGAGAACGTGTGCCCCCACTGAGTGTTCTCAGGAACTTCCTGTGTGCCAGGCCCAGGCCTGGGCACTTCACATGCACCATCTCATTTAGTCCTTGTAACACCCTAGGCCAGTGCCATTCTTATTAGGGTTTCCTCCCCGCAGGCCAGAAAAAGCCTGCAGAGCTTAAGTGACTTTCCCAGAGTACAGAGCAATAATAGAGTGTCAGCCCTGGAATCTAGGCAGGCCTGGAGCCCATCTCCCGCATCCTCCTTCCAGACAGTGTTTTCCACTGCCCAAGAAACAGTTGCCTTTGATGTGTGCTAGATAAATGACAGAGTCAGGAACGTGGGAGACTTCAAAAACTGAAACAGCAGGAACAACATTAGTCCACACTCGGACTGTGTTTTGAGGCTGGAACTCCCTCTCCAACCTGTCCCTGAGCTCCCAGCAAGGCGGTGGGCTCTGGAAGATGTTTATTACAAGAGGCGTCCCATGTGTGAACTGCTGCAGTGACATCCCTCTTCTGTAGGACAACTTTTAGCCCTGACATTCTGCTAACTAAGAAAGAGTTTGGCAGATGCTTTAGGGAATAAAGCTGTCAGCTCTGAGCTCTCCAAGCAGAGATGCCCCTGTACCACAGAACTGTCTCCTCAGCTCCTGGACCCTTGCCCAATGGAACCTGCAAAGACATCACTCCCCAACAGCCCAAGTCGAACCAAGGGGAAGGAGGGAAGGACTACAATAAACTAGAAAATGAAGTTGGAAGGAGACAGACCAATTGTAAACACACAGGAAGATTGGGTTTCCCATCAGCAGGAAGAGCATTTGCCTCCAGATGAGCAAATGTTTGTTCTATTGGTCATTTCTGCTCTTTTACAGACTCAAAGATAATGTGCAGGCTAGCTCCAGGGGATATGTGGCCAGGAGTAATGACATGGAGTTAGGCAGTGCAAAACTTGACAAAAAGTGGGCCAGGAAAGACCATCAGTAAGGATGGCATTGGTAAATGTCCCACTAAACAAAGTAGTTTCCTGAAAATCCATACAGAAAACCGGCAGGAAGGACAATGAAGGCAAATCTACTTGCCACAAAATAGATTTGCCAAAATCGTTCCAAAATCTGGGGCAAGGGCAGGTAAGTAGCCATGGCAAGATTTTAAATGATGAATTGCGCCTCCTACTGTCCATATTCTTGTCCTTGCACCTTGCTCTGGCCAATGGAATGTGGCACAAGCAATGTCCTGCAAGTTCCAGAGACTGGGTCTTCAGAGTCTTGTAGCCTCTCAGCTTGTCCTGTAAGGACTCTGAGTCCCAATGCAGTGAAGAGTCCAGTCTAGCCCACAAGAGGCTGAGAAGCCCCAGGGAAGAGAACCGAGGGGCCCCAGTGGACAGGTAGCACGACAATCAGACGTGGCACTGGCCATCCCGGACTTCTCAGCCCAGGTGTGGTGCCAAATGACTAATGCTGTGGAAATGATCCCAGGCAAAGCCAGAAAATCAGCCAGAATGACCTACAGTGTCACACACAAAAAAACAAGTTTTTGTTGGGAGCCATTAGTTTTGGGGTAGACTGTTGTGTAGCACTAATGACATCATGGTGGCAGAAGAAGTCCACCTCCCTTCAAGGCCTTCAGGTGAGCTGCTGTGCTCCTACCTGGCTGCCCATCACACTCATTTGCTGCCCCCTTGCCAATCTCCCTCTGAGGGGTTTGGGGTACTCTTGATGAGGAGCTATTGTTTCAGTGAAGCCCATGACCCAAAACTCTAAAACAAAAAGTAAAATCTTGGGGCACCTGGGTGGCTCAGTTAAGTGTCTGACCCTTGAGCTCAGCTCAGGCCTTGATCTTGGGGTTGTGAGTTCAAGTTCCATGCTGGGTTCCACTTAAAAAACAAACAAACAAAAACAAGAAAAGAAATGCTGGTGTCCGAAGACACTCTGTCTGCACTCCTGCCCTGGCCTCTGTTTTCAGAGCTTTTCAGAGTAGTTGGCACATGGCAGGCACCAGGGAGGCAGTGCAGTTCCTACAGCCCATTGGAAGTAATGTATCCCCAACACTCCTGCACAGGAGACACCTGTAGATTCTCCTTATAAAGTGACCACCGCATATGTGGGTGTGTGGACAGAAATGCAATGAGGATAATGGAAATTTCTTCCCTCACTTAGCCCCCCACATTGCAGATTTCCCTGTCTCCTTTGATTCATTCATTGATTTATCCATTAAAGAAACATTTATTGGACACCTACTCTGTGCCCTGAGGCACCATGGTAGGTGCTAGAGACTAGAAGAGGATGCCCTCAGAGATCTCAGGCTGGGAGAGGGAGATGTAACAGAAAAATAGGAGTAGATGAATTTATAATAATAATTAGCAGATAATTATAAAGCAATATGAAGAGTCATGACAGCTATGGAAATAAGACCCAAGGTACAACTTTCTCACTTGGGGCAACTTGACAGTGGTTCTCTACAAAATCAATATTATGTCTCTACTTTGCAGCCTGCAACCCCAGGGCTGAGATGGTGTGACTACATATTTCCTACACCATTTCCCAAACCCACAAGTCAGCCCAGGCCCCACACCCAAGCATCTGGTTCTGACCTCGGCAGGGTAGGCTCTCATCCTGGCCCCCCCTTGTTTCTTGAGACCTCTCAGAGACCCCCAGAATAGGTCCTTCAAAGTTGTTTCCCACTATGGAAGAAGCCTCGAATGTCCACATGGCAATGAAGGTGACCCTATCTGTGAGTGCCTCACCCATCCGCACCAGATTAAGAAATTACAACAGGAAATGTTCAAGCTGGAAGGGGCTCAGAGAACATCTAGTCCAACCTCTCATCAGGAAACTGATGCCCAGGGAGGTGGAGATTTGACCCAGCACAAAGCTATCCCTGACTACTGTCTATACTTCCCTCAAAAGCACAGTGTGCCAGTGTTAGGACTGGATCCCAGTCTTTGACTCTCAATTCAGTGGTCTCTTCATTACATGGTGCCCCTTGTATTCTCTGATAAAGAGCCAGAAGAAGAGTAATGAGAACAGTGTCAGTCAGTCTCATGCCAGTAGTTCAAAGATACTGACTTTGACGAAACTCCACCCATTAGAGCTCTAGAGAGATCCCACCTGGGTGCATGCAGGATGGAGATCACAGCTCAGTCATCTGTGCAGCCAGAGGGACAGCACCCCACTCTCCCCGAAACTGAGAATTTGGGATGTTGAGGTCTGGAGATCTCTCCCACAGTTCTGTGACCTCATCAACAGCATGCTTCCAGCAGCCCTACCCAAGAGCCAATGAGCCCTGGGCACACAGATCCCCATTCACTCCCAAGAGCTGTGTGTTTCCGGAAAGAATGGTTTCCTTTGATCTTTATGAACAGAGAGACTCATGAAATGGATTGCTTTCCTCTTTGCTATAACTGCTAAGAAGCACACAGCAGGATTTACTGCCAATCCCACCAAAGCATACATGACTTTATGGCATGTATTCTGAGTAGTCAGTTGGTTCCAAGCTTCAACATAGCTCTCTACCCTTACTCTCCCCTCTCCCATCCTTAAGCTCCCTCATTTGTTTCCTATTTGTCCTGTGTATATACTAGGAACCACTACAAACCTTTTTTTTTGAATAATTAAATAGATAAAAAGCCAACAAACTAGTTTTAAGAGGAAACTGAGAAAAAGGAGCCAAGAGAGAAAATATTTACCCTGTGTCTCCTTTAACTCCAGGGTGGAAAGACCTACAAAACTGGGACTAGGGGGAGAAAACTTCTTGAAACAAAACATTCATCTGGTCTAGAAGGGCTATATTGGAAATACTTAAAACCCAGTCCAGCATAGCAATAACTCATCAAAACAGGTCCTGACGAGGCCGGCTGTAAATCACCAGTCTGACCAGACTCGGGTGCACCAGCTACCATCGAGCATGACCAGCAGGCAAGGAAACCTGGATCATTGTTCTCACTCCAACCCCAGCTACCTGTGTGCCCTCGAGCTGGCTACAGCCTCATTTTCTTCACCTCGAAAATAAACCCATGATTTATAAGCCTCCCAGCCCTCATATGGTCTAGCTTCCAATAAACCATACCTCTTCAAGAGAACTGGTAAGTGCCACTAGGCTCACATCAAGGACGTGCTTTGGAAGACTCCCCCACCCACTGGAAATTTTACACAGAGCCCCTAAGTTATTATCCTGGCCAACCTCTCGATAATTTCCGCTTTCCAGTTTGTTGCTTGTGACATTAGGGTGTGATGGAACACCGGCTTCACAATGGGATTCAATCTCATTAGCGGGAACCTGATTAGATTATATTTCACTGCAGCCCAGAGGCCACTGTTATTTCAAGGACAGACAGGCCAACTGTGCGAGGAGCGTGCAGAGACCCACTCTCCGCAGACCTCCAGGAATCTGACCCAAGCCTGGGGCAGGCACAGTGACACACACATGAGACAGAAGCATAGATTCCAACCTGGAGAAAGTGTTCCGGGCGTAGTGCATGATGCTGTCGAAGTCGTAGATCTCTCCCAGAGAGCTCACTTCCCCAGCTTCCATTTTTAAGAAATTATACTCCTGACCTGTGACACAACACTCTGTTAAGGCCTTTGAATACCAAGGCAGGTACCTGAAAGGAGGCAGAGGGGGAGAAGGAGGGGCCCATAGCAACTTGAGAGCTTGGTCAGCCCAATCAAATAACAGGGCATTGTGGGCATTCTCATTGTTTCCAGCAGACTGGAAATTCGAAACTTCCAACAGCCCTACATTCTCCCAACCCCACCATTTGACCCTTCCCCAAGTGCCACTCGAAACTCTTGTACTAAGTTTGTAGACAGGTTCATTTTTGATCCGACTGCTCAGAGACTCAAAAAAAAATCAATAAATAAATCTCTGATCTGGCTACTGAAAGAGCAAAAGAAAAATCAAACAGTTAAGTTCAATCCCAAAGAGTTCACAATTCAGAACCTTGAAAATATTTTAAGGCAACCATATTATTCAACCAGCTACTTTCATGTTCAATATGAACTTCTATATAAAATCATTTAACATGGGAAGGTTTGTTTTTTTTTTAATCTAGACACTCTATCTGCCTTGGGCCGGAACGTTTCCAGGCAGAAATACTGTTCTGACATGTATTCGTATCCTAACTGTATTTCAGTTTCAAAAAAGATGTGCTACTGAAAAGTCAGCAAAAGTGACTCTTATAAAGCAACCAAGAGAACTCTTTTTTTTTTTTTTTTTGGCTTCTCAGCTTTGATGCTGCAACAGTGTTCTGGTCCATTCTGTTCCTGTTAGGAAATAGAGTTGGGTTTCATTGTCCTTTACAACATGAAACGTCATTTAGTTTCTGCCATAACCTACAAGCTATAGCAAGAAGATTTCCCAGGAAGGACCACAGATGACAGTGACAGTGCTGGTGACAAATGCATGCACAATAGGGTCGCTGTCTCCTTACTTAACAAATGAGCATGGTCGGCTCCCCGAAACCCCTCTCCTTCACACCTGCCTGACCCGGGAATGCCACCTTGCTGGCCAGTAGCTTCTAGACTCCATACTGGCTCCTTACCTGGTTGGATGTTTTCTCTGATGATGGTGACATGCTGGTCTCTGTCTGGCCGGGTGTGTTCATGCCAGAACCCAACTACATGGCCCAATTCATGTGCCACAATGCCAAACTTGTCACAGTTTTTCCCAATGGATATGGCCTGTGGGCCTCCTCCTCGGCGCCCAACATAGGAACAACAGCTGGATGGTTGCAGAAATACCCAGATCAGCAGGTCAGAGAATAGGGAGAGTCTAATACCCTCCCCAATATATGTGTGCATGCATGTACATACATACATGTATATACACATGTACGCACACACATACATGTGTACATCTAAAAGGAACACAGACTTTCAGAGCTAAAAGCACTTTCCTTGTCCAAATTCCCTCCCAATACAGAAATTCCCTCCAAAAATGGTTCACCTTTCTGGTGGTCATGGATCCACTTGAGAACCTAAAGAAAGATAAGGGCTAGAGTCCTGGAATAAAGCCCATACCCTTCATGACCTCTGCACCCCCAAGTCTCTGTTGGATCATCTCTGACGACAAGGAAAAAAGATAATGAAAGGAGTTAGCTGAGTAAAGCATGAGGCTTGGTTCCCTTATTGGAGGAGGTTTAGAAATGATTCCCCTTCTGGGCACAATTATTTTTTCAAATAACATTTATTCCTAACATATTATTCTATATTATTCCTAATAGAGAAAGGTATAAGAAGGGATATTAAAATGGCCCACAATCCCACCACCTCCAACACCCAGATAACCTCTATCAAACATTTAAAAACATACATGATCAAGGGTGCCTGGGTGGCTCAGTTGGTTAAGTGTCCAACTCTTGACTGTGGCTCAGGTCGTGGATCTCAGGGTCATGAGATCCAGCCCCGAGTTGGACTCTGCACTCAGTATGGAGTCTGCTTGAGATTTTCTCTCTCCCTCTGCCCATCCCCTCCTTCAAATAAATAAATAAGTATTTTAAAAAATACATGTTCAAAATATTGAATATTAAGTCTTTCATCCCTTTTAATCTCTTCATCCAAAGACAACCATTGTTAAGTGTCTTGAGCATCCTTCAGAAAAATTAGATATACATATTTTTAAATTACAAAATGCACTATATACCTTGTCCTTCATTTTTATCTTTCTACTTCCTTAATTTAGAGATCTTTTTATAACAGCACTTATAGACCTCCTTCGTTCTTTCCAAAGTAACATAGTACTAAATTTTAATTAATCAGCCTTTTATTAGTGTACATTTATGCTAATTCTAATTTTTACTATTTAAACAAAGCCTCATGGGAGAGGAAGAGAAATAACAAGAAAAACAAAGAAATGGTTGGATTCTTGTTCGTGGCAGGGTAAATACCTAGCATTGGGATTGATAGATAAAAGGATATATGCATTTGAGCTTTCCATAGGTGCTACCATATTTGCTCCCCAAATGTGTCTACTTTTATGCCCACTAATAATATATTAAAAAGCCCTATTTCCCCACAACCTGGCCAACACTGCTTTTATCAAGTTCTTTTTGTTAACTGGATAGGTGAAAAATGGTATTTCACTGTATTGAGATTGGATAGTTTTCCATGTTTTATATGACATTTGTATTTTTCTTTCTTTTGAACTATGTGACCACATCTTCTCTATATTCTTTTGGCTTGTCTAACTTTTTACTATTGATATGTACACTTTACTAGTGATATGATTCACTCTTTGTGAATTAAGAAAATGAGTCTTTTTGACTATCAAATATATTGAAAATATTTTTTACATGTTAGTTCTCATTTGGTTTTTTTTTTTAAGTGTTGTTTAAGTTTTGTTTTCACCAGATAGAACTTTAAAATTTCAAGGTATGTAATGTCTTCATTTTCTTATATCCTGCTCAGAAAGGCCATCTCTATGACAAGATTATAAGTAAAATCTATAATTTGACTTACCATTTCACTCTAATATTTTTTAAATTTCTTTTTTCTTTTCTTTTCTTTCTCCTTTTAAAAATGTTTACATATTTGATCCAGCTACAAACATTTGGATGTAAGAAATGAGGAAGGAGCCCAGCTTTATGTTTTTCACAACGAGCCATCTATCCCAGGATTAAAATATCCCAAATGACTAATCCAGCTTTCTCTCACTCATTTAAAATGCTAGCTAAATTTGTGTATAGCCATATTCATTTTTAAACTCTTTTGTTCTGCTCCAAATGGTCTTAATTATTATCATCTTCACTTGCATTTTAAATCCTAGATGTTTAAAAAGACCATCAGACCTCTTCCCAAAATCCCCACCCTACTTCTGTCCCTCTATCCCTGTGCTCTCTGTCTCTGTCTCTCTCTTTTTCTCTCTCTCTCTACCTCTGTCTCTCTCTCTCTTTCCTTCTCTCTTGTTTTTTTCTATATGGGCATTTCTCCAGATAAACTCTAGTAGCATTTGTTTAAGTTCTAAAAACACAAACACATATACTCACATATACATAAACATAGATGTTTGAATCAGAATGGCATGCATTTATAGGGTATTTTAGGGAGTTCTGACATCTTTACTATGTTCAGTATCCCCATACCAGGAAAGTGGTATGCATTTCCATTCTTACTTTCTTTTCTTCAAGTTTCCTTAGAATTTTAGCATTTTCTTCCTAGAGGTCTGGCATATATTTGTATTTTTATTAGGTTTATTCTCAGCTATATTATTTATTATGTTTCTAATAAAGTGATATTTTTCCCATTATAAAAGTGAATTAAAGTATTTCATCATAAGGAAAAGTAATTGTTTATTACATTTATAATCCGTCACCTTAACAGGGTCTCCTTTTGTTTCTATTAGTTTCTCAATTGCTTTTCCAAGTTTTTAGACACGTGTCACATTAACTTCAAACAATGTAAACATTGCCTTGTTCCTGCCAATACTTACCGTGTGTGTTTCCTTCTCTTATCTAATTATATTAGCTAGCATTTCCCAAAACATGTAAAATTATTATGGTGATCATGAACATCTTCAACTTGTTCCTAAGTCTAACAGGAATGTTTCTAGAATTATCATTATTGAATCTGATGTGGGCTGTTGGGATACACACACAAACACACACACACACACACACACACACACACACACACAGCTTTAGCTATATATCTCTTTAACTTAAAATTGTGGGGCTTTTATTGCCTACATCTTGTAATATTAATCCTGATTTCTTTATGACCTAAGAGTTGTACAAACAAAAAATGGAGCTTTTAACTTACTAGGTAATGCAGGGTGTTTATTCTACTTTTTGTTATGATGTCCAGTCTCATTGCTTTGCAATCAGAGAATATGTTGTTAATGTTATTTCTGCCTTTGAGAATCCGTTGAGGTGTTCGTCATGCTTAACAGATGGACAATTCTATAAATGTTCAATACACACTTAAAAGCTGTGTTATCAGATTGCAGAATAGGATCCAGAGGATCAACTCTATTAATTATATTTTTTCAATCCTCTACAAATCTCTACTTATTTTTTGGCCAATTTGCCATTGCTTTACTTAGGCTGACAGAAATGAAATAAAGACGTTGCTGCTGATGTTTCTGTCGATTCCCCTTGAATTCCCTGGGGCTGGTTTTATGACTACGCCGTTTGGTGCATAAAGATTTATGAGGGTCATATTCTCACCGTGGCTTGTACTTTTTCTCATTATAAAGCATCTCACCTTTTTAAAAACTCTTTCTGACTTTAAAAACAAAACAATACAGGAATGAAACTAAAAATGCCTTGTCCATAGCTAAAATTATGATCCCAACATTCTTTTTGTTAGCATTTGCCTATGTGCCTTCTTTCCTTTTACATGAAACCTTCGTGGGTCATATCCTTCAGTAGTCATTTCATGCACACACCATGTAGCTGGGGTGAAGTATCTGAACCAGTATGGGAAACTTTTTCTTTCAGTATGATAGTACATCACACTTACATTTACTGGCATAACAGGTAAGTTTAGTCACAATCCAGGCATCTTATGCTTTGTTATGTTTTCTGGAGGAAGTCTGTAAGCCCATGGAACCCATAAAATTACATGCAGAATTTTGCATAAATGTTTATCTGTCATGAGGAAGCCCAGAGCTTTGTCAGATTCTCAGTAGGATTGCTGACCTCCAATTGGTTCAGAACCACTTCTCCATATGAAACACCCTCAATTCCTTCAATCACTCTCATGACAGGAGACTCAGACCCGTTGTCTTCCTAGAGTCTTCTTTCTGACCCACCTACTTCATCCTTGGATTATGAGTTTATTGAGGGCAAGGGGAGTTTCTGACAACCCCTAGGCTGCTATTTATGACAGCTCCTTGGAAATATTTCGTTTTCCAGAGAAAATTCAACACTCATGAGCCATCAGACGTGTCTGGCTCTGATTCTGCTGAGATGATCTTGCTTTTGCTTACTTACCCACAAGTCCTGTAACTGAACACAATAAAGCTCTCTTCATTAGTCCTTTCTATGAAGGTCACACAGGTGTGTTTCTCCCAATGTCTCATGGCCTGCTTAAAAATGGCCCTCTGGCTTCCTGAAATGACAGAGTAAGTCTCATCACTGCACTGATAGATCCATGCCTCCCTCAGAGGCCGTAAGGCATGGTGACTTACAACAATGCTTGTTCCAATGAGCAAAAAGAGCTTTTTGGATGACCCAGAATAGAAATGCACTAGGAATAAGAATTTCCCTTGCTAAGAATATAACTTTCCTGAATTACTAAAACTCAGAGAGTAAGAGTTTATGAATGGAAAAGAGGGTAAAAATAGATTTTCAGGATATCCCAGGCTCTCCAGTGTTTCCTTTGAATGGAAAGTGCTTTTCTAAACTTAAAAAAAAAAAAAAAATCTTACCCAGATTATTCAATTTGAAAATTTGAGGCTTTTGAAGTAGCTCACCAGCACTGCATTCTGCAGCCTCATTTTATTTTATATCTATAGGAACATGTGCCTATATGCTCTAAAAAGGTTTATTTTCATGTACATTCATGCTACTTTTACATGGGGGTGCAGTATTTTCTGGTGGATCCTTGAGCCTTATTTTCTACAAAGCCTTTGAAAACAGGTGAATTTCATACTTTCTCTGAAAGTGTCTTCATATTTCCTTGGCTGGAAATGTATTGAAAAATAGACAGTAAGTAAACTGTCTGGGAGCAAGAACAGAGTAGTTGTAAACTCTGGCTGATAGTTAAGTATTCTTTAAAAAAAAAAATCTATCAATCTGAGATAAAGAAGACTATTTTGATTTGCCAGAAACAATGAGAAGGATCTAGAAAAATAGTTGTTTGTGGAGTACAAAGGATGGCTGGGGGTGTCATCTGAGTTCTGCAGTGACCAGGTTGCCAAACACAAACAAAGCAATGGGAGGCTCCCATCATTGTCTGGAAGACATGGGTGTGGTGTCATATTGTTGTCCCTAAAAATGTAACTACAGAACAAAGAGTAATCTAGCTGTCCTTTTTTCTTTTTTTTTTACATCTTAATATTCTTAGTTCAGATCGTTTGTAGCTCACTCACCAAAATAGCAATCCTATTAATTACAGAATAACAAAAACCACCACGTAAAGAGAGTACTCTATATAAAATTAGTTAACTTTGATGAAGGTCATATAAATCTTTGGTCAGGAAAGCACATCAGATTTGAAAGAGCATAGTTAAGTGCCAGAGAACAAAGGTGAGTAGCTGGTTAAAATTTCAACATTTCACTTCTTTAGGCGCACTGCTTTCTCTCCTAATGATGCGGTTCCTTGAGGGCAGGTGAAGTCTTGGTCATTTTTTTATCGCCAGCATATAATTAAGTATCCAGCACAAGAAAGCCCTGGGTTAATGGCACGGGAGTGATACTGCAGGGAGAGAGAAGAGGGGGTGGGCTGGGGACACTCATGCTCTCCGCCAGCTGCTAGGTCCCTGTCATGTACGTCTTCACAGTGGCTTTACTTACTGGTGATGTTCAGTGGCTTCGGGACATCCGCCTCATCAACCACCTCTCCCAGAAGTCATAGACCCGCAGAGAGGAGGCAGACTTGCATGGGCTGTCAGAATTGGGAGCCCAGAAGAGGCCACTCTGTGTGGCTTTCTCCCACCCCCCAGGCATTCAACTAACAATGGCCACAGGCCTACTGTGGGCACAACCGTTGACCATCCACTACTTGGCCCTGTTCTGTTCTCAGTGTTGGAGAATGAAACCAAGATGTTCATTGGTACATTGAACACTGGAATGTTCTCAGTGTAGTAATGAAAACAAGACAGATAAAAGATCCCTGTGCCCATAGCAATTGGGCTGGAGACAAAAACAGGCAGAACAAAAATAAAAGTCGAATCATTTCAGGTAACGGGAAGTATCGTAGAGACTAGAAAATGGGGTCCTGGGGATCCCTGGGTGGCTCGGCTGTTTGGTGCCTGCCTTTGGCCCGGGGCGCGATCCTGGAGTCCCAGGATCGAGTCCCGCATCGGGCTCCCGGCATGGAGCCTGCTTCTCCCTCCTCCTGTGTCTCTGTCTGTCTGTCTCTCTCTCTCTCTCTCTCTCTCATAAATAAATAAGTAAATCTTTAAGAAAAAAAAATGGGGTCCTGAAAGCAAGTGGCCAGTGGGGGAATCAGGGGTATTGGGGAGGAAAAGAAGGCTTTTATGGGGACATGTCATCTGATCTGAGATGTCAGCGATAAGAATTAACCATGAGAAGGCCTAAAGAAATAATGTGCTAGGCATGGGGAGGTTAAGTAGCTTGCCCCAGGGTGGACTGCTGGCAAGTGCTGCAGCCAGGACTGGCCAACATCTAATGGCCCACTCTGGCTACCTTGTATAGTTTTGTGGGGGTGGCGGGTGGTGCAGGGTGCCCCACCCCCTCAACGGGGAGAGAAGACAGGTAAGTGACCACGTGTGACTACTCACAGCTTCCTTCTGCCTGGAGGGCTTTGCTCACATACCCACTGTGCAAACCCTGTCTATATTTCAAGACCAGGGTCAAACGTCACCCCCTGCATGAAGCCTTGCGACCTAGGTGGCCACACAGCCCCAGCAGAAACTGCAATTTCACTAGGCTTAGTGCATGAGCCCTGAAGGCGTAATGGAGTATTAGCAGGTAGGACCGCTGGGGCCCAGCATCTGCTCCACCCTACCTGAGTCTTCCTGAGAGACAAAGCACGATGCCCCAGAGGAGGGACTGGGGCTACTGACCAGTGAAGTTCCCACCAATGACGTAGGGGATGACCCCTCCAGGCCATATTCTCTCTGTCCTTGAGGTTGTGGCTCTCCGGATGCGGGGAGAAAAGGTCTCAGCTCTGGCATCTGAGGTCCTGGGGCTGTGCAGAAGCATAGCATTCTCCTCACCATCTGCAAGAAAAACACACTACCATTTATTCTGCCTTTAATTCCTTTTTCTTTTTTTTTAAAAAAGATTTTATTTATTTATTCATGAGAGACACAGAAAGAGAGGCAGAGACATAGGCAGAGGGAGAAGCAGGCTCCCCACAGGGAACCCGATATAGGACTCAATCCCAGGACCCTGCCGGGATCATGACCTGAGCCAAAGGCAGACGCTCAACCACTGAGCCACCCAGGTATCCTTGCCTTTAATTCCTTCTGTACATTATGGTTAAGACTATATTATCCATGAATCCACAAAAAGGGGTGCTAAGAACCTATGTTCTAAAGAGGGCATTTGGTCTGCTCAAGGTTTTGAACCTCCTGGTGTTGGTAATGTTGCTGGGCCTATGATGATGGAAGCCTGGAACAAGGCGCTGTGGGCTCCAAGGCAGCCTGAGATGCTCAAAATCAAGTGGGGCCCAATGAGGCATCCTTGGGGACAGAGCTGAGTCAGGGATGTACTCTCTTCTCAGTGCTGGGAACATGTAATGGAACTCACCAAGCCAATCCCATGCCCTGACCAAATGCCCACCAATGTTGCAAATGTTGAAAATCATTTGGCCAGTCTGACAAATAAAGTGAACCAGTCTGTGATGCTGGAAAAATAAACCCTGGAAAAAGCAGAGCTTCATAAACCCCCCCAGCTCTTCCAGGCTCTCGGCCCAGCTGGACCTTAAGGAGAGAGATGTGGGAAAGAAATGGAGGCTCTGTTAAGGTTCTGAGTCCAAGGTGTGCCCCGGAAATAGCAGAGACAGACAAGGTGGTGTAGAATCGTTTCAACCTATGGCACCCAGATAACCGAATCCACACTCATTTTATTCATCGTTCAGACAATGGAAGGTTTTGTTTTTAGTCTACCTGCTCAGATTCCCTCATTACTCTCATTTGGAGCATTTTCTCTTTAGTTTCTCTATCTTCTCTCTAAAATTCAGCTTTGATTTTGTTGATCTTATTCTTTTTTCATTATTTCATTAATTTTATTTTATTACTTCCTTCCATTTTCACTTATTTTATTGATGTCCTTTCCATCTTCTTCTTTAAAAAAAAAACTAGAGATATAATTCGCGCACCATCATAGACATGCTTTTAAAGTATATGGTTTAGTGATTTTTAGTATATTCACAAAGATGTGCAACCATCACCACTATAGAACTCCACGACATTTTCATCACCCCAAAAGAAACCTAGTAGCAGTCATACCCCATTTCTACCCCCAGCCCCAGTCCTTGGCCACCAGTAATCCATTTTCTGTTTCTATGGATTTGCCTATTCTAAACATTTTCTTATCAATGGAATCATGCAACACGTGGCACTTTGTGTCTGGTTTCTTTTACTTAGCATGCTTTCAAGGTTCATCCATGTTGTAGCATGTATTAGTACTCTGTTACATTTTATGGCTGAATAATATTCCATTGCATGGATATATCACATTTTGTTTATCCATTTCTCAGCTGATGGACATTTTTGGCTTTTTGGCTATCACGAATAATACTATTATGAACATTAATGTACACATTTTTGTGTGGACACATGTTTTCAGTTCTCTTGGGTATATGCCATAGACTGGAATTGTTGGATCATACAGTAACTCTATATTTAATTTTTTGAAGAACTAGCAGACTGTTTTCCAAAGCAGCTGCACCATTTTACATTCCCATCAGCAATGTATCAGGGTTCCCATGTTTCCACATACTTGTCAACACTCTGTTATTGTCAAGCCTGTTGATTATAGCCATCCTAATGGGTGTGAGGTAGCATCTCATTGTGGTTTTGATTTTCATTTCCCTAATGAACCAAACATCTCTTCATCTTATTAGTCATTTGCATATCCTCTTTGGAGAAATGTCTATTCAAATCCTTTGTCTATTCCTTAATTGGGTTGTCTTTTTATTGTTATAATTACTCTTTATATATTCTGCATACTAGACCCTTATCAGACATATGATTTACAAATATTTTCTTATTCTATAGGTTGTCTTCTCATTTTTACAATAGTATCCTTTGAAGCATAAAAGTTCTAAATTTTGATGAAGTCCAATTTTCCAATTTATCCACATTTTCTTTTGTTTCTTATGCTTTTTGTACCATACTCCAGAAATTACAGCCTAATCCAACCTCACAATGATTTATATCTATGTTTCTATCTATAGTTCTATAGTTTTGGTGCTTATATTTAAGTCTTTAATCATTTTGAATTAATTTTTGTATATAGTGTGAGGTAGGGGTCTAGTTTTATTCTTTTGCTGTGGATATTTAGTTTTTCTAGCACCATTTGTTGAAAAGCTAAGTTTTTCCCCTATAGAATTGTCTTGGCACTCTTGTAACAAATTAGTTAGCCATCCTCTTATGGCTTCTTGAGTTGAATGTTTGGTACATAATTTTCAATTTTTCTTATATCCTATTAACATGTTAAGACTACAGTTTCTAGGAGTTCTTCTTTATCAGCATTCCATCATGTGACATGTACATTTCAATGTTAGACAGTGATACATCCTATTAGCTCCACTTGTTTTCTTCTTTGATCTTTGAATTATTTAGAAACTTGATTTTTAATTTCTAAGTATTTGTTTTTCTGTGCGTGTTACTGATTCCTAACATTGTTTTATGTCCCAAGGACCCATTCTCCAAGGCAGGGGTCAGCAAACTTTTCCTGTAAAAGGGCAATCGATAGCAAATATTTTAAGTTTTGTGGTTAATATGTTCTCTGTTGCAACCAAAGAGTTCTGCCACTATAGTGCGATGGCAGCCATTGACAATATGTAAATGAATGGATATGGCTGTGTTCCAATAACAGTTTATTTGCAAAAACAGATGGCAGGCTGGATTTGGCCTCCTGGCCATAGATGACTAGCCCATGCTCCCAGGTATCAATTCTTTGGTATTCTGAATCTTCCTTTGCAGCCCAGTACGTGATTTAGTTTTTATAAATGTTCCATATGTCTTTGGGATAATGTGCATCCATTTCCGTAATTGATGGTTAAAGGGTGCTACATATGTTATTCACATATTCTATCTTACAACTATTTTGGGTCTTTGGTGTATCAGTTACTGAGAAAAGTGCTTTAAACAACCCTGACAATTAAGATTTTGGAATGTCATTTTCTCCTTTATTCTTAATTTCTGCTTTGTATTGTTCAAAGCTATGTTGTTTAAGTAATACATGGAAAGACTGTTAAATGCTCCCACTGAATTATTTCTTTCACCATTAATGGCCTTCTGTTATATCTAATAATGTTCATCCATAATAAAGATTATTTTGGCTGATATTAATATTACTATTATCAGTTTTATTTTGATTAATGTTTGCCACATAGAGCTTTTTTTCCACTCATTTTTTAAAAGATTTTACTTATTAAAGAGAAAGCAAATGAGAGAGAGAGAGACCATGAGCGGAGGGGAGGGGCAGAGGGAGAGGGAGAAGCAGACTCCTTGTTAAGCAGGGAGCCCAACTCGGGGCTTGATCTCAGGGCTCAGGGTTCATGACCTGAGCCAAAGGCAGACGCTTAACCAACTGAGCCACCCAGGCGCCACCCGCTCCTCACTATGTGTGTGTGTGTGTGTGTGTGTGTGTGTGTGTGTGTAGTTCTATGGGATTTTATCACCTGTATATGTTTGTGTATCCACCACCACATTCAAGATACTGAACAGTTGCATTACCATAAGGATCCTTTAAGTTGGCCTTTTATAATCATATCCACATCCCTGCCCCTCTCCTCTCGTCCATCCTTAAACTCTCAACCATTAATCTGTTCTTCATTTAGATAATTTTGTCTTTTGAAGAACATTATGTAAATGGGATTTTATAGTATATCACCTTTGGGAATTAGCTTTTCTTACTTGCACAGTTCCTTAGAGATTCATCTGAGTTGTTTTATGAATCAATAGTTTCCTTTTATTGCTGAGTAGTATTCCATGGTATGCATGTGCCACCATTTGTTTAACCATTCACCTAGGAAAAGATATCTGGGTTGTTTCCTGATATTACAAATAAAGCTGTTACGAGCACTCATACACAAGTGTTTGTGTGAAGATAAGCTTTCATTTCTCTGAGATGAATACCCAAGAGTGGAATTACTGGGTTGTATGGTACATGAGTTGATTTCTGGGTTCTCTATTTTGTTCCATTGATCTATGTGTTTCTCCCTCTGCTAATATGACATTGACTTGATTACCATAATTACATAGTAAGCTTTAGTATCTGGGAGAGTGATTACTGCCAGGTTATACTCTTTTTCCATGATTGTCTTAGTTATGTTTCCATATGTCTGTTCATATAGATTTTAGAATAAGGTTGTCTACACTTACAAGAAAAAGAGATGCTGGGATTTTTATAGGAATTACATTAAATCTGTAGATCAATTTGGAGATAACTGGCATCTTTACCATATTCAGTCTTCCAATCCCTAGACATAGTATATCTCTCCATTTATGTAGGTCTTTATTGATTTCTTTCATCAGTCTTGTATAATTTTTAGTATACAAATATTGTACATGTTTTTTAAGTGTATAGGTATTTCATTTTCTTTGAGTGCTTATAAATGGTATTGTGTTTTAAATTTTTATTTCTGCACGATTATTGTAAGTATATAGAAATGTAGGCAATTGGGGGTTTTGGCCTTGTATCTGCCTTCTTGCTAAGTTCACTTATTAGTTCTAGGATTCTTTTTGAATTTCTTAGGATCTTCTACATAAACAAGTCATTTGGAAATAGAAACAGTTTTATTTTTTCCTTTCCAATGTTTATGCCTTTAATTTCTTCTTCTTGCCTCATTGCATCTATAACTTCCAGAACTATATGGAATAAGAGCATGAAAGCAGACATCCTTGCCTTGTTCCTGGTTTGGGGGAAGTAATTAGTCTTTCACTATTAAGATGCAAACTGTAGGTTTTTGGCAGATGCTCATTATCAAGTTAAGATATATTCTCTCTATTCCTAATTTCTGTGTTTTTACTGTAAATGTTAGCTT